ATTATGGCTCGAGATCAATTACGTCTTCAACGCTGCTAGAACTCAGGTTCTGCCCTGAAGCCAAATGAGAAATGAATGAAGATGGATCCACCATGATAAATCAATGTGGATTATTAACCATTGAAAGGGTAAATCGATAGAAAATTCATAGGAGTAAATTGATCTTACAACCTCTGCGTCTAAATGTTCTTTTGATTAGAAAATGTATGGGCATACAGCTATAGCCGCAAAAGGGACTTTGCAAAGGGCAAACAGTGCAAATGTGGTGAGACTTCATCTCCAATTGAGATGTTCGTCTGCGTCTAAATTTAAAGCTACTAAGAATCATTAAAGCTTTTTGCAAACAAGGTTTTCTCGTTTCAAGACACACGTGAGAGAATTTCTTTCGACTTGAATGATAATTTGTTTAACTCTTCAGTAATTCATTACTCTATTCATTCATTCGTGCCCACCTCTTACATTCGAATGTGCTTATAAAGCATGGACCAAAAATTATCGACTTAAAATGAAAATCATCCTTTCATAAAAAAAGATAAGTAGGTTACTGCAGCTAAGATCGCCATTAAAGCAGGCAAACCTTAGAGTATTGCAAGTGAGCGAATACATTGAGTACCAAACTCAGGGAGGGTAGGGCACTATTGAACCTAAAAGTAGCTTGTTGACTACTCATTTCTTTGTTGACTGAGCAAGAAGCAAATATTCAAAAAACTATTTCTAACTCGTAATATTTTACCCATACTTATGTGTATTCAGGGAGTGCTTACCAAAGGTATTGTTGTACCTCCTGTCATCATTATTGGTTAATGGGACGAAGCATTTTCTCTGATGACCTTTTAACTTTTGTAAACAGAAAGAATGATTATCCATGTGCAGAAAGACATTGCAGTGAATTGTGCTCGTTCTTGTAAAAATGATGCAAATAAAAATCAGATGTTTGTAAAAACGGGGTAGAATGCTGATCACGCCTCCCTTCACGACGAATACTTGTTTCAGTAAGTATGTTTAGCAAATTATCTGTCATCAAGGTAAAAAACAAGATATTTTCCTCATTCTATCATATCATTGTCGTTAGTGTAAAATCTCTATGGAAGTAGAGAATCAAAGAGTATTCTGTTATCCGCCATTTTTTTAACAAACACCCAAGTAGCTAGACCCATTTCCATATACATTAACACTAATTAAAATTCATCATTCAAATCAAAATTGAATTTGTCATGCTATAGAGTTCTAAAGTGATGACGTCATAAAAATATATTTTTAAAATTTTGTGACGTCATTTGCATTATTGCACTGAAGCAAAAGTTAAACTTCTCGTCCCTGACCAATCGCCATGTCAGTCGTGAATAGAAAATGATATTTACCCAAAGCTCACTCTAGACAGGGTCATAAATTCAAGAAGCCAGTTAATCAGAGATTGGAATAGTTCCAATATTAATTATGTCAGCATATATTACTGAGTACAAGAAATACGGCTGTTGAAAGGACATGATATCGCAAATCCTAAAATTATGGTTACTATTTCATAGATGGGAGTAAGTTTATACAGACAATAGGTTTCTTGTGAGTATGATTTACGACAACATTTGAAAAGTTGGTTTTTGGTTTTAATTAATTCTTTATTTTCTTGGGGCTAATATTACAGAGAAAAAATAAGGCTTTATAGCCAGAGGCATCCTTTTATGAGAGAATCTAGTAGAAAAAAGACGTTCGTCCTTTGGCTTAGATACGAGGATGGCTCAGTGGCTAGGGTCGCTGACTACAGACCCATGGGTCCGTGGTTCGAGTCCCCGACATTACCAAACTTCCCGCAGAGTAAGGAGAGTCGCCAGCTTCCTACCCAGATCTAATAAAATTTGAAACGCTCTACCCTCTTGCTAGACTCCTATAACCTGTCTACTTCAAAACAAAAACCAACTTGATCTTACCCAATCCCCCACTATTTCCCTTGATGCCCACTTTTTTAAAGAACACTTGGCTCCAGTTTCAGCCTTGGGTTTCTTATAATTTCAGCCTCTTATTTTGAATTGATACTGATGGCGCTGAACTGATTTTGAACTGATTTTGAACTGATTTCGAACTGATTTTGAACTGATTTTGAACTGATTTCGAACTGATTTCGTACTGATTTTGAACTGATTTTGAACTTGTTGTATTATAACAAGTTTGTCTAGTTGTTGTTTCTATGAAGTTAGATCCTAGACAAAAATACCGAGTCGTGGTTTTGGCAACTCACCACTGTGTTTCGTGGCTTCTATGAGTTAGTTTAGTCATTCGTTGCACCGAATCGCTGCACGACAAAGTTGTTCAGCGCACTAGTCCCCTTGCTTTTAGACGAGTCGACGCACTGTATTGCACCTATGACGACTCGACGACTCGACGCACAAGTCGACGACTCGACGCACAAGTCGACGACTCGACGCACAAGTCGACGACTCGACGCACAAGTCGACGACTCGACGCACAAGTCGACGACTCGACGCACAAGTCGACGACTCGACGCACAAGTCGACGACTCGACGCACAAGTCGACGACTCGACGCACAAGTCGACGACTCGACGCACAACTCGAGGACTCGACGCACAAGTCGACGACTCGACGCACAAGTCGTCGACTCGACGCAAAAGTCGACGACTCGACGCAAAAGTCAACGACTCGACGCACAAGTCGACGACTCGACGCACAAGTCGACGACTCGACGCACAAGTCGACCACACGCTTCATGCTATCTTTTATCAATACAAAATGTTCTAAAAAAATAGATAAATACAAGAACAATCTTTTGGTGGTACAAAACTTGAAAATGGCTTTGAAAAAGCAAACATTTGAGTAAACTAAAGCTTTTCGACTGACACTCTCCAGAGTTTAAAATGTCAGGACAATGTATATACCCAGTTGTGGGTAGAAATAGGCCAATCAGAAACGCGAGCACATGACTGTTGAGGTTGCGCAATCAGTGCCGCTTGCCTATAGAGAATTTTACCAATTGAGTCCTAAGATGAAAACGAAAAAACTGGGCTTGGTCAAACCATTGGTTGCAAAAAACCATATAAACCTGAAATCAACTCTGGTAACCACAATATTTTTTAAGGGGTAGAGAAATGATTTTTGCCGACAAAAAGGGCGTTTCTCACTCTTTAGGAGTGTTGTCAAAAGTTAAATACTCTTATATGTTCAGGCCCACGGACACTGGGGGGAGCAGGGGGGCAATGCCCCCCAATAATTTGCGAAAATTGTGCTTGAAGATCTTATAAGCGCAGCTTGATCTGACAGTATTTCATAAGGCAGTTATAGAAAAAGCTATATTTCTATCCATCCCCCCTCCCTTCAACCCAGTTTAGCTGTCTACGGGCCTATATAAGTTGCTTTTATACGTTTCTGTTTAAAAGTTCATATTTAAGTGCCAAATTTTAAAAGTTCAATACTACAGAAATGTTAACACGTTGCAATTGTTGCAAAAAGGTTACAGGGTGTATACAAAAATTGCTTCTTTTGCCTTGAGAGGTTTTTGGGGATGCTGCACCCACTGCCCCCGGGTACATTCACTTTGCTTTGATAAAATTAATCATTGCATCAAAATATATTGAAATGCACATTCACAATAGTATTTAGACTCGCATGGAATTTTTTGAAGCTGTTGCTATTTGAAAATTAATCAATGGCTGCAGTGACAAGGAACATATTTGCCATATACTGCTTAAAAGCTTTAAAACCACAATAATGTAACTATTAATCTCACATTCCGGTTGTATCCAAATAATCCTCTTCGACAAGAAAATTACACAACATTATCCGAGAACGATAACATTTATAAAGAGGATTTTCAACAGCCTTTCAACAGCATTACGTCTGGGTCAGACCGGAGCAGCCTATCTTGATATCTGAGGCGAATGAATGACGTAAATGTGAATAATTAGCTATACAGCACATCATGTGATTAGAGAAGAGTACGGAGCAACTCATTCATTTTTTATCTAGGTAAATGCTACTTGAATTAAACGTTAAAAGCTGTTATGTTGTCGCTGTTCAGTAATATCTAGAAATGAATTCATAGCAAATGACTTTGATTGGGTTAGAGCAATTATCCCTTGAAATTAGAGCTATGTGGATAAGCCTCTTTTCCCGTCTGATACGTGTTCAGTTTTAGGATCTTGAGTTTTTTTCATTAAAAAGGCGAATTTTTATATTCATATGCATCTCGAATAGATACGCATGCACAGTTTCACGTGAGCAGTTTCCAATTCCTTTCATACGCAAGTGCTCTGATTAATTTGGTCTAAGTTGTCTTTGGATTTGCCGTACTTATGCATGCCAAATGCCTTTAATTCATTAAAAAGGCAAAATTTCATGTAAGAAAAGATACCCATGCTTTGGTGAGTAGAACAGGACGGTTCTAAGTTGCCACTATAAGTTTCACCCTTAATGCTAGATGAGGCATACACAGTAGAAGTTTAAGGGGTGTCCAGGGGGCTATGGCCTCGGGTCCCACGCTTACGGTAGTAAAAAGTGGCCCTGCGCCTAAGAAAAAGGATAAAAATTGTAAAGAAAAATGGCCCTGCGGATGTTTTTGGCCACTGCTCCTGCAGTCCCCGAAACCGCTGCTGGCTATACATTCAATTTCTTTACATTACGACCAAAAATGCGACTTTTTAGACGTTTGTGAAGTTAACCTTGACTCTCGTTTTATTAAACACATCGAATTATATACGTCGTCGAAAATGCTTGTATCAGAAAATGCACAATTCAACTGCGAATCCTAACAACCTAGAAATTCGATGTGTGTTGGCAGCAGAAGAGATTTTTAGATTTTCGATGTTATACATTTTTATTTCCCGTGTAGTTTTACGGCAACAGTTATATTCGCTGAGATAAAAAGTCTAATAGGTAATGTAAGAATTTGCTGCTATTCTGGAACCTGAAGTGCTATGTTTTGGATACGTTGGCTTTCATTTCTAGATATAATGAATTTTCGCTGAATCTGCTTTCTGATATTACTTTCAAGGCAGCCGATTGCTCCGGAAAGCTGAAACTTGAAATGATAACATTCAATAACCCACAACACAGGTTACATGATGGCTCGTGCTGCGATATTAGCTTGGGCGCGTGTAATGACAATTGTGACAACTATTTCAAGATATTCCTAAAAAGTCCATCATCAAAAGGGAGATGCGACATCGGTTATACGGAGACAGACGAGCTTGGACAGGACAGTATTTCGTTTGGCAGCAAATTAGGAAAGTTCTCAAATCCACTTGTATACGATTTTACCAAATGGGAGGTACGTGCACAGCAGATTAGGTTGCTTATAATCTTTTAAAGCGTGAAGTTAACTCGTCAATGGGTGGCATGGTTGAGCACATTTCACTTTAAACCTGACAAGCTAGAGATTCATATTACTATTTAAAGAAGGTCCGAATGAACCAAACAGAATTTCAAGATTTTTTTTCAATGACTTTGAAAAAAGCAAACTTCTCGAAAGATACAAAAGCTTTTCGTTTGACACTATTCAGAGTATAAATTTCCAAACATTGATCTTTATGAAATTCACATATATCCAGTTTTGAGTTGAAATACATTAACCACAAAGAAATTCGTCGTGACCAAATTTCAGACCGATACTTTGACGAAATTTTCTTCAACTCAATTTTAAATGAGACGAAAATTAGTAACGACGAATTTTTTCCTACCTTAAAAGCTTTACAATAGGTAACTACGAATGTTTAGTGCTTTACAAGCTTCAGATTGTTTTAAAATGTTTTCTTTTGCCTTTTTTGTTCTAAAAGTATTTTCAATCAAATCAAGAGAACAGAATAAACAACCGTTGGCCCTAATGACATAAAAAAGATGCCAAAACAGACAATCTCAGGCACCGCAGAGCAGGGGCCTTAATTTAATTAAAAATGTAAAATATTAAGAAGTGAATCAATAGTAAAGCCTCTTTCTACATGAGCCTCCACACTTTTAAGACCCCCACCACTTTTCTCGACGCACTGCGGGGCCTGAATCTTTCAGCATAACATTGCCTCCTAAAATATCAAAGAGATTCTGAAGTTTTCAAATCCTGATGGTATCAAATCTCTTTTCTTTCATATTGATATCAGGATAAAAGCAAAAGCTGATTTCCCCTGGAAATTATTTTTGCCTCTAAAGCACATGTAATAACGAAATAGTTCAAGACAAAATGATATAAAGTAACCCTATGATTTTGCTTAGGGATCTTTCACTTTATTGATTGAAGTGTGGGACAAAGATGGCGGTTTTATCACAAGAGAAGATGATTTGACAGCCAGTTTAGACCGAAATATTGTGGCAGTAGCTGGACAAAATGAAGCATTTTCTGCTTCTAAATCTATCACTCTGAAAAATCGATATTCGAAACTAGATGTCAAAGTCAGGTAATTCCAATTAAACTTCATTGGCAGCGAAATTTAAAAAGCTTTTTGCCAGAGGTCATGAATCCATAAATTCTTTTCCCTATTTCTTTAAATTTTGATGTGTTTATCCAAGTCCTTTAAAGTTTCAAACTAATACATCATTTATCATTCAGAAAGTTTGGTTGAGCCTTAGAAAAGTATTTATGATGGTCTTCAAAGCTTACTTTGCAGCAGGGACACCGGAGCACTTTTTTCTTTCACGGGGGGAGAGTCTATACCTATTGTAAAGACTAACTTCTATGGTAGTTCTTCCACCATTATCTTTGATGCCACGACCTTTATATCATTCTTGGGTAAAATAGTCAGGGGCTACAGACCCATCCCCCGATCAGGCTCCAGCATGTTTGTTTTGCACCTCGTAACCCTTTATAATTTTTGAACTACAATGCTTTGAGTTTGATTTAAGCATATTGTACTGTGTGCAGCACATCGATGCTGACTTCTATTAAAGAAGCTGTTTTAGAAGATATGTAATCAATCGTAAGCAGTGCTATAATAATTGTGTCATTGATTGCGGCTGATCCTTGTTCTTTTTCACCCTACCTAGAGTTTTCTGTAATTCTGGGTTTCTAATACCATCTTGCCAAGAGCACTGCACGTTCACGAATAATAGCAAAGGCCATTACAAATGTGATTTTGTAAATGGTACGAAGATCTGCCTTGATGGATGGTACGGTGACAAATGCTTACAGAAAAAAAAATCCTGCAATCCTCGAGACGATGTATTTGGTCACTACAGCTGCCACCCAATCACGGGGGACATAGTTTGTCTTGCTGGATGGAAAAATGTAACCGCTAAATGTTTGGAAGGTATGAAGGAGCTATATGGGTTTTCCCTTTCATCAGCCCTTAGGAGATCAGCAAATATATGCCGAGTATTTAACCATAAAATGTTTAACAAAGTACGACCCTCCAATATACAAAAAAAGTATAAAGTTGAAGAGGAAGGATTTATTTAAACTGTTACCATGTCTGTTGCAAAGCAACGGCATTTCAGGTATATCATTGTCCAGAAATATGTCCTCCTTTCCTTCGGATAATATCACCAAGCTCTAATTTTTGGCTGGGTTTGGGATTGGGAGAGAGACATGGAAAGCTTTCCAAGTTAGATGGAAAGGGGGGGGGAAGGCAATATTACACAAAAAGGGCATTATTTCAAATAAGTTGCTTTTTAGAAAAGGGAATTTCGCCAAAGGTTAGGAGCACGTGACCTTGGTACACCCCTGGGTTCTACATCCTAAGGGTGGCAGTTAGGTTTCTAGTGTTGCTATTTGCCATCTTTGTGGAGTTTCCCCATTGTTTAGCTTCGATCGATGTTTTATTACTTCAAGATTTTGTAACCTAGACTATCTGGCCGTGATACTTACATATACTAAAATTATGACATAACACTAGTCATGCTTCGAAAGCTGGTTATAAAGATATAAAGATGCAGCTATCATGATCTTGAGTTAAAATCATGGAAGCGTAACTATATAGATGATATTCTTGTATAAAACCAACTTCTATTCCTTCTCACTAAAATAATTCTTCAGATATCTATCAATGTTGCTCAGCGTGTTGGACGTCGAAAGATGATGACCAAAATTTAATTTATTTAAATGACGAATTTGTACATTTGAAACCAATATATTCATCTAGTTTGAGGTTCCAATCTCTTGTTATTTAACGTGAATAAAACTACAAGCTCGTCTCATCTTTTTTTCAAAAGAAATCGACGAATGCCAAAGCAACCCATGCTTAAACAGAGGGATTTGCAATGATTTTATAAATAACTTCAATTGTTCCTGCAAACCAGGGTATACAGGAAGAAGATGCGAGACCGGTATATGACTTAAGCCATTTTCTACCTTTTCGCTGTAATTTTTTAAATACAATTTGCTATACAAGCTGCCTGTAACAGCTGCATTGTCCAACAAACAACTACTTCAAAGCTTCAAACATATACATATGATTACAAGCACTGTTTTCATTGCAGCATATTTTTAGCAAAATTCATGGTTATATTTTGCCTGTTTTGTATGAATATGAACACTGGATATACACTGGAGTCGTAAAAATATGGAAACGGTAGGTCAAAATGGCGGCTCACAGTGACCACGAGCCTAAGCCAACCAATTTCAAAATCAGAATTATGAGGCGAAGAGACTTGGAAACGATAGGTTGTGGCGGGAAAATGCATTCGCCATTCCTTCGACTATCGGTTTTAAGGAAATTTAATGATCGGTTTACTGTTTTGAGGGGAAAAATTCAGCAAAACTTTGAAGCACTGCTTCAAAACAATTCTGTAAAAGATTCTCTGATTATTCATGAAAGATGACCACGAAGTGTCACTTTATTGAAGAAACGTGAACGAAAAATGTTGAAATTCGAAGCAAACTGCTTGAAGCTTCTTTCTCGCGAAAAATTATAGCTGAGAAAGTGATGTTAGCAGTGCACTTTAAATTTAAAGTTTCAATACTGACACAAGATGAGTTGCTCTACATTTGATGTTAATGACTTGTTCATCTTAAATTCTGATTTACTCATTACCTAAGCACACGAAAATAAAAAAATTAAAGCAAAACGTTCAATGTTTATTTTGCTTTTAAATTAATGGAAAGAATAATTTACACCCAAAGCGTTTATGTTATTTAGCAAGAAAACTATTTTGATCACTAAATGACAGCTTTAGAAATTGTTCAAAAGATCTCACTTTTAATAACTTAAAGCCTAATATCTCAGCCAAAATAATCTTCTCGGTAATTTATTTAAAGTCAGAACAAAGGTGCACGTATTAAGTTTCAAGTTTAATTAAATTATCTTATGCTTATTAAGTTTCGTCTGTACTTTGAGGCAATTTTTTATGAATCCTTCGAAAATATTTTCCAGAAATTTTCTAAAGCACCGGTCCAATGTTTCCCTGACTTTTCACCCACAAAAAAGTAAGGTAATCTTTCAAATTTATTTCGATTCAAAATCCATTGGAATTACGCAAAAATTTCGCGGCGAAAGCGTTCGTTACAAAAACCCCTTAGCACTGAACTTCTGCTTGAAAAACCTGTCGGCTCAGGCCTTTGGCTTCTGTGAGCCACCATTTTTAGCACCATTTCCATACTTTTGTGACCCCAGTGTAGAACTATGCTAAATGCTCCCAATATTTTTAGCAAACTTTTGACTGAACTTACTTCCCTGTTGTGTCGCCCATGAAGGTAACAAATGCAATTTTCATGTAACGGATAGTCTCTCCGGAGGCGTTTGTTCGAGCCCCACCCCTGTCACCTCATGGACTGATTTTTTATATAACATCACATGACTCGTTACATTAACAATGTTGCAGTTCTTTATACTCCCAATACATTTTTTAAATATTTCATCTGATGTGAATCCAGCCACTTTTTTTCAGATATCAATGAATGTTTAAGCAACCCTTGCAAATTCGGCAGTTGTCAGCAGCCAACACCAAACAACTATACATGTCAGTGCTATGCTGGCTACGAAGGAAAGCATTGCGAAGCAGGTAAAACGATACCTCAACCAAAGCTATTACGATACAAGAGTTTGAAAGAATCTCTTAGAAGCGAAAATGATATGAAAAATCTGCGAAAATGCTTAATTTCATTTAAGTTTACACGAAAAGAGGCTTGATCCTAATCGATAACTAATACGAAGTTGTGCATTTTTGTGCTAGCCTAAGGAGTTTCAGCGCTCTTAAGGCACTCTGTTATTTCTATTGATCATTTTACGGCTCAATTATGCTGAAGTCAAAAGAAGTTTTAATATTATTAAAATCATATTTCTAAATCAAATGTTTTCAAACAAATTGAAAACAGAAAATTTCAACATCATATGTGTGGAGGCTACAGAAGTTTTCAATGAAAATATCTGAAGTGCAAATCGCATGTCTCAACCCCCTTGAAATAGTTTAACTTTACTTTGGAAAGAAAGAAATGAAAATCTTTTTCACCACAGATATAAATGAATGCAAAAGCAACCCATGCGGTAATGGAAGTTGCTTTGACCTTGTCAGTAACTACAAATGTGTATGCAATGCTGGTTACACAGGTTCTTCGTGTGAACACGGTGAGTGTAGCTTAAATTATGTTCCTCTTCTTTTTTCAAACTCAATTTCTAACGATTAGTGCTTTGATTTAAAGTTAATATGTAGTTGATATTTCATCATAGGCAGGAAACCTAACTCGATTCTTGGATCTACTGAAACAACATGGCCAATTTTACCAGCTATCGATTACAATTGTAAGGAAAGAACAACCAAAGTGACAAGACACATACATAGGAGTCAGGGGACTGCCCCTTAATTTGGAATGAATTCTACTTGGTTTCGTGAATGTTATTCACGTGATTCACATCGTTTCCTCACCTTCTGGCCCTTCCCGCTAAGTCAATCAATCAAATACCTTGCAGGGACATTCGAGGATTTATGTACTGTCACAGTAAAAGATTATAATAAAACATGTTGATTGGACAGCTAATAAGACTTTCTACCGGTAGCTGTTTCGCAATTCTCATTAGGCCCTGTATATTTGTGAAGGTTCTCGATCCCAATTAAGTCTCTGTTTCTACATTTGATCCTATAAAGTAATACTTTGATTCTTTTTGAAGCCTTGCTCGATCTTCACAAAAACTTTCTTTCTTTCTTGACCTACTGTTCTCTCATAAAATTGTGCTTGATTTGATACTGCTTCGAAATGTTTTACGTAGGCGTAAAACTCAAAATTGAAATACACAGGGTTACCCAACCTTCTTTGGAAACTCCTTTCATCCACATTTGCCTAGAGCATCGTTGCAGCCATTATTGCGTCACTTTGAAACATAATTTTCAGTCTCCTTTAATTGAACAAACGAAATACACCTTTAGGATAGCAGGTATGACGTGTAACTAGTATGTAACCTTTTCACAAAGCTGATCGAAAAAGTAATGATGAAATAAAGGATAGGTTCTTTTAGTGATAAGATCTTTTGATTAAATGTTTTGATCAACAGATATCAAAGAGTGCCTGTCATCCCCGTGCAAGAACAATGCCACGTGCATCGATCAGGTTGCTGCGTATAAATGCAAGTGTTTAGTTGGATTCACAGGAAGAAACTGTGAGACTGAAATCAGGAAAGGTTAGTAACACTGAAAAGACTTTCACGATTGACAATTGTTATTTGTTGCTGTGTATTTTACGTCTATATGCAAAGAAGTAACTGATCCTGTCTCTATTCTAAGTTGGAATAAACTATTTCTTGACGATTCACAGAAGCTTTTGGGCTGGCAAAAATTAGATCGAAATAGTTTTAGTACATTTACGAACGATGACGAAGTTTTAGTTAACTGATCCGCCGGCTTCCCCATTACTGTTACACCACTCCACACAGTGGCGGATTTAGGGGGGCAACTAGGGGCAGTCTCGCTTTTTGGAAATGGTTTGGCACAATTATTGTGAAAAGTCTGGCGCCACTTTTTGGAAATGGTTAGGTACAATTATTGTGAAAAGTCTGGCGCCACTTTTTGGAAATGGTTTGGCACAATTATTGTGAAAATTCCTTTGGAACGTGAATAGAGAGCCTTCTGTCAGTAGTTAGGGCCTGTAATTGTTGTGTCTAGCGTACTCTCATGACCAATTTCTGAAAATTTTTCAGCTTTCAAATTTGTTCTGGATCCGCGCCTGACTCCACTTCTTTCCAGCCTTACATAAATGTTCCTTTTGTTGAATAGATATATTTCTTGTTGGATTGTTGATAAGCTTCTGTGTAAAAGACTAACCAACCAAGTTGAAACGAGAAAAATGAACAACATTTTAATTGGAACAGTAGGGTAAACCTAGCACGGCCGTAACAAGACGGAGAGAAGGCCCCATTTCCCCCATTCTAAGTTCCATGAAACGACAGTGTTTCAATTCCATCCAACAACTCTTTTTCAAATCCTTATAAGTGAATACATATATTATTGATTTAGGTGGGCACACCAGCTCTGCAGATTCGCATCCTACCACAGCAGTCAAAGTTAAAAAGACAAAAAGCATCGCAGCTTCAAGCTTCACATCTAAAGTGTTACAATCAAGCTGGCAAATAATAAAAACAAGAAACCTCGCTTCAACTAAACGCAAAACTGAAACAGAGGCTTTTCACAAATCAATGATTATTAGCAGAATTGACACCACCGTTCGGCCTAAGGGCTCGGTATTATTTTCAAGTAGCACAGTTCATCAGAGCAGTATAACCAAAGGTGTTGACAGAACAAGTTCATCTTTGGAAGGCTCTTCAATCAGCTTGCGGGCAACCTTCTCGAAAGCCTTTAAAAGTGAGAGTAAAAGAAGATCAGCAATGACAACAGCATTTATATCTTCAGCGAGTCATTTTACAGAACAACAAAGCTCAGCTTTCTCGTTAAACAAAAATATCAGTATCCAAAAAACAAGCTCGTTAAATGAAAATATCAACATTCAAAAAACAACCTCAGTGACCTTTGATAACACTGCAGTTTCGAAAACACCTTCGAATTTGACAAGCAACTTTATCTTTGAAGTAAAAGCTACGGCGTCTGGAATCCCTATTGCAGTGACGTCATCCACTTCCTTAGAACACAGGCCGCAAATGATGGAAGAAATTCAATATAAGCTTGAACTGAAAGGAGATATTGCCAAAGTACGTTGCGCAATAGTATTACAACGTTAGAATCTTTCCTTTCCCCTACCTTAGTAAACCAATTGTGTACATTCTAGCATTTTGATTAACACTTCTTTTATTGAATTATATGTTCTGAAGAGGAACAGAGAAGAGGTCTACCTAACGCGTTCAGTTTTCTTTCCCTGTATCAATCACTATTCACAAGTAGTAGTGTATCTAATGGAGGAGTGTACTGGAATTCACACCCAACCCACCTCCTCATTTTCTTGACTTGATTAGCAAAATAATTATCGGTAGTATCGCCTAGAGCTGAGTAAGAAAGCAGACGAGCATTCTGAGTAAGGGTGGTGAAGTATTGTCCTCGCTCAAATCTTTGGTGGTAGATATTCTCGCTCCCATCCTAAACTGAGGAAATGGTAGACCACTGATTCCTGCAAGACTTATGCATAGTTGTTTCAGTATTTTCAGCCTCAACTTTGCTCTTTTTCAGTGGAACAGAGAAAACCAAGAAGTCTTCAAGAATGTAGTTTGCAAGGCAGCCGTTGAATCATGCAAATATGACGGTGGTTGTGCGCGGGCTGATTCACGGTAGGTTTCACTGTAGGTCTATTAAGCATCAGCCCTAGCCTGACACCAGAAGCTGAGCAGTGTGATGTGCCTTAGAAATTTCATCATAGAGAATACCTTTGATTCCCTCTATTCAACTCAGGTATCTAATGAAGTATCTGCTACCCAAAAACACCTGGAAGTCACCTTTTGGTGATAAGAATGATTTACAATTTTCTGGCCATGCAAAGAAGCTTCTGTTTATCAGAGAGGTACATTTAAATTAAGAATGCCCCTAATATCTTTCCAGGTTTCCATCTTTCTTCACTGAAGCTAATCAAGAAAAAGACGGCTCTTTTATCACGGTTATGAAGCTCTTATTGAACAACACATTGCCTCACGAAAGGAAAGGTAATTCGAAACTTTTATTGAATGCATTTGCATGCTAATGTTTTAAATGCAGACGAAGAATTGATGAGCATCGTTGTGCAATAGATATGGTTCATGTTCAGTTTCTTTCGTTTAATTTGATATTACTTATAAGTATTTTGAGTTGATACTACAGATATTATGCATAATGCAATATAGACAGGGAATTTTATAGAAAAAACTAGCAAACTGCCTAACCTCAAATTTTATTTCACATTCTTACTAAATCGACCATGGAGATTCCAAATCCAAGATGGGCCAAAAAAAATTATCACCGGAAGTTACTGTTTTTGATGACGTCATCAAAAAAATGATAAAAAACTTTAAAAATCGGCCAAGGACTCGAACTCAATTTTTTTTCCATTTTTGCACTAAATTAACTATGCAGATTTCAAATATGAGATGAAATGAAAAATATCTCGAACGGAAGTCAAATTTTGTGATGACGTCATCAACTTGGAGAAAATTCACTTTGAACCTTTTTAATTGTTTTCTCGCAACTATCATTGTCAAATATGTTCCATATTCGAATTGCACACATTCAGTGCTTTTAAAAGATGTATTGAATTTCTATTATACTTACCTTTAAACGTTCTTTCATGACGTCATCATCATTTTATGACGTCATCGCCTTTTAAAGGTAATTGAATAACGCGTGAAAGGATGCCTAAAAATCTTTAGCTAGTTAAAAAAGTCATTCAAATTAAAATTTCGTTGTATAGAAAATGATATGGATCCATTCATCCTTCATCACTCTCTCCTTTGCTGGAACTCCTGAAGAAAATGTAGTTCCACTCATCATCGTCTGCTTTAAGCTGATCACCTCACCATAATTTTTCCCATGGCCTAGTCCTCATTGGTTACGGAATTTTCTTCGATTTCATCACTAGAGCGCTGCAGATCTTGCAGTTTTTTAGCGGAGAGTGTGCGGGGCCCTGCACAAGATGAACATAATTTGTGTGAAAAAAATTTTGGAATTATTTTGTTGACTCCAGTATTTTCTGCAGATATTCACAGCTTTTTTAACGTTGACGATCGGATATTTTTGTCTTCAAGCCGTTAAGAAACGTTTTTCTCTATATATCCTCTCCGTGCCATTTCTTATTTATTTATCAAATGTATGTTCAAAATTAGAATATGTAAAGAAATTTTTTTCCTATAAACCACACTAATACCACCTGTGGGCCAGATCATTCTTTCCATCGTATGTCTAACGAAAGCTTAAAGGCAATTTCTCTTACAATCTTCTTTTGATAATGTAACCAGTAGTAAATGCTTGTGTCAACCAGTATAGATCTGGTTGTAGAGCTTCTGATCATCTGTTTTTCATTGCCTTGCGAATTCTTACTCTTATCTGCACAAGTGTTTCGTCACATTTTCCTTTGTATGATTATTTTTGCACAAATTTTATCGCTTTCGTGAGAATGTCTTTGCAGATTTCCTGTCTCATCGTAACTCTCTCGAGCAATTTTCCCTTTCCAGAACACTCCTAAAGCTTTTTAAAATGTTAGCTTTCCTTACAACAACATTACCGGTGTTGTTTCGCAGCCAATAACTGCATGAACAGCCGGTAGATTTTTGGAACTATCTAAACCCAGGTAAGATACGACGTTCCAAAATTAACGTACTTCTCGTTGTCAATCTTTAAGGAATATTTCCTTGAAGGCTTTTCACACAATAAGCAGTAATTTTCACACATTAGTGTCCTTTCGACAACTAATAAATTTTATCGATGAGGAAAGAATGGAATATCAAGTGGATGTCAGCCTCTTCATAGCTGCAATTAAGCAAGTATGTCGTGGAATCTTTGATTATCTTTAAGGTTTGTTATTTATTGGTAAACACGAGTGCTTTCAAAATTAACTGCATTTTCTTCTGGAGTTCCAGCAAAGGAGACAGTGATGAAGGATGAATGGATCCATATCATTTTCTATATAACGAAATTTTAATTTGAATGACTTTTTTAACTAGCTAAAGATTTTTAGGCATCCTTTCACGCGTTATTCAATTACCTTTAAAAGGCGATGACGTCATAAAATGATGATGACGTCATGAAAGAACGTTTAAAAGTAAGTATAATAGAAATTCAATACATCTTTTAAAAGCACTGAATGTGTGCAATTCGAATATGGAACATATTTGACAATGATAGTTGTGAGAAAACAATTAAAAAGGTTCAAAGTGAATTTTCTCCAAGTTGATGACGTCATCACAAAATTTGACTTCCGTTCGAGATATTTTTCATTTCATCTCAGATTTGAAATCTGCATAGTTAATTTAGTGCAAAAATGGAAAAAAAATTGAGTTCGAGTCCTTGGCCGATTTTTAAAGATTTTTTATCATTTTTTTGATGACGTCATCAAAAACAGTAACTTCCGGTGATAATTTTTTTTGGCCCATCTTGGATTTGGAATCTCCATGGTCGATTTAGTAAGAATGTGAAATAAAATTTGAGGTTAGGCAGTTTGCTAGTTTTTTCTACAAAATTCCCTGTCTAATACCTATACGTTAACAAGCACTTTATAACAAATCAGTTAAAGTGCCGTATTATGCATTAGTATCATGTATCAAGCATTTATCGATATTCAATATTCATTGACTGAATCCCCATGATTCAAAAGAAGATTGAGAGAGCAAGAGGTTGAGCATAACAGCAGCTTGTCTTTCTCTTGAGCCTATGAGAAGATCACCATCGACTCTTCAAACAACATATATCTTCCATAACAATTCTCTTTTCTTTGCGTATGTGGCAAGATTACCATTGACCCTCTAAATGTTTCCACTATTTATAAAGTGATAAGAACTTTAAAAGAAGTGTTACTTATCTAAAACGGTTTATGACTGCCTAGCATATCTTTGTTATCTGTGTTAAAGGAAGTTTTGAATGAAATGAAGTTTTCTTTTTTATAAGATGCAACTCAATGCCTACAGATGTCATTGCACAAATCCACAGCAAACATTGAAGCAGTGCTGCCATTTGCAATCAAAAGTGTTCATTTAGTAGGTGTAGTTTCATCGACAAGATATGACGCAACAAAGGGCCCTCTTTACAGTTCAATGGCAGTTGTCAAGTCAGGAAAGAAAAACTCATCGGCCTTTGGAAGTGACAAAAGCAAGCTGATTGCTATGTTAATTGCGGGGCATTTCTTTGCTATAGTAGGGCTCTCCTACGCTGTACACTGGTTGCGAAAACGAAGGTAGGGTATAGGCCTACTTTTTTACAGAGGCATCCACTCACTCAGATAGTATGCCTTGTACTGACGTCAGGTTATTGCAAAGGCTCTTTTACAGTGGGGAAGGGGAGTGTCTCAATCACTTAAAGAACACCTGCTGTACGTCCTTACAGTAAAAACTAGAGGGGCTGCACATCATTATGCCTATGTCAAAACACAGCGAGGAGCAGTTTTGCATACGAGATATGAAGCAGATTACAACCAAAGTGGATGCGGTCTTCAAACTGGTGTCGCATCAAATATCTCTTGCAGAAAATTAATCAGTTGATGCTCAGTACATAAATTTTCGGTAGATAAAACACTTCCGCTTGTTCTGCTTGGTGGTAGAAAGCGCAGTAGCCTAAAATAAGAGGTTTTTCAATATTTACTGAACTCAAACTGCTGTGGGATTGGCCACCAATGCAATGCAATAATCTGCTATGAAATACTGCCTCCCTCATAATTATGTTCCAAAGATAATTTTTTTTCATAATGCTTAAGATTTTTGTTCAGACAGCGTGAATAAGGTCATTTTGTCGCTAGTTTTGGTCGGTCATAAATCATCTGTCACTAGTCTGTCATTTTGTCAAGATTTGTCAACTGTTGTATTGTTTGAACATTGACTCATTTTTAGAATCTTTAAATGTACTAAGGCTTTGTGCGGCAATTGCAAGATCAATTAATGTCAATCAATGTCTTATTGTTTTTGCTTTATTGATTTGCAGTGCATTAATGCGAGTTGACCAGTCACCCATCTTTGCTCGCGAGAAGGCATTTATCGGTGACCCAGTCTCCAAATTAAAGCAGAAAAAGAGCGGGGGTGGAATGAACAAAAAAATCAAAGTACGAAGCTACAGCAACGGCAAAGAAGAATTCACGGAGAGGGAAAAGCATCTAAAAAGACCGTTAAAACTCGAGAAACTAAACAAACAGCCGCTCATTGACGATGAAGAGAATTATCTCGAGACCCTGTACATCTAGAAATCTGGTAGCCTCACCCTATGGAAGTAACTTATTTACGCTTACACCCTTGATGCTCGGTCCAACTTTTTTTCGCAATGGACGTCTTGATGTAAAGGAAAGAAGAAATGCATCAAACACTAGGGACAGTCCCATGTTGGGATTTACAGGGAAGTGGGTTCTTGTTCGGGACAAGTCTGTAAAATCATTACAGTCTTTTAAAAATTGTTAAAATTTTCATTTGTGGACAAATAGATAGGTAGAATTTCAATAGGTCGATTTTCACTACTTTTGGTGACAGGTTTAAATCTTTGTGAAGCATTAGTAATTAGCAAGTATCAAATGTGAATAATATATATAATGTTTATAGTGAAATTGTAAGCCTTTTAGAGCAGGGATCTTTTTATTACAAGAAGGCTGAATAAATGCCAAATTTTCTCTTCAAATTTTTTTCTAATATGCCTGATTTAAGCTTTTAAAAGACCAGATCAAGATACTTTATATAATCTATGATATTAATATTCTAGATTGATGCATATTAGTTGGCCTGATTGATAAAATGATTCTCATCAAAGACCCTTATGATGTTTTTGTGATGAACATTCCATATTTGTGATGGAGCCACTAAAGTTAAATACCATTTAAAGATACTTGGCAGAAGAAAACGCTAGCGCCAGTATGAGTGAGAGAAAACGCTAGCGCCAAAGCGGGGTCTTGCAGGGCCCATCTAGCCCGAAGTGCCTTTATCAGTGAAAGAAATTTCAACAGTAATGTTAATTTCAAACACTGTATGAAGTAGGGGCTCCGACACAAGTTGTAAAGTGAGAGAAAGATCATTACCTAGGATTTTGAATAAGATTGTCTGTTTAGCTGAATGTGAGGGCTCGGGGGTAACTAAGCCTAGTTTTGCACAGGGACGTGCCATTTTGGTTCAAACTTCAAAATTTGGACCCATTATTCCGCAAATGTCTGAAAAATGTGACCCATAACTTCGCAAACATGATGAAAACTATACCCTTAATTTCGCAAGGCAAATAACGTTTTCAAAATGAAACAAAACCAAGAAACAAATTTTGCTTGTCCTTTACCCCAAAATCTAAATATTGCACATACTTCATACTTTCATTTCTAACTGGACATTCATTTTGTTAATGTTAAGTCTACCTGCTAATAATTTCACGCTATTTTTCCAAAATAAAGCCCATTATTCTTCATGTTTCATCGAATGGTACCCACCCATAACTCCGCACATATTTTATAAACTGATACCGGTAAGTCTGCACATTTCAGGGAAAAGAAATACCCCTAAATAACTTCATGTCCCCTTACCTTGAAAGGTACCTCCTCCCCTGAGTGTGAGGGATAAACAGAAATATTTTATGTGGAATTCAAATGAAATGGAAGGTGTGGCACACTAAATTGAAAAGTGATGATTGCATAGTCTTCCCGCGGTTTACTCTTGGATCCCCTTTGCTCCTTTTCTTTAATTAAACTATACATTTTCACTTTGCTTTCTATAGTAAGCAGGAAAAGGTCAGGTACAGCAGTAGACATTAAACAGGCTGGAGAATGAAGTGAAACGAAGATCCACCATTTAATAATTTAAGGTATAATCTGCTCTACAGTGCTCCTTTACTTAGTGTCTGTCGAGCACACCAATCTCTATGAGCACACCTCATATTAGCAGCGACGTCATAATTTCTAGCAAAGCATTCTTGTGAATGTTAGTTTTTCAGTAAATGCTTAACACGAACCGTTTAAGTGAAGTAATAAAGGGGCAATATACGCCATTTTAGTTTTTAGCTAGAGGTAATCTGCGAAAGAATGCCTATCAGCGACCAAATGGCCTACGATCCATGTGAAAACCTCAAATCTCTGCGAAGGTGGGCGGTATTGGCAGCTTAGTAAGCCAATGTAAGAAAGCAAATATTTGAGTCTCTTAGCACAGATTTTAAATAGTCTGGAGAATTAGTGAAAGCTTCAGTTCAATAGCTGGTGCAGAAATGAATGAAAGGTTAAGTATTTGGCAATAAAAAGAAGAGCGGCTACAATGAAGGACTTCCTATATGAATTACACAGTATCGAAATTTGCCAATGAAGAGCAAATAAAGGTTTTATATGAAACTTATGAATGAAGAAATATTCTTGCTAAGTCATTATCTAAAGACCGAAATCCAAAGAGTTGGTCAGTGCATATATATTTAATACCTGTGTCTCTCCTTTGGATTTTCAGTCCAAGGGTCGTTATTTAGACGATGTAAGATAAAACCTTTTGCAGGGGCAGGTTTTGGCGAATAGTTGGGAATTGCCTGCTTAGTTTTAGAGTGGCAGCGTGATGCATCATTAACGTCACTATTTAAAATTTTACAAAATGACCAGAAAGAGCACCGCGTAATGCCCCTATGATGCAATATCAGTTAAATCTATCGCACGTTAAGCTACTTTTTAAGGGAGGTATGCTCGTGCCACCCTAACATGCATAGAAATCCTTTATTTCCAAAAAATCTATTTTTCCATCGTTTCCAATGTTAAGGCAAGGGAATTGGTGGAAGCTGTGGATTTTGAGTGTGGTGGGAGCATGCACAGTATATTATTCAAGTGACCGCTTTCTACATGAAATTTTTCTCAGTAGGGAAAATTTAGAATCTGAAGCTCGTAAAGCCATAGCTCCTGGAAACGGTAAACATTTACAAATCAAATTAGAATATTACAAACATACCTTTCAATGACCAAAACTTGAGTAAACTTGAGTAACACTCTCTGATAAAAAAGGAAAGTGAATATTGAATCAATGATTTGTAAGACATTGGATTTATCAAAGAAAAATACTTTTGCTACCAACGTTTGGTTGTTTTGTTGTTTTTTCTTTTAGCATTGTTTTTTTCTATTTCTATTAAAACCTTTTTTTTGTTTTAAGATTTCTTAAATTTAATTTGATATTTTGACAGATCGAGTTGCCACTAAGAAATTGATGTCTCGAAAAATAGAATAAAAGGGCTTAAGTTATATGAATTCAAATGAAAATTTACATCATATCAATCTTAAGTGTGACGTCATAAAAAACCTTATTTTGAGAGTTTTGATTTTGACCATATGTCAAAAATCGGGTGAGATATGGCGAATGAAAGATTTAGAGTTTACTAAAGGATACGAGATATGGCTCTGTATATAAAGTTGCGAACAAAGACCAAATAACAAGGGGTTTCAAGGGAGAAAAAGCTTGTGCTCATATAGCCATATCTCAACCAATTCGTAACACATTTTTATACAAATACCTTAAGAGATATTTCATGATGCTATGTCAGGTTATGGGATTCAAATTTAAAAATCATAAAAATTATTTTTTAAGACGTCATCATTTAAGAGTATATAAGAAGTAGTTGGAAAACTTTTTTATGGCTGGCTAGTGGTGATTAAAACGATGATGAAATTTATGAAAGTACTTACTAGCTTAAACAGCAATTTTATATAAAAAGGTAAAATCCTTATTAAAGGCGTACAAATAAGAAGAAAAATTTCATTCTGCAACCGTAAATATCTAAAAACTACAATGAGATTAAAAAGATTTAATCAGAAAGACAAATACATGCAATATAATAATGAGAAAGAGGTTAAGTAAGCTTGATCTGATTATCCTTAGTAGATGTGTTTTTCACTGATTATCCTTGTTGAAGGTGTGTTGCAAAAATTGATCTTGAAAGCAATTTTTAGCTTTTTAAAACAATATTAGCTTTTAAACAACTCAAAAATTGCAAGATTTTAGTTTAAGTTTCCCAACCATAAAAAATTCGAATATCTAATACAATTCAAGTGGATTGGTGACCCTAGGATATTTGTCTAGGAACGAAAACATAAAAGAGAAGATCTGGTAGCTTATACTTGTCATGCTTGGAAGACAATCATTGACTTGACAATCTTCAGATGAATATTAAAACTCACCGAACGAATCTTAAACTGTACTTTTATCTGTGTTGCTTTTGGGATGAGCGAAAGCATAACTAGGTGACTGGAGGCAGCCTTTCGTAATATAAAGATTTGATTTCTTTTGGCACTCTTGAAGGCGATGAAAACAATCTCCTTGTTTTCCTCGGAGGGGGCTCACTTTAGCTACAGCCTTGTACAGTTGCTACGTTAAAAAATGTGATATATTGTTGTTATTGTTATCATCTTTTAGTATTCCTTTTTAAGCTATATCTGTAGCCACTTTAATTAAGAAAGGGACAAAGACTTTAATAGCTAGATAGTTCTTTCAGTTTATTTGCTTTTTTATTCTTCTATTCACATTGCTCTACCAAATTTCAACTTGTAAAACACTCTATTTGCTACCTTGATATCCCGTAATATCAATGTCACATATCAAAATATCAATTCTCAAATACAAGTCAATAGGGTGTGACTTTATGTGCAGTCTTAGGCGATGTATCTAGATGTTTCCCACAGCACAGCCCTCTTTCTAACCTTTTAAGACAACTTGATCCCTGACGATACTCGGCAAAAACCTCAATAATCTTTAAAAAAGGGTAGTCAATTCTCTTTATTTTACTAGACCCTACTTAGAATAACTCAAACTCAAGTTTTGTAATTTAAAGTCACTTTAAAAAAGAGGGCAAAAGCTTCTTTCTCTAGTGAAGTAACCTGTATTATTAATTTTCAAAAATCACTGTTTTTTCTTTTTTAAGTAACGTTCAAGATACGTCCAACTTAAATCGAAAATTCTAGAACAATGATAACTCCAGCCTCTTCACATCCCGAGCTTTAAAGACATCCGACTGAATGCATATTTACAGTATTAATCTTTGCTTTATCGCGTAACATTTGACTTGCCTTCGGCAGTATTTTTATATTTCATTAACGATCTCGCATGACGGAAAATACACTTTCCTTCCCCAAAAACACGCTTTAGCTATTTACACACGAAACTTCGATTATTTGCAAGTCCTTGAAATGACGTATTTGCAGTTAACTGCTAAATCTTCGTATTTCAATTGAGTGTATGTTTTGAATCCTACAGTTGTTGAGGGACGCTTATAGTTAGATGAAAGTTAATCCTTGACATAAGAGGCCAACAGTCCTTGTAATACCCTTACTCTCTCAACTCGACACTCTGAGGGTTGCCGCTTGCATGCCTGACCATGCAAAGCACTGTGACGTAGCCAGGGGCGAATCTAGCCTTAAAAATCTGAGGCGGGGGCTAGCCTGGGGCAAAACGTTCAGTTAAAGGGGCCAACGTTAATCATTGCATTGCATAATAGTAGAATGTAAAGCAGTGGCGTGGTGGCTCAAAATTAGCTACAAGGCAGCGACTTTTAGCGCCCCATAGATAAGTATGTCCTTGGTACAGCTCTATCAAGGCTGTTATCATTATGCCAAATAGTTTTATTAGTGGCCAGAGTTGCCAGATGCCAGCCAAACAAAACATACGAAAAAGCTTCATTTTGGCTAATTCTATGGAGTAATAGTGTAATCAAAAATAGGCTTTGTTTGTCACATAAGCTCAAACTTGCTTTCAATTTTAATTTTCTGTTTTCTCTTAATTTGTTTCTTGCTTCGTTATTTGCAATTTCGAGATTACTTCAACGAAATGTTGATTATTGTCTGTGCTAATGTTTTAGTTTCATTTCTATTTTTGTGGCTTTCAACATGCAGCCAAAATTAATTTTCGGCAAAATTGGTTTTTGACGGCCAACAACTTTGAAAAACGGTCAGAATGGAAAAATTTGGAAAAATTTACAACCCTGTTAGTAGCGTAACGAGCAGCTGGGTCGCCTAGGAAAAATAGCAAAGAAAAATTGTTGCTTGGGGGCCCATAACGGTGCGGGACCCTTTGATATTTAACTGAAGGTAACTTTGGGCAGTTACTTCACTGACTTTTATCTGTTTAATAATAATGCATCATGAACATTAGAATTTCAACAGAAAGACTTTACTTCTAAAAATAGGCTAATACATAGCTTTGTTAAGTTGATTGGTAAAGTTTTTCCATAGTAGTTATGTCTTAAATCCAGCCTCCATGAGATCAAGCAAATCATTCTGTTACACAGAATTTCAAATCATAGAATTTTGGTAAGCAATAGTAGATTGCCAGGGTATACTGGGATGGTATTGGTATTTCCCTGTGCTGGGTTCCAGAGTGGAAAGGGTTTTCAGTGGGATGTGGAGAACCTTGGTTTGGGCTCGCCCTTCGTACCCCATCCAAAGAAGGTGAACCCTCGTGATAATATATAACAGATATAGAATTTAAATGATTGTCAATAATGAATTTGTTCTGGTAGCTACAGAAAAGAGCCAAAATTTTATTAATGTTCACCTCCGTTACATACCAAAATGCTGATCAGGGCCCCTAGCTTGTCGAATAAATGCAATAAAGATAACAGTGAACAAAATAAAGAGAGCAACCCTAGCAAAGTCAAAAAACAATTGAATTTTTATTAGAAACTTTTGAAAAAACTGGGGGGGGCAAACAAGGGGGAAAGAAAATTTCAGGAGGGCGTGGCCCCCTGGCACCCCGTAGAAACGCCACTGGATTTGGCATTGTTTTGCAACTGGAGTAGATGCTTTAAAATTCAAAGCACTAAAAATCATCATGGTTCACATATGCATCTTAATAGATAAAAAAATTTATGATCTACAACTTACTGGTCTTGAAGCAAAGAGGTTCTGTTATATGGTTCATTATGCAGAATACACACTTTTTATAAGGCACGTGGCCTAGTTCCTGAAGTTCCTAACTTTTTGACCCCTTTCTATCGAATATTGGTATTAAAAGTTCTGTAATAGTTCCTTTTTTTAACTTCATATAAAAATTGCACATAGTTTATTAGAATACTATTTTTGTGTCGTAAGATTAGTAACTGTAGGTAGAAACAAAGTGAAAAAAGAAAGAAGACATAAAATAAGTTTGATACATGAAAAAGTACAAATTCAATCAATAAGGAAACTCACTTTTTTAAGAAACGAAGGTTGATGTCGAATCCTATAGTTTCGTAATGCTTTGGAAAATCGACGCTTTGGGAAATTATCACGAATTTATTGATAATTATGACATTTATTTAATCATTTTTATTAATTAACTAATCAAGTTTTATTCTGGGGTCCTGTACATGATTTTCATGGTGGGGAATTTTTCAAACAGAAACGTGTTGGGGAGGGTTTTCAAAGCAGCAAACAGTGAAACTTGTCAATTTTTTATATTGTTTTTGAGTTCTCGTGACCTTGCTGTCAAAAGGCTTGCTTCCGTTTTAATGTTATGCTTGGATGAGAGAAGTATATTTTTGTTCTCTGTGCCTAATGCAAACAAAGCAATTATATCGATGGATTTTTACGTAATTTTGAAGTTATTGGCTTTTCAATTGTTTCTTTATATTTTTGCTTCGAGTATTGAAATTTCTTTATTTTTTCTTGGCTGTCCAGTATTTGTTTCTAATAAGGAGTTTTTTATAGAAAGATGAGCGTAAATGATTTGAAGTGAAGCAGAATCACAGAGCAGAATGTTATAGGTTCCGCCCACAGCTCTCCTTTCCAGTTCCGGGTGGAGCTTGTTGAACTCCACGATTCACATTGTCGCAAGTTTCCCAACCAGACAGACTATTTCTGAAGTTTCAAGAGCCAATATGAGTTTATCTGTAATATTCTATTAACATATTGAGATAATCTCGCCGTTCTGCTGCTATTTGGTACATGGCATGAAGGATGCAATCACACGATTTAAAAATATTGTTTAGCAGGAAGAGTTTCGTTCTTTCGATAAAATATTTACTTAACGAAAACGTTCTTAGTTTTATTTGTGGGTAATACCTTGATTGAAGCGAAGCGTCTACATATGAGGCTTATTTTGTTTTAATTTGGTACCGGGTTGACCCAGTAAATATGAACTGTTTGCGTCAAGATTTGAGCAAACCGAGAAAAATGTTGAGTAACCTAATACGGTCCGGATTGGCTTTCAAATGGATGCCCAAGTAAGTGATTGAAACATCGCAATCGTGATTCACTATTCAAAAGTAAAAATGTTTCAATTTACTTGATGACGTCTGTCAGCGCTCATTGACAAATCGCTGAAGGACAGAGGTGTCCGCAATCTCAACATTGGTCTTGAGGTGCTCATGACCGGAAATTGCATTCTGGGCACGAAATTTGCGCATTTGCAAATATATCGAAATCGATTATTTGCTACTTAGTTGTTATGGGGTCTTCCAAAACCGTGCTTGTATGGTGACTTCCTGTGAGTAATAATTCACAACAGAAAGAAATAAGGAGAACAGGAAGGTACAATCGAAAGCGTGTTCAATTTTTCAAAGAATCGATGTCGCTAAAGAAGCTGGCCTTCGTTTTATTATTGGTTCACGCGCTAATATGGGTGAGTTGCGTCCAATTTTTCGTTTTCAGAGTTTGGTTTTTTAAAATCAACAAGGATATTCGGCTTCTGTGTAGATTTATTATCGGCGATGATCGTTTCTTCGAAAAAACCAGCGCAGAAGAGCATTTTTATTTATTCAGTTAAATTGCAGATATAACTCAAGAGTCACAAGGCGTTCCTCGAAGCTGAAGAAAGTCACTGTAAATTTATAGAAATATGGCTCGATGGGTGACTATGTATGGTTCTAGATTTTAACCAAGTATTGATTCTTGATTATTAATCGCTTATTTCGTTCCCACGCCCGATTATAAGTCAGTTTCAGAAACGAGCCTCTCCTCGCGGCGACCAAGCATCTCGTTCTTTGCAAATCTTGCGCAGCAACTAAATGAATTGCTTGATTCTGGTAAATTTGAGTTGCGCGACGTATCTGTAAATACTTGTCTGTGGTTGTTTAGTTTCATTTATAAGTCAAACGAGAACAGGCTCGTGTTTCCATTGCATGCGGATAACAGCTTGTAATGGAAATAAGGTTATGTGTCGTTAAGGAGGTTGGAGTGTATTTTAAGCCGTTTGAAAGCAAAGAAACGGAAGATGGAGCATGCTCTAAACTCGTAACCTAGCTTGGGGACTCTTACAAATTTGAAATACGTACACAAATAATGACCAGCCACGGTTTTCAAAGAATACTTGGCGATTTAATGCACACAAAACAGGAAAGAAGAAGTGAGCATGCACTAACAATTGTATCAGACCTTCTTCCTACAATCTAACCCTTACCTCTTTTTCTCCCTGTTTTCTTTCTCTCCTTTTCCTCCCCTACCTCCCTCCTTTATTCTTTTTCCCTTCCCCATTCCCTCCCTTCATCTCTACTCATCTCCTTTCCCCTCCTTCCTTGTTTTCTTTCTCTTCTTGAATACTTTTGCACTTCCCTATCCTAAAGTCCGCCAATGAAAGGGTTCTCGTATACTGCTTGTCTGCGATGACCCGTGATCTTCTGGCCTCCTTTGTGTCATGTGTTACCATGTAAACTACACTGTAATCAACAAGCATTAATTTATTAATTTGCGTGCCAATTCTGACAACAATTTGCGCACCAAATTTGAAGCAAAAAAAGGTGTTTTGTTCAGTCGATTTAGCAGAGATCAGTTCAAATTAGGTTGTGCTGTTTCACCTCGAACATCTTATTGAAATTGAAATTTAGGCCGCGTCAACAAATTTTTGATTTTTTGCTCCTTCTTGTGACTATGGCTAAATGGACTCAAAACAAGTCAGGGCTTCAAAATTGGCGCGCAAATCTATTATCGGAATTGACGCGTCAATTATCAATGGTGGCTTTTTGTTTCCAAGGCCACTAGTGACACAACAGGGCCAGAAGATCGCGGGTCATCGCAGCAAAGCAGTATATGAAAATACTTGCATCGGCGACGCTCTGCGATACACAAGAGCCAGGATTAAACCCGATCGGTTCATATCATGTTCGCCAATCGTTTGATTTGATTGCAAAAAACCCATTCCCTTATTACCAGTTGACCAAAAGAGCTGCATTTCACTGCAAATTTCGAAAAATGGAAATTAGATGGTTTTAATACAATATTGCGTAGAAGTTTCGAAATTCAAAATCTTCCTTTTTTGAGACAAAGTTTCTTCACTTGAAAGAAGGGGAAATATTTTCCAAGGGAATGTTGTATTTTTACTTGGAAGGTCAAGAAGAAGGGAAAGGCAAGATAGAAAAGACTCTTCTTAGATCTGAGGCCAACATGTCTTTCATGAATAAATTCCTATGCTATGTTGAATAAATGCATAGCTTGTTGAGAGCCGGCGACGATATGAATGGCCCTTTCATGGTTTTATTTTAATGTCGTGTAAAATGGTAAAGAATTATGAGCATAGTTTCAGTTTCAGTTCAGTTTTATATTTTAAAATTCCACTACACACACCTTCAATTAAAGCTACATACCTAAATACACAAAAAGAAATTACATTAATCGCCGAAGAACAGTACTAAACAGCGTGAAATGACTTTATAATATGAGTATGTATAAATAAAGTTGACAGTTATTTTGAAACGGTATATAGGGAAAAAGGAAGAGACTTCGAAATAGATAATCTTTCAACGTTCTTGATTTTCACTAGGCTATGATGACATTTTCGTTAGGCCTACAATTTGGTAAACATGTAGACAAAGTACGGCAATATAAATGATACTATCAGTATGTTCTTCGAAATGACAAGTATTCTACAACTTACTTGCATTGCGCTTTCTCCTCCAACACTATATTCTTGAGCAAATTACGTTCCAAGTTGAGTGCAAGTTGAAACCTGGCGTCATTTTCAAATGGCGCGGGGTTGTTTTTAGAAGATTGGGCTCGAGAAACCAAAATGGCGTCGAGAAAAACTTCAGCAAGTTCGCCCGTAACATTGCGAATTTTACCTTCATTGACACCTTTACATAAAGTTCACTTCAAGGCTTCTTACCCTTCTATTTACGGATAATTTTACTTAATCAATTAATGGCAAGTTTTTGTTAACAGCAAGTTCCTAAAAAGTATCGTGACACTTCGATAAAAGAATCATGGCGTTGAAACTGATTTGATTTTCCAACACAAGGTCACCAAAAAATACACACTTACTTCTTTAATTAATCAAGGGCTGAGTATTTTTAAAAATACTTTTAAACTAAAAAGACACTTCAACTTTTGAATTATGACCACAAAAACATAGGGTTCTTGCAAAGTTGCTGCTTTAAATTGCAAGGGCAAAATCATGTGACCATAATGAACTTTACTGTACAAGTGCGTTTAGTTACTATAGGCCCTTTTTGCGCTTCATGGCATAGCATATTTTGATTGATGATCTTTTCAGAAATTTTGAGAGTACCGAGAAAAGCTTTAAGGTTAAACATTGATTCTTTTAAAGGTTCAAAGTATTGTCTCTTTCTTACTAAATGAAAAAGAATATAAAACATTTTTTTACAAATTTATTGAGTAATCAGTTATTAAAACTTTGAAGCTGTCCCACAACTTTTTTAAGGTAAGCGTACTTTTTACTTTCTTGCTGAAAATTCCAATGCGAAATATTTTGCAAGCATTTGCGAGTAGCTTTTGCTCGCATTTATAGAGAAGAATAATTTGTCGTCAAATCAGTTGGTTGAACGGCTTAACAATTCCTTTCAGTTGCAAATAGAAGCCACGATTTCTCTTACCCATCACTTATTCTCTTTTCATAAGTAATTGTTACGAAATCGATTGGGATGCAAAATATCTGATTAGATTATTGTTAATTTAATGTATCTTGTTTTTAGATAAAATGACCCTAAAATGAGATTCATGAGAAGGTTAGAGCACGCCTTTCTCTGTATATAAGGAATCAGTCAAAATGTGTAACCCACCTTGAAATTTGATGTTTTTCACGCCAAATTCCTTGTTATTGAATATTTTTATGTCACGCACCAAACTGTGAGAAGGTTTTAAGCTCTTGCTCTTTGGCATTCGAATTTACAAAATCGTCTAAATTATTTCTACTTTGCTAGAATCTGATTGAATATCTGAATGTACAGCGGGGTGCGATTTCTGAAACCAACACATTCTTGACTGCCACATCGTTTGGAGAATGTTTGAATGCCCTGCATTGAGTGTGGAAAGCTATATGAAATTGTATAGTTTTGGTATTTGATCAAAGTATTTATGGAAAGGTCTGTCAGCGAAGAGCAAGGCAGTCTACGCCTCCAGAATTTAATCTGGCGGAGATACCTAGAATGTGTCGTGGTATAGGATCTAATTTAGTTCGCCTCAACTGGCCTAGCACTATAAGATTCCGGTTGCACTCGAGATTTTCAATGAAACAAGCCGATTTCCTGTTCATGGTTCCATTCAAGCTCTGGCTGCCTCTTCCGCAGGTCACACTGTTCGAGGCCATTCGCTATATTTCAATTTCAGTCCAAAATTGCTGGGGAGACGAGCAAGAGGAAGTTTTTTAATGAGTGAGGCAACCCTCCGTCCTGGAGTCAAAGAGTATGCGTATAGAATGAAGCTATCACGCATACTCCCTGACACCAGGACGTAGGGCTGCCTATTTACGCTTGCTCGTCTTCCCAACAAAAACCTACCTTGCGATTCCTTATCTTGAATGATTCAAAAATTTATTTCGAAACTATGAAAAACCCATTGCAATACGGCTTGTTATGGTGAAGATAGACGTGCGGAAAAATAACACTTTTTACAATGCAACTTCCCGAACAGCAAATAATCTGAGCGTGTACTGCTTTCTGTTGCAGGAGGCTGAAACACATAGAAAGAAAAATCTTTAGGCACCTTAATGAGTGTCCATTGCTATTCGGGTTTGGTCCCAAGAATAATTCATATGATTCTAAAATCGCATGATTCCAACAAAAATATACCTATGTTAACTATTAAACACTTCGTAACCCGTATCGTAACTATTGAAAACCAGCGTTAATTTTGAATAATGCTTGTTACTGGAAAAGACTGGCTCCTTTTTTCTTTTTATTACTTTATTTAGAGTAACCATAAGCTAATTAATACCAACTAGCATACCAACAGCAGCAATATAGATCTAATAATACCTTTTAAAACTCAGACATGGCGCGCACAAAATTGAACCTGGAGGGCCGATAATGAAGTTTAGTAACTAGGACGACCTGTTATGGTTTGCCCCGACGCAGAAGAAAATTTTGAAATTGAGCTTTTCTTTTATTCATAGAAATTAATAACAATACAATTTTACATTGACTATATTACCCTAATTACTGTACTACACTACGGGGACGATACCATGAGGAGCGAAAAACAATGACTACCCCATGGCCGATAGAAAGAAAGATAACTAAAACTAGGTAGACTAATTACAAATACAGAGTAAACAGACAAAAGGTAGATGCTAATGTATAGGAGTGTCTAAATTGAGCTTTCTAGAATGTCTAAAAATGCATCACCCAGATTGAAATTTAATGAATTATACCGCTAAGAATAGACAATTGGCCGACTCAGAAAAACTTTTCTTATTAATTTCAAGGAAATATTTTGGAGTAGAGGTGTCGTGCTAAAACTTTAGTGTCAGACGTTGGGGAAAGATAGAAAGGATGACCTTTGGTTAAAACTGCACATCGGTGTGAATAAATGGAGGCTTTTGTCTCGGTTATTTTTCAGCAGGCCATGTTCACATATCCAAAATGCAGACATTGCAATGATACAGAAAGCTATTTACTGAATTGATGCAAATATTGAACAAATAATAGCGATACCTAAATAAGTTAGTGGACATTCTCTTTTTAAAAACATGGTCAAAAAGGCTTCATCTCTGAGAAAGTGAGGGGTTTCAGCCCCCAGCCCCCCTCCCCTAATGGCGCTGTGCCTGAAACTAACATCTAACATAATACTAACTAAAATAACTACAATAAATAGAAATGTATGCATGTTAATACTTATAAGCAATTATTAATGAGACCCTACATTTGCTTTAGACGGGATGCATAATTTGCAGGAGCATGGAATTGTGGTTTCCTTTCAAATTGACGGAAGCAAATTCTTCACCATTGTGAATCAAAAGATATTCATTTGCGTGTATGAAGGAGTGTAGTTTAGTCTACTTAAATCTTTGACAAAGTAGTGGATGACATTTTTCTAGAATCTTCACTCACCAAAAAACAAACTGCAGATAGTAACTTCTCGCAAAGAACATAGTTATTAACAGGTTTTGATATATCTCTGATAATGATAATTACTATGCTTTTCACGACGTGTAACAAGAGCTGTCAGGATTTCGCTAACGAAGAAGGCCCTGAGGCGATTCATTGCTAACTAGCAGTACTTGACCTGAGTAAAGTACCATCACCTCAGGGGATACTTCTTGGAAATCATATGACAGTACAGTCCCGATAAATCGAACTTCAAAAGGAACGATGAAAATTATTCGAGTTACCGAATGTTTGAGATATTGAAGTTTAGAAAGTATTGCAAAAGGTACCAAGCCGGTTCAAGGGGAATATAAAACAGTTCAAGGTACTGGGGTTCGAGTTATCAAGGACTCGAACGATCGGGATTAAAATGTATGTTTAAATAGAAACTGTGATCCCAATGACTTCCAGTAGAGAATAAAGACCACTAAGAAAAGCCATTAAGCACATACTAATTGATCTGCAGTGTGCGAAAACCTCACAAGAAATGCTTGGATCATTCATTCCATTCAAGACTTAATCATCAAAGAAACTCGTGCTTCATGTCAGTGTGCATTCTTCTTTCCCAAGTGTTTAAATGTTAGGTTTTCAAGATGCCTCAATGAATGGGCATAGAGAAAAAGTAGTAAACTTGGCTCATTAGTCTAGACAATGAATAACGGCAAAATTGCGGAGATAAATTCTCCAAAGAAAGCCGTTCAAAGGAAACAAGGATGAAGAGTCAAAATGTTTTGCTGAGGATTATGGCAGAGATTCACATGATGTTGCTGGCAGCATGTGCTTACCATGTCCGTTTTAGAATTAGATAACCCACATAGACGGACATAGTTTGCAGATATAGGAGCATAAAAAGCGATGCATATATACAGGCTTGTTGAAACAGCATTAAGCAATCGTTAACTCGCGAAGATAGATTCGGTAATTCCTAAAATCCCAAAGACGATTTATGGATTCTGAGGTTGGATCTAGAATCCCAGACGTGGTAATATCAGAAAAAAGCAGTGAAACGGTTCTATTTAACCAGGGGCTACACCATCTAGACAATGTATCTATCAAGTTGCGTATGAACCTAAGTATTATTGCAAGGAATGTATGCATAAGTTTTGAAGCGATTTGTATTTGGTCGCTTTAAAGGTATTGGACGTCTTCGTGTGTCTACTGCCTATTCATCATCAAATTAACACGTTTCGTTATATGAAATAACATTGTGTGTATATCAGAACAGACATATTAAAGAAGAAGTCAGTCTTTATTAATGTTCGTATTGTTCTTGACTCGTACTATTGCCTATTGCGCTGAGAATTAAAATGACGTCATTATTGGTTCCGTATATTCCCAGATGTCAGTAATTCCTGCATTATAGAGTTAAAAAGAATAAAAATATATGACTTTGCCATGGGAAATACTGTATCGAGATGTCACAATAATTCCAACCAATCGTTGAGGTGAGTTAAGGAAGTTATTTGGAACAAGTAGCTTATTTAAATTGGTGTTCCATTTGCCTTGAAATGGTTGTTAGTTTTTGGCCATGGATATTCTAGCATTTATAGATGCATTAAAAAATTTTGACAAAAAGCACATATATGCAACCTGTTTGCTCCAACTAAACCCTTGAGCTGATGATACCTAAAACCATATTGGATATTTCATAGCATAGTCTAATGAAAGACTATGCTCATAGCTAACTTTTAGGTCTTATGCTTGGGTCAAAGTTTTTGTCTTCGTTAATACTCATTTCGTGTACAACATAAATATAGTAACTTTGAGAAAAAATCGGGACAGTTATATTATCAATCCAACAACTTTACATTTATCAAGTAATCTAGGCACGTAGTAAGGCTAGCACTTTGATTAAAGGCAATCTGTCTCGTTGTGGATTGGTTAACGAGAACAATAGCTGGAACAATAGCCTAAACACGATTCCAGCACTCCGCCATATTTTTTACAATGCGATAAATTAATGGGGGACTGGAAACAATAAAAATCCCTTTGTTCTTATAACCAATCAACGTCGTGACAGATTGCCTTTAAGCTGGTCATTACAAATCAACAATTGTTAAAGCCTGTCCATAATATATATATATATATATATATAAATGTTATAAATGTTTTGTTATATATGTATATAAATGTCATCGGTAACATAGGGAGAGCTAACTAGACAAGCCAAAGCGTAGTGTTGGCGGCTCGAACTTTTGCCAGAGAATAACCAGTTTCTACATGGACATTGTTTTTGCAAAATTTCGTGCTAGTCTCTCTTGCTGTTTTTTAAGCAAGTTTTCATCTCTGTAATCTTAAACAGTTTCTAGTAAACTAACCGTATAGCCCAAGTGACAGTAGGAAAACCAAGGCTTGTGGAAAATTGCATAAGGATAGAAAGCGCGAAAGACAGGGCTGTGTTTTGTTTTCTTTGACATTATTTTGTTATGTTAGCCAAATAAATGCACTTTTAGCAAAAAATATAGACACGCAGAAGATCTGCTTGGACACTTCTTACTTTTCGACGATTGCATTTTTACGTTTTGTGCCACTGCTCCATTTTCCTAAGAGACTGTTCTCAACACGGAACTCTACAGTAAAGGAAACCATAAGTTTTTAACCCATCTTCTTTAAATGATAATCTTAATCCAAAATTGTTGTAGCGCTTATTGAAACAGTTACTTGGATTACAAGATAATTCGTATCCATGGGCGGTGATTCAAGACTAATTTGTAAGAACTGGCATAAATGATGTCTGAGTGATAATCAAAGGGTTTCTGACCTCCCTATAATTCACGCCTTTTCTTGTTATAATCGCGTGGATTCATTGACGTCAGGAAAGAAATGCTTCATTCCCTGTTCACACAAACAGACTGCGAAGAATTTCCAGAAGCTTCATTCCGTTCCCAAAAGTGGACCGTTCCGCAATTGAGTCCACAAGGGAACGCTATAATTCGCACTATTCCGTTTCGAAGCTGGACCACGCGCAAAACTGAAATGTAGGCTTAACGCTGAATCTAAAATATTAAGACGGGGTCTTGATAATCAGAGGGGGTGGAAATCTTGAACATTCCTTGATATTCTTGAAATATCAAGCCAGACGTTCGCTAAATTCATCTGTGTAAAACGCAAACTTAGGAATTTTTCTTGTGTCTGAAAATTTTGGTATAAGAAGAAACTTCGGTTTCAAAAAATTTCAATAAAGAAATCTGAAAATGATATTTGCGCATGTGCTTTGTCTGTAGGTTTTCATTCGAAATAACTCAGTTCATTCTGCTGCAAACTGTTCTAATCGAAAACTGAATTAATTATCATTTTTCCAAAAACTAAATACCGCTCAATGTATTTACTGTTACAGTCAGGACCGTCGTTAAGCACTTTCACATAGGGGGTGCCAGTCACCAATTTGTCGACAAAATAGGGCATCGCCTAAGATATTTCAATGTGGGGGTGTGGCATTTTGACACAATTGATTTTGTTTATCAAAGAGAATGTTCTCGTTAATCAATCATCGCTTCAATTTTGGAGTGAGTGTGGGTACTTAGGTTTTGAAGGCCTTGAAACAATGCCGAAAGACGAGGTCACCCTGCGAGCGGAGCGAGCAGGAAATTTTTGCGACCACGCCCTTTAGATTGTCTTAAAATGCATTTCAGAATATTTCTTGCAGTCATTTCTTGCAATCGTTTAGAACTTTTAACTATTTTTAGGCATACCTACGTTTCATTGATTTCATTCTTAAAATGTAGTTCATTACTTCTTAAGGTCCCCTCGACCTCAAGGCTCTGAGGCACTTTGCCCCCTTTCCCTGCTTACAGTGGCTTCCGCACCCCCCGCTAGCGACGGCCCTGAAGTTACAGTGAACATGGGTCATCGGGAAAAAGTTTCATAGCTGGGTATATGAAGAGATCTCGCTGGCCTAGACCGTTCGTGCTGACAACAATGGTCGATCATAATGCATAAAGTGGCTCGACGTTCTCAAACCAATTCCAAAACATGATTTATATAGGCAGCTAAGTTTCTCTAATTTCAAGATGTTTTTAAGAACGTAAGCGCGCCCTTCTTAACCTAGAATTTGCAGTATTAAATATTTCAAAAAGACACTTGCCGTGGTTCAGAAACGACACTAGTAACAAATCCCAAAGACTAACAGAGACCTCATCATGGATTACTTATAAAAACTAGAGCTAGCAACGAAAATGAGATACTGCATTCTACATCGAAATGATATCGTCATACTGGAAATTGATGCTGGATATTGTTATGAAAAGGGATCATATTATCCGTAAGGTCTTTGTTAAATAAAAACATAGTTTTATTAAGAATTAGGCCTAGTCTCTTCTATCTAATAGGATAAAGCTCCATCTGCAAAAACTCAAAACGGGTCACGTCATGTCAAATTCTTCAGTAGACTTACGTAAGTCTGTTTACCACATGCCTTTTAGGGTTAGCTGCTGATTTTCTGATTTCTGATTTTCTGAAGACGCTGAAAACAAAACAAAAATATTACCAAGCAAACCAATTTCCAAATTGGATCCATGTACATTATTCTGACAACTCAAGAAACAATTATGGAAAGAGGCGTTGTTCCCCATGGGTCCCTATTGCTTGAGTGAGTTTCAAACACAACCCTGAACACAGGTGGTCCATGTTTACAACGTTTTCTGTTTGTCCAGTTTACCAAGGCAAAATTCCTTCGAATGGTCAGAAAATTCTCATTTGATAGAAGATTTTCTTAGTGGGGCAAAACAACCGGCTTGTATGGGGTGACATCACAAGGCACCAAACCTCTCCTTGTGGAAAGCTTTCCAAATGGTTTGAAATGATCCCAATTTATGATACTTTGAAGGCATTTTCGGAAATCGGTCTTTCTTTAGTGATTCCGATCAATTCTATTTTTAAGTAATAAAGTTTAAGTAAAAGAAAGGTTGTTTGTTCATTGTTGGCCTTAATTGGGGGGCCATTTTTGGTCGTTCAAGACAACCCAGTGGCTTTTTCTAAAAATTACGGAACTCTGCTTGAAGTTGCCAGAGGTAAACTAGAATTTAAGATCCACTTCAAAATTATTACTTTCAGTCTAGTTTCAAACCCTATTAGACAAACAACACCTGCAACTAGCAAACCACAGACTAGTTACTGGACATTTTTTCGCATATTCCAAGCTGAAAATACTTAATTTACATGAAGTACTGCAGACTTTAGCGAGCACTAAACTATGTAAAGCTCTTATTGCAATAATTAAAGATACAATGGACAAACATTATAATTTGTAATGAATACTGGAAATAGCAAAGACCCTTTTGTTTGGAAACTTCCATGAACTCCGCTTGAAAAGTAGTTTCGTCGTTGCCCCTTAACACTCTCTTGCTTAAAGTAATGAGTCCCACCTTTACTTCTGCAATTAATCAACCCTTCAGAAGTCAATCTGGACTTGCTGCTTTAGATCAGCTTTTGTTGGTTCTGTTGATATTTCCCAAATTTGTGTTAAAACATACAAAGTGAATGCACACTTTTTACTCTAAGAATATAGTCTACAAGAATATTGAGGCTCAAATCATTGAAATTTAAGAACGATTTGAAAGTAATGCAAAGCTCAAGCTTCACCAAGAATTTAATTTTTTGTTTACTTAAGTTTTTTTGGAAGGTAAATAACATCACGCTATATGTCTTGAAATAGACGTATCTGGCCTTGGAGTCATTAAAACTGAAACGCAATTCGGTTATACCTTATATCGCCTAAGAATGATTTAAGGATAATGTTAGGCTCAAAATAAAAAAAATCAAGAATATTGAGGCTCAGCAAAACGTAGGCATTCTCATTTAAAAAATGCTTTGGGGCGCGAGGGATGCAGATCAAGTTTTACCATCATTGTTATAAGCAAAGATATGCAAAAAGTAATCAACCTTTCTCCCATATGTTAGGTACTCTTATATGTTAGGTGAATAAGCATTGGTTTAAAAATGAAGAACAATCATGCAAGGATTCTTTTGATATGGTCTCAATTTGACGCAGTTTAAAATTCACTTTTCAGAGCGTGAATACAGATGGAGTATTATCGATGAAACTTGTTCATTACGAAAACCCGGGTTCACTGAAGTCAGACAGCACATGTTGCGATGGTACTGATACAAGCACTGGCGAATGCAATACCTGTGAATACATGTTCAAGATCTGCCTTTCTGACCCTCGTGCCAAGCCGTGTTCACTCGCAAACATCTTTACTGACTGGGTATCCAACAAAGATTACTACTTGTTTGACCCATACATCTATGTAAAACCATATGGTGACGCGCTGGGTAACCCATTGCAGATACCTTTTAGGTCGTGGAACGTAAGTAACTCTGCCAAGGCTGTTGTGTTTCAACTTCTTTAAGATGTCGAGTTCAAGAGATGCGAAAGCAGGAGCTGAGGGGACTTAGCTCCCCCAATGATTACCAAGATACACTTGAATCATGTTGGGTTTGATCCTCTACATCAAAAAAAAATCTTTAGACCCTTAAGCCCCTGGTCGGTTATTTGCTTCGCGGATTTTGTCAAATTCAAATGAGTTGTTCTCTTACTTTCCTAGGCGTAGCTGTGTTATGTTAGAGACATACCTTAATACTCTGAAGTGTTATTCAAGGCAAAAATATTAATCCTTAAAAATACGAGAGAAACAACAATAAAATTAATATTGGGAAGTTCACTTGCGAAATACATCTAATAAAATTCACTACAGCAAGAAATATTCCCGAGTTGCTTAGGAAATCGCAACATGAACTTCAAATGAATTCAATAACCTATAATTTCTTTTTTCTCGTCTTCAGAACAGCCTTCTTTTGAAGTTTGTCCTACTGGATGATGATAATGCTGGTGCTTCAGACCTCATAAGCACAATGGAGAAGAACGTGACCATAAATGCGACCAGAAGTGGCACAATTGTCCAGACTTGGGTGGTTTTGGAGGGAGAACGACGAACCACTGGTGTTGTACCAAAACTTTCCGCTCAGATAAGGTACTTTAGTTTATTCGCAAACATTAGGAAACCATTACCTAAAAAGCAGCTATGACGCAACTCAATCTCAAATGCACAAGATACTCGAACTGAGGTATGGAACAAGGTGTATCAATCTGAGTGAACAGCTAAAAGAAAGCAGGCCCTCCCTAGAAAAGAGAACTTAATTTATATTTTACATTGTTTTCCGATGAAAATTTATGTCCCTTTTGACATTGTTTTCCGTTGAAGACATTATGTCCTTTCAGTTACTGGATGATATGAACAATGAAGCTGTAACCATCCAACATTGAATCTCGTTGGCTTTAATCATCCTTTTATTCATCAGCGTCTCCAAGCATGAATTCTACTGCAGTGAAAATAAAACTGACAACACAGTATGTAGCATTTTTAAAAACTTCTTTATGAACACATGATGCATCAGAATAAAACTGCATGGATACTTTTCTACAGTGTTTCATGCAAAACCAACTACCTCATACCAAGCTGCAGTGATTACTGTGTGAATACCGATGATGCCTCGGGGCATTACGTATGCAACTACATGACTGGAAAACGGGATTGTCTAGCTGGTTGGTATGGTGACAGATGTGACAAGAAGATTTCGATATGCAACCCAAGAAACGACAGCTTGGGACATTACACGTGCGAAAAGATGACTGGGGCAAAGATTTGCTTGCCTGGCTGGCGCAATGAATCAAAGAACTGCACCGAAGGTATGAAACTTAACTGTACGTTTTATCTAAATCCTGCAAACGACTTATGAAAATATGCTTCAGTTTAAATTCTTTTTCTTAGCTTCAACGCGTAATATTTTCCGCTTTCTCTGGGTGTCAGTAAGCAGGAGGGAGTGCGGGGGAGTGGAGTGGGGGGAGTGCGGTGGTGCATATTGAGCGACGCAGAAAATTAACAAAAAAATTAGGGCTCAGTCGACAAATCTGAAAAAAGTACTATTAACTAATGACGAATAGAAAGAACTTCAGTTAATGTCAAAACAATAGCTGCCCATAGCCATATAATAATACGCACCGCTAACTCGAAAGTAAAAACCGGTTTATTTTATAGAGATAATGAGAACAGCAACACCACCAAACTCGAAGACTAGGTTGCTTACAGTAACAAGCAGCTACTCTACCACAGAAACACCACAAAACTCGAAGACAAGGTTGCTTACAGTAACAAGCAGCTACTCTACCTTAGAAACATCACAAAACTCGAAGACAAGGTTGCTTACAGTAACAAGCAGCTACTCAGCAACAGAAACACCACAAAACTCAAAGACAATGTTGCTTACAGTAACAAGCAGCTACTCGACAACAGCAACAACCCAGATGTCTGTTACCTGGATGTCCCCTTCCTCAAGCAGAACACTCATTGAAACAACAGAGGTCTTAGTTCATCGCAGCAACACTCTTTCCAAAAACATTTCAACGATTTTCATCTCAAAGGAAACATCTTCTGTTGTACCGTTACATTCAACCTCTCATCTACACCGAACAACTTCGACTCAAGATTTAGAACCAAAGTCGCACTCAAACTTCGCAACAGCATCGTCCACAGGGCAAACGATAAGCACAGTGCTTGGAACGCCAAGCAGACCTGTGGCATTAACCACTACACAGGGATACACATTGATTGGCTCAAATAAACCCTCATCTATGCAACGCGACATGAGTATGGAAACACAAAGTGGGCCTGATTTGGAAAAAGCGACACAAACAGACAGCATGAGCCTGGTTTCCATAGCTGCATCACATACAACTCAGAATCCACCAGTTATCAAAACAGCATCCCCAACATTGCGCCCCAAAATGGAAAAGATGATGGATTTTGGGAAGCTGGTTGCCTTTATCGTTTCCATCGGTCTTCTTATACTTTTATCGGCAACTATTCTACTCACACTCAAAATGAAAAATAAGAGGTGGGATTTTTACCTATCTTCCTTTGCTATTCATTTTAGCCCTTTTTTATCAGTTTACTTGGTTCTTAGATCACTGTATGATTAGATGACCAGTTTCTGACTGATTTTGAATCACTATGCAGGATAATCAAGGAGAAAATTTGATGAGACAAGAAACAAGCCATTGATTTGATATATTTTAGTTATATATGCTGTTTATTAAAGATATTCGAAGAATTGTGACAGCAGGTTTTTCCAAAGACTTTACTCCATTCAAATATATTTATAGGCATATTCTACCGTTATTCTTTAACATGTGGTCGGAAGCCCAAACTATTGTTCTTTCCTTGTGAAAAGAAATTATGTCTTTAGATCTCACAAAGTTCAATATGGCTCTGTTTTGTTTGCAACTTTGTATCATGAAATACCATAAAAATTGCATTCCCTATAGTGTGAAGGACGGGACAATTCTAAGTTGGAACTGCTGGGTTCCACGCTTCAGGTAAATGTTGCATGTAGAGCCCTGCCTACATGACATAGAGTATTTTCTAAAAGACCGTAGCTAAAATTCTTCATCCGTTGACATTGCAGAAACAACCGTATTCAACCGATAAAGCTTGGAAACAGATACCAACAGAATTCTGCATTCTCGATGTCATCAAGGCATTCCAAAGCCACATCATGCCCGTCTATACAAGGTTTGGCAGAAACCAAAATAGGTGCATTCCTGGAGCCCAAAATGGTGGATGTTGATCGTAGAAGTGCAAATTCTAGGATTTCACAAGCACGGTGGAGTTCAGCGCACAGCAGCTGCGAGCAACAACAACATCCGCAGCAGAAAAGAGCTCAGCCAAAAGGAGAAAGCTTTGTTTCGACAATAAACACCCCAAATGTGCTTTTACCGAAGGAGACATACCTCCTTGTGCCAACAGACCCATACTTGCGTCTGCAGAGAACTGACTATATATAGATCTTGTACATTTGAATGAAAATAATAGATTTATATTTATTTGTTGCTAGAAAAACTCTAGTTTATATTCTTGAAATGTTTAATAATGTAAATACCAAGGGCTAATAATTCACTGTTTTTTAGAAAATTGGCATGCCGTTGTAAAAAAGTCGTTTGTAAATATTTAGATTGGCTAGTATTGAATTTTCGGGAAACAAGTTTTTTTTATCACCGTGGTAACTAACTTATGACAAGGAAACATGGCCTTACGAGGATCATGGATTAGATTTTCTGAGACAGCAATGCAACTAAGACCTTCTGTTCGTGCATAACACTACCGAGTAAAAAAACCCTTTTATATTTCAAGCATTGTAAATAGGTTCCTATTCTGATATTACTGCTCAAGCGGTGGCTATTTTATCATCTTTCAAGCAAATAACAGCTAAACGTGCATGGAATATTTGCAAGACCCTTCTCAAACACTCTTTGATAAGTAATCGCAAAAAACCAAGGCTTTAATTTCGTTACACGCAAATACCTTTTTAAATCAAAACAAATAGAATTCAACAGAATTCAAATTTTTCACATATTCACAAACCAAATGCATAAATAACCTAACTGTAAGGGCACTATGTTCTTTTAACCTGCTGAGCGTTCTTGAACAGTATTTTCAGCTGTTTTTCCCGTTCGTTAGAGCAGCCTGTAAAAATCGAAATACCTTACTCATTATGAACATATTCACTAACCGGCCTTAAGAAAGGGACAATTGGAGGGAACCAAGAAATGGGAACAAGGTAGCTTTATCTACTGTAATTTGCAACTGTAATTTTTGCATCTATGCTAACAGAGATTTCATCGTTTGATTCATAAAAATCTAGGCTAAAAAAGCAAAGTTGTTTTTATTAATAATACACAATGCCTGCCAAAAATGCTTGGCACACCCAGCAATTTACGTTGTATTTTATATATTTCATTTTTTGAAAGAAATAACTATTTTCAGCCCCCTTCCTCCTAGAACAATGTTGACAGGTTACGACAAAGATCATACAACATCATAGCACAAAAGCAGATACTCTTCAAATCTCCGACTCCACTCTATAGTAAACCAACATTGTGCCCTGGGGGAAAGGGGGAATGGTTGAATTAGACCTTGACTGTGTTCCAATGTCAGTGTTTCAACACTGTTGGCAGGCATTGTAACAAAAAAAGAAGCCTTTAGAAAAGATTTTTCAATAAATAGGAAAGGTTTTGAGTATTGTTTTGAGCAAAAATTCATACATTACCAAATATTTGGTTGGAATGACAACTGACGGTATGCAAAAAGTTTTAAACATTGAGATGGCATTAGTTTCGTTTCAAGATTAATTTGACGCTTTTTTCTGCAAAGGTAAGGACTAATTGTTCCAATGATCTTCCAACGAACTAAGTTTAAAAATCAACTTTGTATAATGAGCATAAATGACGTCATACCAAGAAATGAATTCGATGCGAATGATGATGTAGGTGTGCAGTCTCCTGCGCCAATGTCATCAACCGTTACTGGTCCATCGTTCCAAATCAGATCGAAGCCACCAATTCTCTTCTCTCTTCCGGTCAGTCTTTAAAACATCATAATAATGATCATAAATAATGAGTTAATTGGAATATTTTGAATGTTAAAAACTGGAATAATGTATTGACGAATTTATAACAACAAGCAAGTGCTGAAGTCGTCCAACATTAAAGAAATAGTATTGTCTTTAACTATAATTTTGAAAACTTTCATTAATATCTATGATTGGTTAATGCCATGTATTTTCAAACCTATTTTTTAATGGAGATGAGACAAAGATAAGATAGTCATTTGGTTATTTCACGTAGAGGACTTTTAGTATCTTAAGTGACAAGGGATATGTTTTATGTTAGTCTTCATGATCTTCAAATAAATTTAATTACCAAGATGTTTCTATTTGTGTGACATAGCATATGTTAACAAACAAAATAAATTTTACATCAACCTTAGGCAAATTGACTTAAGATATGGTAGTTTTATAAGAACATGTTACTTTGTCACAATTAAAACGAAAGCATAAAATAGTTCATAAAAAATATGCTAAAACGGATGTTACATAAGTCTAAAGGTACCGTCATGCTGTCAAATTGCTTACGGAGTTGAGAGACGAACTGAGTTTTAATTGTCTTTTACCTTCCCTCCAAGTCAACCACGTTTAGAAGATCGGTCAGAAGAGCAAATTTCATGTCATAATCTGTAGTGTTACTTGCTGTCAAAGAAGGCGATGCGTTTATCTCCACCAGCCAGCTAGGAAAGAGTACATTCATTCGCTTAAACACCATATTTTACAGTAGTTTATGCTTAAATCATTCAAAATCTAAAAAAATAAATGTTTCATTCTAGAATTTAAATAGTAAATAATAGATTAATGTTTATATACTTTAGCGTTCAACCACTTAACTTAAGAAAATCATGAAAAACCTCTGAATATTCAAATCAGTAAAATAAGTGTAAAATTTGGTAAGATATGACCAATGAAAGATTCAAAGTTTGCTAACGGAGTTCTATGACTCTGGCTTTGTTCATAAAGTTACAGAGTCTAAATTGCAGTGATTTGATGGAGAAAGGGATTTTGCTCATGTGACGATATCTCAGCAAATTCGCAACATATTTAACTGCAATTTCACAATTCTTTTCCAAGCTTTGTAATCCAAATCAAAAAATCTAAAAATTAATTTTCAAGACGTTATCACTGAACAACCCTATGATACAAAACAGGTAAATCCGGATATGCTAAAAATGGTTAGCGTGTACAGCTCTGCCTATATGACATCCAGAACTTATGTCAGACCAGTAAACAGTATTTATTCATTTCATATGCTAAAAATTAAACTTAGGGCCTGACAGAATTTTTAACATAAAATATACCTACGGCTTCAAATCTGAATCAAGCAGAATATCAAATCCATACCTACATCTGTTTTAAGGATAGTATCAAAGCAAAAAGGAATCACATGTATTGACGTAGAAAACATGTTCAGAAAATCTTAAATTCATTGTAAAATTGACACCATTTAAGCAACATCATAATGATTTTCACGATAGCTAGAAACTATGAAAGCTGCAGGAAAACTGGTTTTCACTCTGCATTTGAAGCTTGCTAAAGGAGTAATAGCTTAAGAGCAAAGGCAAGTATTCGCCTAGCCTATTTCAAAGCGTACACACCAATTAATGTATTCACATTTGACTATAATGTAAACTCCGTATATATTCGTCTTGCTAATAACAAAATAGAATGAAAGAAGCTTTCAACGCTTTTAAGCTTCTGTGTCCGTATTCAGGATATTTCAAGATTATTGTGGTAGCGATTACAAGATAGGCCTAATCATAAAATAAAGAAGAACTCATTAATTCGCAGTCATTTTCTGGAAAAAGATACATTTCAAAACAGTGTTTGTCGTTTATCATAACCCTCTGCACACTCTGCAGACTTTTAATGAAGATCTCATCCATCAAACGATATAGATTTGATACCTACAAAAGAAAGCTGTACCATCAGTCTAAAACCACACTGAAGTACTGGCATTCATTTCTTGCATCCGTCCAAAACTTCTAACACTTCTATATGCACATCATATATTACCCGAAAAATGCAGGTACTGTTAAATGCAGCCAAATGTAAGCAAATAGAAATCAATGCATATAAGGAAGAGGTTTGACTAAAAAGCTTAAGAAAATGGGGGAAACAACGAGGTTTTAATTAATCCACAACGTTAATTTCAAGCAAAAACCCCGTGTTTACAAGATTACAGGACTTTTCGGTAGGTGCAAAAGAAGGTTCTGTCAAAATACACGTGTGATCGATAATTCCGACACTGATTTTTAGCTAGCTGGCCATTTGAATGGCAGATTGGATTTGAAAATTATCGGAGCCTGCCCAGTGTCCAATCCCATGTGAACTGACGTCTATGAGCGCTGACGAAGAGACCTTAATATGGTTATATAACATTTTACATAGGTTTGGCCTGTGAAAACAGTTACTTTTGGTTGACAGAGCAGCTAAATCGAACAAACTTCGTAACATACTAGAATTACTCAAAATGTTTGCTTTTTCAAAACCATTTTTAAGTTTTGTAACACCAAAAGATTGTGAACAAAAACACTTACTGCTTCGTTGCCATGCTTTGCAGTGAGGTACATTCTTAATTGCCTGAGCGACCATTTTGAGCCCTATCAAAAGATTAATATTGTACAAAAGAGCCAAAATATTGTACAGAATTGGCGTTAATAGTATACTTACTCTTAAGGGCTTCTGCTAATTCTTCCACGACATTAAGCATAATTAATAGCAAAACGAAAAATGCACGTGATGACTTCTCTGTACAAATTTTCTGAATTAAATGTTAACTAAATTGAATTTCAATGTTTCCATCATGAAATATTCTAGAATTTTTGGATGACAATGACGTAAATAAACATCACTAACCAACAGCCTCTGTACTCTCAACAGTCTTCAGTTTCTTTATGAATATTATAATTTCACTTGTGTTCTTTTTCAATTTATTTCACTTCACGCTGTTACAAATCTTATTTTTCAAGCTAGATTTAAGTACAATCTTGATAAAGTAATGCTTTCCTGCGGATATCTGTTTCTAGGATCATTCTAGAAATTTCTTATAATGTCTGCTTTACTGGTCATTGTGTCAAATTCCGTGCTATGATAATTGTGCCCAAATTTACGAGACCCTACTGTAGGTTTTCGAGCATTAAAAAAATAGCAATAACAAAACATTCAATGTTAAAGTAACGGTGCTCCAAAAACAAGGGCACAGCTTCAAAACTCGTCATAATTAAGATAGTAGACACAACTGGGTACCTCAGGATCATAATCTGGTGCAGTTTTTTGAACAGCGACGTTTGTAAGATGGATGTCTTTGTCTCAGTTAAGAATAATACATAGAATGCGAATAGGCGTGAGAAGGCTCGCCTCGTTTTGCGAACCGATTACCAAAGTGTTTACCAAAGCGTTTAACAAAGAGCGTTTACCAAGGCCTTTTCCCAAGGGTTCACTGAAGCGTTTATCGCAACGCTTTCTGCTGTGTTTACCAAAACATTTATCAAAACGTTTTCCAAAAAGTTTGCCAAAGCGTTTACCAAGGGTCTTTCAAAAGGGTTTACAAAACGTATACTGAAACGTTTTCCAAAGAGTTTACTAAATCATGTACCAAAACGTTCACCAAACATTTATCAAACCGTTTATCAAAAACCTTCACCAAAGCGTTTACCAAAAGGTTTAAAAAGCAATTACAAAAACATTTTGAAGATTTTCAACCAAATCAAATGTTCAGAAAAGACTTGTGAGGGTGAAAATACTGTGGCTATCTATTCAGTTTATCGGAGATGGTAGCACCCCTGCCCATTGAATCAAAATAAAGAGATGAAAGAAAAATGGATAGAGAATTTTAAAAGCTAATTTCAAGAATATAAATTATTAACAGCTTATTCAATATGTCGAATTTTACTTTGTTTTATTTTGACCATACATTAAAAGCTATGTTCTAACAGCAAATTCTAGAGTGATGTTGTTGCCATATTGATATCAACTAAAAGTTGTATGCATTTAAAAACTAAAAAGGATACACGTGTCGTCAATTGAATCCAAAGAATATCTGTAATTCGTAAACCTGGCAAAACCCTCACGATACAGCCATGCCCGTAGTGGGATATACTGGAGAGAAATTTCAGAAATAAATTCATGCTTAACAAAGCCGCTAACAAAAAAATTTATTTTCTTGAAATGAATTTCAAAATGATCAGTTAGCTTTTCTCTGCATCCACCTAATGTTATGAAGTAAGAGGTTTAAACACAAGAAACCTACGAACAATGTAAATATCCGAAAATGATAAGGAAAATTCTAGCATAGCAGCCTAAGTGAGTGCTAACTATACAGACCTGGGGCTTAATCAAAGGCAAAAAGGCAAATTTGCAAGATTTTATGTAAAACCAACTGTTTCAACAAGAAAACAAAAAATCGTATTGTGTAGTTCAAACTCACCGATGTGACAAGAACATAGACTCTAAGATCAAATTTTTTACCTAAATGTAAAAGATAAATGATACTTTTTATTCATAAACTAATCCTCTTTACAACACTAACCCCAAAGAAGAATCATTGTACCACAATAATAAATATAAAGTCACAACTTTCAATGATCTAACGCCGTAAGCCCTACAAGGACGGTAGTGATAACAAATGCATCCAGATTCTTATGTGGCAGTAGTTTTGCGTAATGGTTTTGGTCATGGAAGGTGCTCTTTCATTTAGACTGAATAAAGAATTTTATCAAAAACAGTTGTTTTTCATTGTGACTTAACGGTTTAACAAAAATATAGATCTCAAAGCAGAGACTGTTTCTTGCTCAAGAAGGTTAATGGGTTTTGGTAATTTAAAAACGTTGCTTGCTAAAAAATGAAAGGTATTACATTATATGATATTTGAGGGTGGGTTCTTTCCCCTTCCCAAAATATTTCGTTATGCATTGTAAGAAATCACATTCTGCTATATACAGTTAATTGGCTTCAAAAGCAATTTGCTCTACAATAACAGCTTTTTCTTCGAAAGAAGATAAGGCATTGAGAAAGAGAGGTGCTCGACTCCTGCCAAGTGTCTCTGAAAACACAGAAAACACAACAGAGTTGATGATATCAGCACCGAGCCTGTCTTATTGTCTTTCATTCAGTTATAACCTCCAAAACCATCAACTAACATGCAATGAAACTAAAAACAACTTCCTAAAAATTAAATATAAGGTTAGATAAAAGATTATATTTCTTTTAAAAGACCTGAGTGGCTAAATTAGTGCACTGCGTCTGCTTGATGCATCTCTTATTCTACACTTAAATAAAAGGCAGCTAGACATTTGACCGGCTAATACACGAAGAAAAGAGCTTGATTAATAACTATGATCACCATTTTCAGACATAAAGCTAAACTTTAAATGATTCCCAGAAAGGTCGACTAAGTTGCACATAGTATATATCTCCGATTATATACTATGTTATGTATAGTATATATCTCCGATTACTTAAACAACTGACCTCCGATTAAGTAGGGATTTTCTATATATCTTTGAACGATGTATGTTTCAGGTGCTTCTTTGTCTTCTTTCTAATAATATAAAAAAAATGAAGAATAAATAGTTTAGCCATGTTTTAATACAAAATGCGATTCAACAGATCATTAACTTCTTTGATACCCAACCATTATTAAATAATCTTAATTCATTTCTTTTTATTCTCAATTTTTCTTCTCGTACCTATGCGCTTTACCACATTTCTATTCAACACAATGACGTAAGCTGATTTTTGAAACTTTTGACTTTTGAAACGCATCAAGATATTCTGTTATCGATTTCAATTGATTGCAATCTAGTCTTGTTTTTTTGTTTTATCTGATTAGGGCTTTGCATTTTGAGGAAAGATTAAAAATCAGCCATAAATTCACAATTTAACTAACCAATGAATCGTTAAACATATACATCTGTAGATGAATGTAACTCAACTTACTAACGAATCAATCAATATTTACATCAGGTAACGGATAAAATGATAAATCAATAAATCAACCAATTGATGAATCAATGAATCAGTAAATGAATAGATTAATCATATAAACAGATAAACGACTTAATAAATTAATTAATCGATAGATCGATTAACCAGCGGATCAATCAACCAATAGTCTGATAGACAAATTAATTCAGAAATTAACTAAAAATTCGATCATTTTATGAAACAATTGACAAAGAAACGAAAAATTGGTAACTTTTGTTGAGACATATTAAAAGAAAATTAATGAATCAACGAAGGAATAAATCATTAAATCAACTAATCAACTAATCACTCAGGCCACTAAAATCCAATCAGTAAATCATCTTGGTTTTCCTCGCTTGTAATCAGATAAAAACACCAGGAACATATGCAATAGAAAGCAAACAAGTAAAAAGCAATAAACTTTACCCTTTCATCAATTGTTCTGTAGTAATCCTCCTAAAATGAAACAAAAATGCAAATTAATCAATATTTTTAGATCAAATTCCGGCTTACCTCTGTTCTCATTATAAAAAAGAAACACTTAAAGAAAACTTGAAAGAAATTTAAAAAGAATATTTTGTAAATGAATGTAAAAATAATATATATCAATATTTTGCTTCAAAGTTGTCAAAGCTTTGATTCGAAATAGGAAAGTTATTCAATACATTTCAATGGCCCTGCTGTGTAGAAAACAATTTCCATTTCTAACTGCCAGTTTGGATCTAATAGGTACGTATTTAACCCGGGAGTTTTTCTATTTGAACATACTGAGTAAGTTGCATTTTTTTGTGAACAATAATTTTTTTGAATAAATAACCAAATAAAAAACTGTAGGCCATAGGCAGACAGATAATATATCTCCAGTTCCCTAAATTCTTATTCGTGAATTGGGTCCTCTTATTCACCTTTTTAAAACCCTTATTCAAAATAGTAGAATATCTAATAATAAAATAAAAGTTACTTATAAAAAGTCATTAAATCGAATGAAAAATAACATTACTATATATAAAACCTTCTTAGCTAAAAGATAAAAGATTTTGAGTCTCTATCTTTAAAGAGCTAACTCTATTATTGTACTCATTCGATTAAATGGACAAATTACTGCAATGAATTTACATTAAACCATTGAGCCTGAAAACAAACCTTGCGCCAGTCCATAATGTCTTTCAATTTACGAAAAATGAATATTCCTTTTCCTTGCGACTTCGCTATCTGCGTTAGAACAAAATATTGATATATTCACACAATTACGTAATGACTAATGCATGCATTGAAGAATGATAGACGTTGATTTCCGTTGATCTTCAGCTGAGAAACAGACAGAGAAAGGACCATAACGCGATTATGACATAGTGACAAGATGGCCAAATGACAGAAAGACAAACTTTGGCCAATGATGAAGTGAAGCACCAAATAATTCCTATACACTCACGGGCTTCATTATCCAGAGTTTCCCAGGGTTTTTCTTGAATTCTTCGACGAACATGTGGTATTCACTCTAAGTAGTAAACAATATATTAGAAACAAAATAAATAAGGCCACGCAGCATCTAGAAACTGTTTCAAAATTTAAGAGTTAAATAAATTTCTGAGTCAAAATTTTAGTTAATAGTCTACATGTAAATACAAACAAATTCAAGTTGAATTCGAATGTGGTGTTGTTATGTAGTATCGTATGTAATTGAACGGGATGACGTAATGTCTTTTCACGCTGCATGCGGCACAAATAGATGTATAATTTTCTTCTTGTAGTTATACTTTTATTGTGATATAAGAAACGAAGGGAGAAAGCCATTAAAATAATTGACTGGTAAATTTGTAAAAAAAAAGAACTTGGAAACTTTTTAAACAGAAAGGTTAGGTTTATCGAATTTCTTTCTAAACCCTCCTTTTACACAAAATTTCTTCCTGTAGTAGAATTTCAATTATCCTTATCAAAAGTAATTCAAATGAAAAAGTTCCCAACAAGAAGATATTGAATAGTTTCAGTATAATTATTGATTACTTACTGGCAACTCAAATGTTGCAGGAAAGAAATCGCATCTGATTATTTGGTTAAGGACACCTTTTCAACAAGATTAAACCTACATTCAAAGAAAGTCTAAATTCTTCCAGCTGCAATGTAATTAGTATATTTAACACGACCAAAGTTTGTTCAAGGATATATTAAAATGCAAAATCTTTTACAGTACTTATTCAACTATACGACACAACGTATATTCGGACCTCAATTATCCGGGCCGTAAAAAATATGAAAAAACCTTGTGAAAAATTATCGGCTTTTTGACAATGTGTCAGGAGCGTTTTTCTTGCTTCCTTTAGAAATAATTTATGAATATTCTAAGAGTATTAAGGTCATTAGTTTATGATGTGTGCTTAGAAATAAAGGTTCACAAGACTCATCTTGTTTATCTATGCTGGTTTCTGTCGTTATTTGTAGATTTTTATTTATCCGGAATCTCAGATTATCCGCAGGCATCTTCAAATCCCGTGTCCCGAGAAAGCCAGATAACCTAATAAGTAGAGATGATCTTCTCAAAAAAGATAAGAGAGTTTAATCGATTCCTGGCTTAAATAAAGACAAGATTGGATCACTGAATACTCCGTTTTTAAAAAAAAGAGGCTATGCAACCTACTTACACTACAGAAACAATATACCAAAAGATAAAGCTTCCATGAAGGACTCTTGCTATGATAAAAAGCATTTTAGGCCCACGCTGGAAGAGCACGCTTGAAAATATCACCTTCAAAAAGTACTCAAAAACTTTCAAGTTCAAGCTTATTTTCAGCAAAAAGAAACAAGCTTTAAATAACATCCAAGTAAAACCACCCAGTATCAACAATTATATGACGATATCTAAACTATAACTAAGAGAGAAGCCAATGATTAGAGAAGCGACTATGAGTTAACAAATTATCTATACACTAGAACTGGCGAAGCAAGTAGTGACACGTGTTCAACAAGCTTAGGATTACCGTTGATATACAAGCATAAATTAGTTCTTCTATAAGCATCTGTAGAATGCTGTTAGGCCATGAACTGTGGCAGAAATACTATTTGAATAGCATTTCTATATCCTTAAAGCAAATCTAACAAATTTAAGTGAACATCTGTTTCTCAGACTACCGCCGTTTGAAACCATTGATAGCTTTGAAGTATTTTCTTTGCCTGTGCCCAAGGACTCACCTAGTGACTTCATATCGCCACAAACGACAAAAAATCACTGCAAAGGTCATTCCCGCTTTTTCAATGTTTAAATCAATGTTAAAAAAACAATCAAAATGACGTGTGACGCTTGATTGTCAACAGAAAAAGATACTTTGATGCTTCAAGCTTTCCTTGCTCTCTTTCTATTGCTTTCTTCAGTCTTTTTAGGTTTTTAGCCATTAAGTTTTTTCTTGTGAGCTGCGAAAGAAAATTGAAACATAAACTAAAATATCTCGTACGTTTTATCTTGCACATAGAACCAAATTAAAAGCCACATGCATCTAAATGAAACATTAGTTGAGATATATATTTCACAGTGAAAATAACCGTATACATAAGAAGCGCAAAAAAGGAAACAGAGCACATTATACTTTCAATTTTGCATATTCTTAGTGAAAAGTGAACGTCCTAGAGTTCATTTACCGTTAACAACCAGTCTTTCAAATTTTACAATTAATGCAGTTGATTGTAGGAAGAAAGCTGTAGTTTAAGAAATATTTATCGAGATTGTTGTTATAAAGATTTGGTAAACTTATTTTTGACTAATTTTACCCTTTGGACAACTTTTGTCAAGCTCTCCACCAAGGCTTTACCAAGCTCTTTTGGCAGCAGCATGATAAAAAGGTAGACAATTCTATTTTACCTCCGCCAAATTAAATTTGCGCAAGTCTGAAGGGAATTGCACAGGGAGAGAAAAGAAATGGGTACCAAGAGAGAGAAAAATAAGAAATCATAGTTGCCCTGTTTTTGATGAGTTTACTTGCAAGGGTTGAAGAATAGATTGAATTTGTGTTTCTTTCAAAGAAAGTCTTAATCTTTCAAAATAGCACAGACAAGCAGATATAGCAAACTTGTGTACTTTTTGTTCAACACTCCTCTCCCAATGTCAGGTAGCGACCAAAGATGAACAGAATTCTGTTTCCAGGATTGAAAGTAATTTCAGAGGGATAATCAAAAATTTGCTTGGTTACAAAAACATTGTGAGGCCTTGGAAAATAAAACAGTCATCCTTTTAAAACTTGAACACACTACACCCAAACGAGAATGCTTGTTTAAAGTAAAAATAGCTACGCCTACAACCCCTATAAAAAACTACAGCCACAACTTGCCTAGGACAGGCCCTTTTCTTTTTTCCTAAAGGAACTGTTTCTACCACTGAATCTGGGTGTTTTCAAGAGCTGAATAATTCTTTTAGGTTGAACTCTTTCAAACTTTGTGGTAATTGCATGCCACTAAAATGTTTTTTTAATAAGCACTCTGGAGTGTCATGCTTTTATTCATATTTACAGAAATAGAACAGTTTTTAGCAAGAATTGGATAGTTTAAAAAAATTGTGATCTGAAGCTACAAGATTCTCATGAGCACATTGTCGGAACCACTAATGAAGCATTCTAGAACAACTTTATCAGTCTCTTGGAAAAACTAGAATTTCTTTGGAATCCCCACCAATAAGGAAGCAGGAGGTTTTACTCAAAATAAGCATGTTGGTAATTTTTCTCAGTTAAACAGTCTTATAAATATTATAAGACTAACATTACAAATTTTCAATAGAGTGAAAAAGACTGGCACAGTGGTCAATAGCAAAATATCCTATTGCAGTAGGATATTAGCTATATAAGGTTTTCGAAGAAAAGACATTGAATAGATCAGGGGCATATCACGCATGTTAACGACAAACAGAAAGAGAAAATATTGTTGTACCTCATAATGGTTTCGGAAATGATTGATTTTGACATGCTCTTCAAGATATGTGTTGTCAAAAATTTCTTGAATTCCACATTTATCTGTCCAAATGAAATCCCAGTCTGTCTCACTAGAATATAATGAAGTCAGATAATTCACTTATAAATGGCAGCTTCGCAAAAAGACAAAGTACAATACCAGGACTGCAGAACATATAACATATAATGGGTTGGTTGGATAAAAAGTTATTGGGGGGGGGCTAAACAGGCAAATGGCAAAAAGCAAGATTACAACATCGTCCTTCTGAACATACCATTAAAAAACAAGACATCATATCGAAAAATTTGTCATTAAATTAGTCATTAAGTCTTTGGAGTTTAATCACAATAAATGAAAATCAGACTTATTGAAACAAACCTGATGTGACAATATGAAAATGTGAATTTGACAGCAATGCTGCACCTATGCTATCATGTAAAGACTACATGAGCTGCAAATTATTCCTTGACTAACTTCTGTTCCTCAAATGTGACAACCACAAATCAAAATATTAAAAATTCATAAATGAATCTGTGTTTGGCATAGCAAAATGTAATTGGTCCTGATTTTAGTTTCCTTTCTGAAAAATAATTTCTTTGGAACTTTATCAATATCCATAAGTGCATTCTCAAAAAGAGGAGATTATAATTCACTACCGAAACAGAAACATTTTTCCTTGATGGTTGTTTATTTAATAATGCAGATTTAAGGATAATGGTCTCATACCTTGAGGTTTCTGCCCAGCCACCACGAGATTTCAGTACATCATAAATTGTATTTTGGAACCCACATCTATACTTGATAGACCTTCCATCTATTCTTTAAAATAATTTGGAAAAAAGCAATATAAATCTTCATAGTACACTTCAATCAAATACATTTGTTGAAACAGCAAAGTTTTAGATAGGGGTGAAGTTGAAAAATTTTGCTTGCAGCTACGAGCTACCTTATATTTAATAATTAAATTTCTATTTTAGAAAGCAATAATAATAATTTTTTAAACATCTCATTTTCATTGAATACATTTTAAATTTACAATTATACGACTCGCTTTTACAGGCATCATATAATTGGCTTATCTGCATTACAATATTAAAAAGTCAATTAGTTTGGGGCTTAGCCATGGTTTGTTTCGACGACAGAAGATATAGTAGGTGCAGCGGATAGAAATGTTCATGAGTTTCATCAAGATGGATTTAGTTTGATTTGAGTCAAAATTAAGTTGGTGTAGCATGTCAGAGAGAGAGGTAGATGAGGTTCCCAGAATGCCAAGGGCACTCATAGAGAGGTTAACAAAGGTAACGTGTTTATAGGCAGGGCTCAGTTCCTTGATAAGATCGCTATATTTCCTAGCTTTTCGAGTACTGTTTTCGTCGATGTTGCTTTCGAACCCAATAGTAAGCTCTAGCATGTAAAGGATTCGATCTTCAGTTACGAAGACAAGATCTGGTCGATAGGAGTCGCCTGTGATTAAAGAAGGTGATAGAAATGAAGGCAGGTCGGCGTAAAGTGAGCTGTTTCTAGGTGTTGAAAGGGTTTTAGCCAAATATAGAAGTAGAGAATCATGTCTCCAGGTATACCTACCATGTTCAAGATAGTTCTTGCAGCTAGATACTATGTGCTGTAATGATTCTGATTGGAGACAGAAAGAGCAGGCAGATGACTGAGTAATTGACCATTTGCAGAGGTTTTTCCTAGTGGCAAGAGTGTTGTTTAGGTATTTGATGGTAAAGTTGTAAATGTTTTTTGGTAACTTTTGCTGGACGCTAGACCAAAGTTGATTAGTTCCCTTAGAAGCAAATTTTTTTAAGATGCACGAGATAATAAATCCTTGAGATGTAAGAACGTTTTCAATGCGGTTTTCGTTTTCACTTTGGATGGATTTGAGAACTTGTTTGGTGTTGCGATAAACGTCATATTGTATGTTTGTACCGACAGTCTTAAAGAGTTGCGGATAACTGTTTGGCATTGTAAGAACTTGGTAGATGGAAGAATGAGATTGATGCCAAACTTTGATTTTGGAATGATGAGGCTACTTAGTGAAGCACTTATTGGCAGCTCGAGCTATTGTCTAACAAAGCTTGAAACAACATTGTCTAGATTCTCTGTCACCCATGTCTTGCTTAAATCAGTGATGGTCAGGTTCCAGGAAATTTTGGATAGCACATATCGGTGATAATGATAATAATAATGAAAACATTCTTTATTTTATATTCTTCTACTTACAACAGTAACCTCACTTTACAGGTAGTTACTATCGGCTAGCCTGGTGACAAGTTTACTAATTTTACAAAAGTTATAACATTTAAATAAAATCATATTAGTACAAAGAATCTTTAGAAGGAGAGCAGTTTAGGGTTTGTCCAAGTCTAATTGCGCATACAGAATATATAATAGGATGTGCATATAATTATTGCTGACAGTTTTTTAATTATAAATAATAATAATAATAAGAAATGTTTTAATAGTCAGCTTATCACTACTAGATGTTCTGTTATCGTTAGGGTCCTGCATATATTTAATTTTAATGAGTTCAGTTTAGTTCAGTTCAGTTAATATAATTTTAAATTCCACTATGTACAATTTTGTCAAAACATTAAAATAAATTATGGGCTACAAGTTACAATACAAGTTTGAAGACTAAACATAACTACAGAAAAATTAGAAAATTTGCATGAAGAGGAATTTTTAAGGAGGAGGTCTCTCAGTAGCAAAGCTAATCGAGGAGAGGCCATCACCCCCTTATAGGAAAATTTTAATTGGTGAATATAACTAAGAAAAATAATCTGACGAAAGATATGAACAGATGGTGACCGTTTTATATCTAAAGGGATTTCATTCCAGAACTTTGATCCACGGTGATGTATAGATCTGAGACCATATTGATTGGTTTCTTTTTTAGTTAAAAATATATTGTCCTTGCGAGCCTGTCATGTACCATATTGATGAATGGACGCCACAGTTAAGAAATATAACAAGAAGATAATAAACAATAATTTTGTTTAGGGTAAAGCATGGTTGGTAGAAACAGAATGCTGATATTTTGGTTAAAAGAAACTTACATTTTGTTTCCTCTTTGGCTTGGTTTAAGCGGGAACACCTTTAAAACCAGGAAAGATGTAATTCCCATGAATACAAGTTAAACATATGATGTCAAAAACTGAATGCTTTGATCTTAGGCTTGGGGAAGCTCATTTCAAATTCAGGCTGAATAAATTGATTTTTTTTTCGATGTTTTGGCCCATGTTCGGATGAGATTAGTAAAGCTACAATGCTCGCCAAAAGTGTTGGAACAGTTCAATTATCTTTCCTACTGAACGTCTCCCCTCCCCCATATACAATGTTGGATTGCGACTGGAAAATGACAACAAGTGTATGTTAGCGCGCAAATTTTGTAACCCATGTTTAGCGACATGCTCATCCTTCTTCAGAACATTGTATAAGGGAGGAGGGGGTTCCGTCTGTTTGAAATAGGGAAATGAACTGAAAAATATACATTTATTACGAGTACAATCTCGGTGTTCCAACTACTTTTGGCGGGCATTGTAGTTACTAGGGGGTTGGAGATGATCTTTTTTACGCGCGAAGAAAAAGGCTGCTTTCGAATGCAGAATATGAGGCTGCAGCTCAGGAGATAGCTATGTTTACTTCAAGTTATCAGTGCCTGGACGGTAAAGAAAGAAATCTAAACTGTAAAAGTAAAGGATGAGTTACCTTAGAACTGTTCTTTGCCATTATCAACCTGTAAACAAACAAAAATGTTTCAATTTGGTTCCTTCGTAACTGCTCAGGAGTAAACAAACCTCTTTTCAATTCCGAGATTCTTAGAAAGTCTCGTATTCGATCTGGTTCCTGGTTCGATTTCTAAACATCATTTCGGGCAGTTTTCGAAAATAAGCATAGTCGAGGAAATGGGCAATTTCATTGAAGCTTTGATGACTGTGTCTACCAAATGAAGTAATTCATAGTATAGTCTTAATGATAAAATTTAGGTTTTGAAATCAAATGAGAAACAACGAAAGCAAGAATAGTGTTGAAGAAGGATAAATAAAAATGGATTACGTTCAGCGAACATTACGGGAGGCTAAAGTTTGTCTTCTAGGGGTTAGTATTGTATTAGCATTATTTGATACCAACATGGTTACGTATACAAGAATATCCTTATGGAGATATGCAGAGAAATGTATCTGGAAATGAAATTTTTGATTCTCTCAACTTTTTGGATTTTCAAGTTCTTGAAATTCTAAGTCCCAAGAAGATGAATATTCCCTCGAAGTTCCTTCACTGTATTTGAAATTTCAAAGTTCCTGGTTTTTTCTAATTTGTAGGTCTTAACATGTTATGTTTTTTCACAACCGATCCCTACCTCTGCTCTTGAGCCACCTCTAACCAGGTTAATGAAATAATAGTATTTTAATTAGGTAACAAACAGGCGCGGCAGCGCTTATAACATTAATTTTTTTATGTATATTATATTATATGTTAGTATATCGATGAAAACGATTGACTCTTTCAATCTGCAGTTTCTTTAGTAATAGGAAGTCAAATTGCTTAATTAAAAACAGAAGAGAAAAAAATGGTAAAGATCAAGAATATGTGAAAAGCTTGTAATGGGAGGGAAAATTATGGGTCTAGTGGAAGGGAAAATCGTTATTTTCTCCGTGAAAGTCGAACAATTTCTTTACCCTCGAGTCGAAGTGCAAAATCACATGTTTTAAAAATGTTTAATGTAACCCATGTTCTAATATTAACTCATTGACATAGTCTAAAATTTTCCTAAGCCATACCGATTTAACTAAGCAAGAAAAATCTTCACATGAAATTTTCTGCCATGTATTTTTATTGCTTCCATTTAATCTCAATTAATTCTCTATACAGTTTTGCATATTTGCTTAAAAGTCCAGTTTCTTCAAGGAGTCCTTTTTGGAAATTTGGCCATTAGTTCTTGATCACTTGGTAACTTCAACCTTTATTTGAATACTTCAACCTTTATTTACTGCACAAGTTTCAGTTTTAGTTCAGGCAGCAAAAAACTAAGTTTGGAACATGGGACATGAATTGGTGGATATTTCTGGGCAGGTGAAGGGTAAAAACTTCTGACTGACAATTAACCTAAAATTTTTCTAAACCTGTACTTGCAGAACCATAAAATTTTATGGTTTTATAATTTCCTCTATGAACTGAGGCAGTGCTTGGCATTAGCATTATTGGTATTACTTGGCATTAGCATCAATTTGTATAATGGAAAGAGTTCTGGGAGTGAGACAACCCAATAGCAATTATTTTCCTGTCTGGAACTGGGTCAGTTAACCAGGGTGAACATATTATACCAAAGTCTCTGTCATGTACATACATATTGACAATGCAGAAATCCCACCACTTGTTGTCATGTGACATATTCATTCACGCCATGTCATGTTTTACAAAGTCATGCCATACAAAGTCATGACATGCAAAGTCATGCCATGGTTGCCTTTGGTGCCATGTCAAGCCATGCATAAAAGCAAATTCATTTCTTTGAGAGTTTTGACAATTTCAAGCTTGTTTGAAGCAAATTATAAGTTCTTGTAATGTTGTATTTATATTGACAGGACAGTGGTGTTGGAAAGTCAAGTCTTGTTCTCCGCTTTGTATCAGATAGATTTGACCCAAAACAGAGTGCTACAATAGGGTATGTTTTCGTATCTGTAGACATGTTTCCTTTCCAAAATCATCTTTGCAGATGTTATTAACAATTAACAGACAAGCTATAGGCCTAAATAATTCAAAATAATTTTTTAGGACCCCTTTTCTTGGATTCTGCAATATTTAGTGAGGTTAGGTAAAAACCTTTTCTGCCCTGTGTTGTTTGTAGGAAGTACTTTTCATTCAAAGAAGACCCCTTTGGCCTTAAAGTGTAACTATAAAACAAAAGAGCATTAACCATCTATTAAAGTTTACCATGAAGTGACAGAATCAAAAAAGTATGAAAAGTGAACTTTTCTTCAAAGATTTTGCTTGGTTAAGATATTATAGAAAACTATGCTAAATTTTAATTTTTACATTCTTTATCTCAAATTTAGTGTCTCAAATCAAGGCAACTTTGGATAAAACAAAAAAAAGCACAACAGACCTGTATAACATCTCATTTTTAAATCTTTTATTGCAGTGCTTCTTTCATGTCAAAAACAATTGGTATTGATGACCAAACTGTAAAGTTTCAAATCTGGGACACAGCAGGACAAGAGCGGGTGAGAACTTTTTAAGCTCTGAAGAGAGAGATTCATTTAAAAGTTTCCTAAATGTCTGTGGTTATTTTGGTATAATAGTATTTTAAATGTTGTAGGCAAATTTATTAGTACTTGCTTGGAGACACATTTTTGAAAAATTAATGTGTTGTACATGTTTTGCTGGAGTAAATGCATTGTAATATTTATAACGCTACAAGTTTTGCTGACTTCCCTTAACTGTGCCTTCTTATTAAATCCACAATGAACGAGTTCAAATGCATTTATGAGCCACATATAACTATTCTGTTTGTCATTGGAATCACTGAAACTTGCATTGCATACTTGGTTGAACAAGTGGGCTTATACTCTGTTATTTGTGCCAAGGATCATGTGGATGATATGTAATGAAGTTGTTCTGGACTCTATGCTCTGGACCCGCTCCCCGAGTGTATGGCTGACAATTGGAACCACCTATAATGAAATTCGTGAAACAATGGAATAATTTGGAATTAGAAACATATTATGAAAGGTAAGGATAAATGATTGCCTTTGTAAGCAATCAATGAGCCTAATATATAAAGAATGTGGCTTGTGCGTTTTATTTGAAAATATGCTATTTATCAGAAAATTTCATAAATGATATTTGCTTTTATTTTTTCATTTAGATAAACCTAGATGATTTTGCCTTTCAGTATCAAGCATTGGCCCCGATGTATTACAGAGGAGCTGCTGCTGCCATAGTTGTCTATGATATTACAAATGAGGTAAGCCATTTTACAGGCCTTTCCTGGGGTTTAATTCTCTGCTTTTTTGAGCTAATCAAAATCGCTGTTTGATATCAATAGCCCAGTTATTTCTTATAACAATTAAGGGATTTTCTTTGGCACCTTTTAAGAACTTTCTATTTTGATTGCTGCTTTTTATATCTTAGGCATCATTCAACTGTGTCAAAAAATGGGTCAAGGAACTAAACCAGTTTGGGCCTAAAGACATCGTGATTGCAATTGCTGCAAATAAAAAGGATTTGGAAAGTAATAGAGAGGTAAAACGTTCAACAAATTGCCCATCGATAGTTTTTCAGTGAAATTTGATTTTATTCTGATTAACCTTTTATTAGATGAAAGAAACATTACAAACCAAAAATTGTAGTTTCATTTTTTTATCCTGCGAGTGCCCATTGTTTCCATAATTAGAAATGCTAATACTACCAAGTTAAATCTTTGCTTCTTGTAATAAACATACCAAAGATAAATCTAATAATTCTCTCTTTAAGTCAGTGGTGGAGATTATGGGGGCATTAGGGGGGGCTCAGGCCTCCAATCAGCCTTTTCGTCAGAAGATTTGGGCTTTCGCTGGACAATTGACAAACGTTTAACATGCAAAAGCACATGAAAGATGTTATCTTGTCGGAAAGATGTCATCGTGGGCCTGAGCCCCCCAAACGAAATGCCTAAATTTCAGCCACTGCTTTAAGCAATATACTGAGGTGGTGTTGTTGGTTATATCTAATACTGCAAAGTTAAATCTTTATTTCTTGTAGCAAACATACCAAAGACACATCTAATAATTCTCCCTTTAAGCAATATACTGGTATGGTATTTTTGACCTTACTATGCAAGGTTCATTATACTACAGTAGCCCTATACTCTGAGTATGTATACTCTCAGAAATTTATATCGTATTCCAAAGCGAACTGTATCAAAATTTTGGAAACTTGAAAACCTTTAAGGTGTTAAACTGCTGAGAACAGTAACCTTAAAAAAGATTATTTTTCAGGTGCCAAGAGAAGAGGGTCAACAATATGCAGAGGGTATCGATGCTCTATTTGTTGAAACCTCTGCCTTGACTGCAGAAAATGTCGATACAATATTTGTCAATATTGGTAAGACAATTGTTAAAAAGCTTTGCATAAATGAGGAATTCTTGGGTGGAAGTATTTTTCAGAGTATTGAAATTAGTCATTGGGGACATTTCTGTATTTCTCGATAATTCTTATTGGTCTTCATAATAACTTAGCCGGTGGAATACCGAATAAAACTACATCTAAGCTGTGAATTTATGTCCTTTTTGACTTTAATGTATTGTTGTGATATAAGAGAACTGCAACCTTTTGGGCGACAGTAATGAGAAATGTAACTGAATTAACGACGTTGCATTGTTGTCGCCATAGGAACTGTCAATGACCTCAAAGGGTGTAGTCGTGGTAAGATCCCCTGTGCCTGGGTCCGTGAAATATCACACCTGACTAGGATAATACGTATCCATGCTATCCTTTGCCCCTGGTTGGATATCATGAAAATTTATCCGACATTGCTTCTGATATTCCTTGTAGGTAGAAAGCTGCCTTTGGAAACAACAAGATATCCCTACCAAACGATGCCAAGACGTGATTTATACGAATCTGACAGGAGACCAAGTGCTTGTTGCAAATAACTATTTTTCAAAGTGAATTAACGCTAGTCGATGGAGTTAAGTCAAGATACTCCTTAATTTTAGAATTAATTGAATTTTTCCTATGTCTTAACGTATTCGGGGTTATTGGAACGATGAGGGTAGCAAGACAGCAGTCTTCTTGGCTGCAAAGAACGGGTGGTCCCTTTAGTTTCATAAAATAACATATTTTCATTTGGGCACATTTAGGCATTAATTTTCACTTGCCTCTTTCAGATTTCTTCCTAGTGCTGTTTGCAAAATATATAAGTTTAAATGTAGATGCTAACAAGATTTTGTTTTGAAACCATTCGTCCTTCTATCAGGACGTGATTTTCATAGTTTTATAGAATCTTGATCTACCATTCAAGAATATCTATCATTCAAAGAAATTGGCTCATTATAGCACCCCAGAAAACAGCTGATAAGTTCGCTTGCAAACACTCGGCCTAGAAAATGTCAGAATTGGAGCAAGAAATGTAGGAAAGGTTATTAAGCTCTCAACATTTAACGGTGACACAAATGAAGCTTTTACATCAACAGTGCTTGGTCTTTTTTGCCAAAAAAATATTGAAAATTGAACTGTTTTCAACCCACATTTAAAATCTACATCGAAAGCATACGGATTCAACCCCACCACCTCCCCACAATGGTCGAAAGCCCTTAAACATTATTTGTTTTTTCCTTCCCAACATGGGATAGTATGGTTCCATAAATATACTTGAGTGCTTGTAAAATTTTCCATAGATACTTTTGTCCTGCAATATCAGGTAACAATATAACTTCGAATCTAAAATACAATTTTACGTAGAAAAAAAGAACGAATTATACTACGTTATTTCAAGCATGGCTGGTTATGAATCACCCCCATGATAACAGGCTGTGCTTGAGACGTCGTTAATGTTATTCACTCTTTCTTTCTACGTACAATTTATTTTAGATTCAAAGTTATATCATATACAGGGCCCACGCCGCGAATTCGAAAGTGGGGGGGGGACAAGGCTAATGAAAGCGAGGGGGCCAAGGCTACTCTCACCTTTGATTGTAGCTTTGAAATTACCTGCTTCACAAAAAAGTGGGGGACCATGGCTAGCCCCCCCCCCCCCCCTCCCTCGGTGGCGTGGGCCCTGATTATACTACTACTACCACGGTGCTTTCAGGAGCTACAATTTGTTTTTAAAAGATTTTGATCCTGAGGATCCTGAAAGATCCGAAATTTTTTCATTACATGTGTAGATAGTTATTTGCTTCGAGCTTCATTCCAATTTTCAAATAAATTTGATTTGTGGAAAATTTCTATTTGCAATAATAGATTGAAATGCTTTGTAATCGATGATCGAAAACGCCTATTCATAATTTTTGACGAATGAATAGCCTTTTCATAAAAAATTAATATAATTCAAGCTAAGTAATTCATATTCTTTTGAATGTAAACAAAAAATTCTTAAATCTGGGATTGTTGCTATTGGACAACCACTGCTGCAGAGCCAATATAGATATGTGATTTCCTATTAATTTGAGTTGTTTAATTTCACAGCTTTTTTCATTATTTTCATAGTTATTTTCAAATTCTAAAATGTGCCAAAGTTACGTTAACTCAAATAGATTTTTGTAACCATATTCTTGTCCATATGTATTTATGATTTATAACTCTAGATTTTTCTGAAGGTGTGAAACTCAGATATTTTATGCTTTTCTCGTTTTGAAATGCAGCAATGGTATTTGGCAGAATTGATTACCAATTTTGTACCATTTTTAACTTTTTCAATTCTTCTTACGCGGGTTGTGTCTCAAAGTAATTTCTTTTTCTTAATATCGTATAAAATTGTTAAGGTGTATTTTGCAAAATTTTACAAGAAGATTCAAAAGCCCTTATTTATTGGGCTTCTCGGCTTCAAATCTGAGAAATTTAGTTTATTGCTAACAAGAAACAATCTGCTATCAATATGGTGTTGGATGAGGCCCAGCACTTAGGTTTATTCTGTTTTGTAATAAACAATGACCTTGCAACGCGAGGGGCAACTAAGACCCCATTTACACTGGCACGGATCCAAATGGGTAAGGATCCACTTTGGGTCCGTGACCAGTTTGGTTGGTGTTTACACTGGAACGGATTCAATTTGGATCGCGTTTACAATGACACGGATCTAGTCCACTGTCTCGGCTACTTGAACTCTCATTGATAATGAGAACGAGATCCCTTCAATATTTCAGCGGATCTGGTGGGCAATTTTTCAACACAGTGTTTGAATGAAAGTCAGGGTCGCTGGTTTTTCCTGGTCGTTGCAAAATATGTTAATGTGCTTTAGCAAAATTTACAACTTTAGAGCACAAATTTTTGAATGTGCATTCACATCCAGAAAGAAAAATTTCGAAAATGGAAGGAAGCGTTTGAGAGCAAAGGAATGGAGGTTAACCCCGGTTAGGACCCCCAGGAAAATCGAAACAAAGTTAATGGTGAGTGGAAGAGAAGGAGAGGTGAGAGGGAGTAAGATAGATCCATGTGGCGTGTGTGGGAGGAAAGTAATGACTAACTCAGTCTTGTGTACACATTGCAGTAAATGGACTCATGGTAGATGTACAAAGATTAAGAGAGTGACCCCAGCTCTGGCAAGGCGTTTTGTATGTGCTCTGTGTGTGAAAATCAAAGAAAGGGGAAATAGAGGAAACAGTGGGAAGTTTTTTTACCAGGGTGACAGGTTGAGTGACAGCGGAGGATGTAAAGTTGCAGAGACAGCAAGAACAAGATATGGATGGTAAAAATTCAGAGAGTGCATGCAGTGAATTGTTGCTTTAAAGAAGGTTTTCTCTGAAGATGAAAGGAAGGATCTCTAAAATCTGTGTAAGATCAAATTACAAGACGATTGATTTTAGGTAGGACAGCAATGACGGGCCTTGGAAAAATTTGGAAGGACAATAACATAACCAACAATACCAAAATTAGGGTTGTGACAGCCGAGATTTGAGAAGCGAGAATTATGAAACAAAAGTTCTCTTACCTCGGACACATTATGAGAACAGTAGAAAAGCCAACAATGCTCGGGATGTGTGAAGGAAAACGAAGGAGAGGTAGACCAGCTGCACGTTGGATGGATGACATCAAGATGGTGATCAAACTCTTGTTAACAGATCTGTGGGAGGCCACCAAGAACCGGGACAAGCGGAAGACGAAGATCATGACCATTACCAAAAGTCGGCGTCGACTTGATGGAACAAGATGATGAAGATCAGCTATGTTATATGGTAGGAAAACATGGTGCTTAAGGATAAAGGATATGGCACATTTAAGAAGGGCCAGTAGATCAACGGTGAGAACCATATGTGGAGTGAAACTTATGGATAAGAAGAACACGGACGAACTGATGGACATGTTGGGCTTGAAAGAAACGATGGGTAAGCTAGTGCAAGCAAATGGAATGCAATGGTATGGGCATGTCTTGAGGAGACAAGAAGATTATGTTCTAAGAATGGTACTAACTTTTGAAGCTGGTGGTCGGAGAAAGAGAGAAAGACCCACGAAGACTTGGAAAAAGCAAATGGAAGAAAAAATGAAGAAATATGATTTACAGAATGAAGATGCTCAACATCAAGAGAAATAGCGCGAAGGAGTGAAACGAATTGCTTCAGGGCATAAGTAAATCCGGCCACCCGCTTTAAAATGGACAAAACCGGATCAAAACTGGATTAATGATGATGATGACGATGATTAGGACTTTTGTATTATTTGTTTTCATTGGTCTAGATTTAAAGATTGAAACTGGATCCGAGGTTTACGCATTTGTTTAGCTTGTTTTAAACATAGTTTGTAGTTGAGCAAGTTTGTTTATTTTTTCCAATGCTTTTTCTTGAAGTCTACTAATTTTTCTCTACCAAATTTGTCTTAGGTGATTTCTGTTGTACTTTTTTGTCAGTCAACATAACATTGGGCAGACAATCCGTAACGTATGTAATGCGAGTACCGCAATGTCCTCCACAAAACTACAAAATATATTATTGTTATCAAGGTAACGTCTATTCCTGTCTGTAACCGTGTTGGTTAAAAACAAGTGGTTTGTAGGAATTAGAGAGTGTGAGGGAAATGCAACTTTCTGTAATATATAGATATAGTTTATCTGTTCAAATGAAGGTCTGTATTGAATCAGCAGTGAAAAATGCTTCTTCTCGGATCTTTTTAATCGTGTTTCTAAAGGCTAGGAGTTTCCAAAGAAACTTTATTTGCAGGTTTTTACAAATCAAAAAATATTTTTAACTTAGAATGGAATCTCGCGGCCTCGTGGTTGAATTTTTTCCAGATCTGACAGCATCATCAACAACGGCTCGCGTGAGATTGTGGAGGAGCAAACCCAGATCCCATCAGTGAATTTCCCGAAATATCGTAATGATGGTTCATTGTTGACATCAGGAAAGTTCTGAAGTTGTTGTAAAGAAAGCTGTCCCTTTAGTGCATATGACGAGGCTACACAGAGAGCAGGCTGTAGGATAGTAGTATAAAGATATGGCTGGAGATAAAATGGTGTTTCAGAGTAATCAGCCAGATAAAATCGCCCTTCTCTATCCAAACGTAAACGAAGTCGAAACTGTTCTTCCGAGGTCATGGAGTCCCAAGGACAAATTCAGCCTCATCGGCCTATCACAAAATAATCTAAGAGTTCATTATAAAGGTAACTACTACGAAATATGAATATATCTTTATCTAATGTATTTTAAGAATATGTTTAAGCAAAAATGTGCTGTATTGGGTCATTGTAGAAAGTGTTTTCGAGAGCACTGTTGTGGTTTGAACTCGAGTAGAAGTTTTACACTTATGACGTGACCTTACGTCACAAAGATAAGGGTTGAAAATTTCTTATATTTGCTGCATTTTCTTCTATAATCTTGTAACTGTTATAATTCTGTTTGCTCTGCCCCAATCATTTGTTAATAATTTTGATACACCTTTGGTTCCATTTCCAAGTAAATTTGAGTTATTTCATCATGTTTTGTACTTCAAGGTGTTGGCAAGAACCCAAAAGATGCTGCATCAGTTAGATCCACCCATTCAATTCCTGCTGCATGTGGATTGTATTATTTTGAAATACGAATAATTAGCAAGGGCAGAGATGGGTAAGGTGACATTTTGTTTTTAAATAAATACTTTCTCTACAGTTCAACCAATACAGTTTTTGTTATTGCAAATTTGCTCTGACACCAATTGGTTATCATTCTGGCATCAACAAGATTTTCAGATCCAGACCCAGACTCAGCACTGTATCATCTAGATGAAATCCTTTTCTTTCTAATTTAATTTCTTTCTCAATTTAAGCATTTATTTCAAAGTCAATTTGCATTGTTCAGGCTCTGAAGTGTCAAAGTCTAATAAAAAAATCAAAAATTAGAAAACTAATGCTGATAAGAATTTGCATTCCAGAGATTTTGAAATTCTTACCTTTGGAAATTCTTTTAGCAGAGTTCCTTAATTTCAGCTGCAATGGATGCATGTATTTGTGTACATCACTTTTCTGTAGTGAAAAAACACAAATCTTGTGGCACAATGCTATTTTATTTAACAAGTCCTCATTTTGTTTTTTGGAAGCTTGTTGCTTCATAAGATTAACTTTAACGGTTTGTTTTTTATTTTTAACCAAGTTAATAATGTTCCTGCTACGTGTTCAGATCACATGTTCTGTTAAGTCCTGTTGTGTTAGTGAACGCCTTTTTATGGCAATGTGTTTGTCTTTCAACCTGTACTTTGGCCTAGCCCATCGCTCCATCAACGAGCTGGTTATTAACAGGCTATTCACTGTCATAACAAGAATCGTTACAAACTCAGCAAATTTTGCAACTTGGTCATTTGATCCACCAAAGCACTTCTTTTTTCTTTACTTAATATTCAAGATTTCTGACTTCAAAAAGATACAGAGGCAGGTGATTAGAAGTCACATTGAATATGAATTTTATGCAAATAAACTTTTCAAATCCCAGCCAAAGTAGCCTGCGTGCAGACACAGAAATTGAAAAGGGGAGAAAAAGTAGAGTCTGCACAACCGAGCAGCTTTTCTTGTTCACTGACATCAACATTTTATTCTAAGCACAAAAACAACAGACTGCAATACAATAAAAACGTCCAAGAGCTTGAAAAGAAACTAGCCATTAATTCTGAAGAGTATTCGAAAGACAATTCAGATAATTTTAGTTGTTCAAAAGAACACACAGGCCTATTCTATTATCCAGATACCATTTATTTATACCTCTGCTTAAAGGCGCCACTTTGAAAACTAGAAGGACAATTGAAATTCCCCCTACCAATTAAATTTGGTTTCTTGTTTTTGAGGAACCTGTGAACAATAAAAGTGGCTCAGTTGTGCAGACTCTACTTTTTTTCCTCTTTTCAATTTTGTCAACAGAGTCTGCACGCAGGCTAAGCCAAATAGGTTATTGCAAACTGTGCATGAATGCTTAATCAAATAGAACTGTCATGTTTAACATCAAGCATCCAGACAGTAGCATTCCTGTATCAGATTTTCTGTTTCTTTTCAAGATACATTGGCATTGGTTTGTCAACGCAAGGGGTCAACATGAATAGACTTCCAGGTATGGCGTATTTCTATTTTTATCTTGAAATTTGATGGAGTGTCAGTCTAAGTAATATAAAAATAGGCTGTGTGCGGCATTTTGCATGTCTTGGTTACTTTGCATGTGCGATGGTGTGTGATGTGAGGTGCTTTTTTATCAGTCATTTCTCATTCCTGTTGTCCAGAATTGGGTGCTCTTTCATGGAGACCATTTCTGTGAAAACTAACCAGAAACCAAGGAAATTGGCAAAGAAATTGATCTTGTTCTTCTTTAAAGATGATAGATTTAATTAGTTAATATATTTTTTAGGAAGTTATTATAGAATCATTTTGTAATCATTTAAAGATATCTAGATTGAAAAAAAATTCAATTGCTCGTAGACCCTACAATATATCAAGAAATTACCATGCAGCATCACTGACTTCAGTATCATCGTTAATTTAGCAGAATATCATAGCAGATATTCATGAAAATCATCTTACCATTTGATCAGTGTTCCTTTCACGATAATATGAAATTCACCAAACAATTAAATGAGAAAGAATGGGTACAGCTCTTAATCTTGAAAATGGCTCCAAAAAAAAGTTTAAATAATTAAAAATAGTACAGCCTTGCTGTCTTCTTTGTCATGGCTTTCTTCAGTTCCCTCCTTTTTCTCTAGCTTAGGTTTCTTTCAATATACTGTTGCCATTATCAATCTTTCACTATCTTATGCAGGGACGATTGGCTTTTTTGGGGGGGAGTGTTAGAAAATCATTTTTCCAAAGGATTTTTTTTTGGCTCCATACTTAAAGTTGGAAAGGACAATGGGTCATTTCACCTTATCTGTGCTCCAACCCTCCTATCAGTGGCCAAAAATGCAGGAAACAATTTTAAATTGAAAGACAGGTCTTTGACATAGTAGAATTTGAATGATAGCATCTAAGTTGTTATATGTGAATTTCTTTAATCGCCAAAATATGTTAATTTGTTCAAAGGTTGGGAGAAAAATTCATATGGTTACCATGGAGATGATGGCCATTCATTTTGCTCCTCTGGAACAGGACAGTCTTATGGTCCAACTTTTACAACGGGAGATGTTGTTGGGTGTGGATTAAACTTGACTGATAACACCTGCTTCTATACAAAAAATGGTGTCAATTTAGGTAATGATATAATTTTTTGTTTTCAGGTCTTTTTTCATACATTTGTTTACCTTTGCTTTATGGGCCAAAAATCCCTTTTGAACTTGTAGCTTTCAGACTATCAATTTTCTAGTGATCAGATACACATTACTCACAGTGGGAGTTTTGTCTTCAAACAATACAGTCTTAATTGATTTCATTACTAGATACTAAAATCAGATATTTTTTACTACTTATAACTGTTTGCCTATTATGTAATCCATTTTATACCAAAAGGTATTGAATATCTTATTTGTATCATTTTGCAGGAATTGCATTTGCTGATCTACCTGTAAGTTTATTTCTTTGCTCTACCAGCCAGTTTTCTGAGTTAAATTTGTTTTAAAGCAACAATACCCTGATGTACGAAATAGCTAAACTTATTGATTTGACAGATTTGCAATAATTCACCGGACCAAGACTTTGGTTAAATAGTTGTATGCATGTGTGGGGGAAGGCTAAGTAATAAAGCATGATTCACCATTAGACAAGTCTTCACATGGACAATAAGGAGAAGAGTTTCTATAAACCAACAAGTAACAAAAGCACAAATAAAAACACAAACAACAAAAAACAACAAAAATAAGTTGGTGAAATTTGTTTTCATTTGGTATAACACTAGTGCTTTAAATTTATTTTTTATGAGATTTTACTGTAAGTGGTAGACCAAGACTTACTGTTAAAGACATTGTTTAACTAAATGAAGGAACCATATCTTTAACACAAGTATTTATTTTGTCCAGAGAAATTTGTATCCAACTGTTGGTCTTCAAACACCAGGAGAAATAATTGATGCCAACTTTGGACAACAGCCATTTGTTTTTGACATTGAAGAAATGAGAAAGGTATTTGATAGACGATTTAATTAAATTACTCTTAACTCACCAATCTGTCATAAAGTGCTTGATGGTTTAGGCAGAGCTGGAAAAGTTGCCTGATGACAGCCTTAGGTGTGAAACTCAGCGTAGCAACTTAAAGTGGTCCTGTTATGTACACCAAAATGTGAAGGTAGATTTAGGCTTAAATAATCCTCCTCAAATCTAGTTGGTAGAGCTGTATCACATTTTCATTTGCTTATCCAAATTAATTATATAAAAATGGTACTTGAGAGTAGTTATAGGCATATATTATGTTTCTTTACGAGTGGCATTCAGTTGGTATAGCTTTATAATAATTCTTATATTATTTAGATTGATTGTATTACTCTGAAAGCTATTAACCAGCTGGATTAAACTTGTACGTTTAGCATGATTTCCTTGTGGCTACCAAACTTTAATTCTGTTAGCTTAGTATTTTGATTGTCGATATATTTAGATTTGATCTTATCTCAATTTCATCTTTCTAAAAGGAGCTACGTTCTAAAACCATATGCAATATTGAAAGCTACCCAGTTTCGTTTGATGGTGGCAGCTGGCAAGAGACTTTGCAAAGGTTTGTGCTTATTATGTAAATTGTGTAGATCATTGATTATTCTTATGGAAGAACTAAAAGCATAGCTTTCATTTGGGAAACCATTCAATTTGATATTTGAATGGTTTCCAAAATCTGCCTTTGAATTACTTTAAGACAAGCTCACCTTGAGGATAGATTCGGATTCGCCAAACTAGTATTTCTGTCTCCATGAAGGAGACAACGAAACTTTTTGAGAGAAGAAATGAGTTTTGCATTGCTGTTCAAGAAGCCACGCACCAAATAGAATATGCTTTTTGATGATGATGATGATGATGATATCCAGAACTTCTTGCTTTAATAATTAAATCTTCTTTGTCAATGTACAGGGTAGTTTCAACCTATTTGGTACATCATGGATATTGTCAGACGGCAGAGGCGTTTGCAAAAAGCACTGGACAATCAATAACAGAGGAAATTGCTTCAATAAAGAACAGGCAAAGTTAGTATTCTCCTTTGTTTGCGTCGCAGGTTGACCTTTCTAGGCACATTTGAAATTTGTGCTTAAAATTGAAAGAAAGAAGAGTGAATGTAAAGATGGACTTGAAGTTTCGGTTACTGCGAATTCAGAAATGTCGCATTTAGCTCAATTTTTTTGAGATGGAACCCAGGTTATTTGTTTGCGCAAAGTTTCTTTTCGTGAAATCGATATTTACCGTGCAGAATAATTTGTTGCAAGCAAATGTCCTGACTTTCCTAACTTTCCTAACTTTGTAGCAAAACTAAACATGTTCACTCTGAACTTTATCTTTAACATCAAATTGGAAAATCATTGGATCAGAGGAAAAATAGACATTGAGTGGGGAGTTTTTTTGCTGAGTGATCAGCTGCAGTAACTAGACATAAGAAGTATACTTATGGATCATGTATTTGTGATGAAAAGAGAGACGAGTAATCTCAACATATTATGAAGGCCTTCAAAATTTTAGTTATCATTTACAAAAGCATTCACTGTCATCTTCAAGGCAATATATATCATAAGTAATCCTTTGCACAAACAGGCTGAAACTATCCAAGAGGGCTTTAAATCCATTTTCATTATTTTGCACCGGCCATCAAACCTCTGTTTCAACCGGCTCATGAATAAGCCACATTATTGCGAACTTTTCGGAATAGCACGAAATTTCAACCCTTCCCCATGCAAGTATGACTAGGCTCCTAGCAAGAACCTCGCATCAAAGAGCTACGACAGCTTCTCTGCAATGGCTACTTTGATGGCAAAACGAGAAATGCCGAGCTCAAGTATTTTGCAAAGAGATATTGTTCACAGGGAAATGAAATGTTCAATTCAAATAGACATACTTTTTCGCATGAATTTTTCGCCTTTTTCTCATATTTTCTTAGTTTTTCTCAGTTTTTCTAAGTGGAAATGCAGGCTTACGGTGATAAGAAATTAGAAACACAAAAGCTTTGACCCCAAGGTTATGTTCTAAGAACATAGAATCCTTTGTTTTTTTGTGCTCCAAATATATAATCATTTCTCCTTTTGCTAGGGATACAAAAACTGGTTCTAGCAGGTCGGATAAGCGAAGCGATAGAAGCAACACAGTCATTATACCCAGGACTTTTAGATAGGAACTTTAGCCTTCTTTTTAAATTGAAATGTAGACAGTTTATAGAAATGGTCAGTGGTTGTGACGGCGAAGTGAAGCCATCAGCACATAGTCCAACGAGAAGTTCAAAATCAAGCCCATGTGCAAGTCCAGCGAGAACTTTAAGTCATACAAGCATAGTATCTAACACTTCCTCGTCAAACTTGACAACAAATGGATTTGATAAAAATGATTTAGGCCAGCAAAAAGGCATTGATATGGTCCAGGAGGTCGTTGGTAATGGTGCACCAGTGGATGAAGACATGGATATGGACGACGTGTCAGGAAGCGTAGAATCAGGGACCAATGACCGACCAGGCCCCACGTCGCAGTCAACGTCTAGCCAATCAACCTCGAATCAGTTTCAGAATAGTCCATTAAGAGGTAACTAGACACCACGCTTTGATATATCATATATCTTCACTGTAACACACCGGATGAAAATTTGTTACCCTGTATTCCAGGTTATTGCATAATTTACACATTAATTCCTGGATCTGAATACACTTTGTAGTTATTTGTATTGATTTTTAAGGCAGGATGGAGTCTAAGAGAGCGAAATCTAAGAAATGGTGCAGTAAATTGTTGCAGATTCAAACAAGCTTAGGACAGTGGTTAGAAATTATTTAGGTTCAGTTGCGTTGATTCCTTGATTTATTTTCTTAACCTGTGTTAATTAATTGAATAATATTTGATATTCTTAGTATAACTGTTTATACATTTTTTAGTTTCAATCCACGTTGAGCCAACACCATCTGTGAGACATTTATGCGGAGGAAACATCCTAGCCATTGAGAAACTTCTTGCATTCGGCAAAGAACTCCAGATTATGAATAAAGAATTAGCCAAAGAACGCACTCCAAACGAGGACAATGATAAGATGATGAGGGTGTGTAGTTTACTTTGCGTTTTGCAAATTTCAACCTCGGAACTTTCCAGAATTTGGTGAATAATATAAGCATTTAGAGAAGTAGTTTTTAGTTGATATATAGCTGCGGAAAGCATATATTCTTGTTTTTTTGGCTTTTTTGGCTCAAGTGTTGTGTGCATCTTGAAGCAGACCTAGGCTGAAGGGATCTTTGTTGCATTTTATTTGGTACCTAGCGCCTTAAGGTAGTTTTTAGGACACTGAGAAGCTGTGCTTATTGAGCAATGCCCTAGTCCTTTCTCTCAATATGACCACAGCTCAATGTTCCTATATGCCTGGAAATACAGAGATTTGGCGACTTTCCTCACTCTAGATCAAAGTTTGGCCAAGCAAGGGATTTGAACCACTGACCCTCGAGTCTGTAGTCGGCGCTTCTAGCCATTGTGCTATCCTTTCACCTGTGTATTTTGACACTTTCAATATCTACTTTCGTCCAGAAAGGTTTGATGTATTATATTTATCCTTTCAGGATGCGTTTAGTCTACTTGCCTACAACGATCCATGGAACAGTCCGATTGGTTATCAGTTACGTCCAGAAGAACGTGAACCGGTCTGTGCCGCCCTCAACAGTGCGATTTTAGGTAAAGTTTATACTTTTCTTTTTAGTCTTTCTACATCAAAACAAAGTATTCCGACTTGTGTAGACAGAGAAAGTTCGCTTTCGCTCTTTGACTCTTCAACTAAATTAAAGATTAGCGGCCGCGATTGGTTAAAAGATCTAACAAATCAAACGCGCTTTTCTTTCTCTCGGGTCACATTCGATCCGAATTTGGAGAAAAAGACTTTCCGTTACCTTTGGATATTAGCCGACATTTATACTCTCGAAAAGTGTCTGACGAAAAGTATTTCAGGATAATGTGTTTCCCCTCTTTGGTGCTATTTTCAAATTTATACATTTACTCAATTTTCCGAATCGCAAGAGCAGTTATGAACTCAGGTTTTTATGTATCGATGCGAGACTAGGTGCTTTCATTTAATTTGCTGCAAACTTCAAAGTATCTTAAAATAATGATGCCAAAGGGAAAAGAGTTTGAAAATGCAATCATCTTCTCAATAAACATGGCACCTTCAAGTGAAACCTTATGATTTGAAAGGCATAAACATTTGGTTTCGCAATTTTCAATCTTTTTGTGCTTTGAGTATGTTTAAAATGCCTTATATACTCAAGGCACAAGTTTTTATTCGTCATTAACTTGTTTTGCTCTTACCTCGCAAGTTCTTCTTTTTTCTCTCTCTCATCTTAGGCGATTGTTGTTAAACTTTATTCCTATAAATCCGGAAACATAACTTCAAAAGCTGTTTTAAACTAATGAGAAGTGTCCTTAAAACCATAAACAGTCTTTATCGACGCTTGATTATTTATCCAATTCGTTAGTATTTTAATTTTAGTAATATAAACAAAGTTCAACTCCAAAAGATAAACAATTTCCTACCATCCAACTGCCAAAAATTATAAACATAATATAATCCTCCCCTATTTCGCATTGACGAACAATGAGAATTCCGATTTCCACAAGGAAATAGAATCTAAATATAGTATCATCCACAGAGAAAGTATTTGATGACCATGTTTACACGAAAGTAGATCCCATCTTGACTTGATACAAACTAGTACGCATTGACCTTACGTTTAGACCTGAACTGGTGAATGTAAACGGTTGGATCTGGCCCAGACTGGATCTGTTTAAGTTGATCAACTGCTGACCTGGGTCTAACTTCTGGGCCTCATCTTGGGCTTGTCTGGATGCTTTTTTATCCGATCTGGTCTAATTCTCGTAAAAACAAGGTCTGACGATTGTCAAGGTCAAGGGTTGCCTGACGATTGTATTAGGTGTAAAGTTCAGAGCTATAACTTATAGCTGCCATATTCTTCACACCGAATTGTTTCAACATATGTGTTAGCTTCAAACACAGGAAACTACAGTAATGCAGAAATTTCCAAACTGTCTTTGGTGCCTCTTAATATCTTCGTGATGTCAAGTTGATATCTTCATGTCAGACATTTTGGGGATCATATATCAACGACGTCGGGATGAAGGGGAGAGTGTAGGCCCAATTTAAGACATTGTAGATTGAAAGCAGGCTAAGGGAGGCCCATATAGGACAAAATTAAAAAAATCATAAATTATAGAGGATTGTTATGAAAATGTTTTGACAAGTATTATGAGAGACAAAAGTTGACGAGAAAGATAGTGAAACGCCTATTCCCTGTTTCCCGTAAGACTTTTCTACGACGTCCTTAATGTATAGTGCCTTGTGTCCTAGGGCATAGTCCCAGCTTTTATGCGAACGAAAGTTCGGTTGGTATGTTTAAATTTTTAGATTGTTATTTTACCCAGAATTTTTGCCAATTTCCAATCTCTTTTTTCCCAGAATCATACAATCTTCCTGCAAAGCCATCTCTAGAACTAGCAGTTGGACAAATCAAGTCATGCTTAAAGCAGATGTCGAAGTCTGGATTAGGAGTGTGTGCATTCGTTAATGTCGATGATTTCATAAATCGCTGACTTTGAAGACATGCATGATATTTCTAGCCTTAATAAAGCTCCAGATCGTCCCGCACTGTAATGCCTACCCAAAGAATAGTGGACTTCGATGTTTTTTAATTTTTTCTTAAGTTATTTTAATTTGTATTCTTTTATAATCCAAGAAACGGTCCTTTGGAAAATATTGTTAGAAAAAAGAATTGCCTTTGCAAACACATGCCTGATGAATTTAAAGCATTTTCTATAAAGATGCAATCTTGAGTTGACATATCTTATCTGGGGACTGCCAAACAGACGTAAAAATATTTAGATACAGTGTGACAAAAACCTTCCATGATATCTACACAGTTCTTCACCTTTCCCTTATTCCATATCTTATTTGTAGAAAATTCAATTTGAACTAAATCATGTTATGAAAACAAAACGAAGCCTTTTATTGACAGTTTTGAAAGGGTTTGGTGTCGTTACATTTAAAGAGAGTACTCGGCGACAACATGAGAAAAGCTGACGAAAACTTTTTGGTTATTTAATCCAGAAAAAAGAAAATGTTTGACCTTAAATTTCGTGAGTATATTTGTACATTTCGTTTGCCAGCAAGTTCCACAAAGCTGATAGAAGTTTCTGTATCTAACTTTTAAAATGTCATCGACAGTATAGTCTTCTTGTCTTAATATTATTGGCATTGAAAGTCCGGTTTTTATACCAACAACAAAAAGCTCATTGATGCACCGAGCTTAGTTTATAGCATAAAATTATCAGTTATCAATCTTAACAGATCTCAAGCCAGTGAGAATAGTCTGTGTATAATTTCATGCTTTTAAAGCTGGCCTTTTTGTTGTTTTGTATTTATATGCTCTACTGTGTTGAAGTTTGAAAATAAAAAATATGTTGGCATGTAAGTTGTTGACAATGCCGTTATTCAAACATACTTTGGTGTTGTTTTACGTTTTGCTGTTCCCTGTGCTCTTCTACTTTATGAAATCGTAACAATAAATGTATTTTATTGACGAGCCACTGCCGGTTGCAATAAATTGTCCAACCATGGTATATGACACCCTAGCAGGGTTTAACAACTCCCTTCTCCAGCTAATTTTTAAACTTTTTTGCAGCTCCTCCCAATTAGTTCATAACTGTTATTTAAGAGCTTTAATTCTCTCTTCCTTTCATCATGCTTCCATTCTCCTTCTATATCCTGTCCAGTCCTTACTTTTTCAACTCTCCGAGACTTTAATGCCAATATTAAGTTGCATACCACCACACCAAAGAAACTATTAATCTCTATCAGAGGCTACCTTAGTCTACCGGCGAGGGGTAAAACTTTCCCCACCCAAGTCCTGTAAAAATGTTTTTAACTTCTAGCAGGGGCTAGCATGCCATGATGGGGGCTTTAATCCCCAAGCCTTTATGCCACTGCTACTTATTATGATGGCTTTATCATTTTCTGTGCATTATCAACCTTCACATTGTCCCTCGTTACTAAACCTGTATCTGAACATATATATGGCCGTCAAGAGGGGGTGCAAGGGGCAAATTACCCCAGGGCCTCAAGGACTAGGGGACCTCATAAAGTAATGGATTCCGTTTAAAATAGAAACAATTAAAAGTAACTGGATTATGCCTAAATATAGTAAAGCGTTTCAAACGATTGCAAGAAAATTAATTTCTGCTCGCTTCGCTCGCAGGGGGCCCCATCTTTTCATTTCCCCTAGGACTTCCAGGACCTCCAAAACCTCTCGGCGTCCCTGGCTTTATATAAGAAGGTCAAGGACGGCAGCAACAACAACGCAATAACAGAAATAATTATGGCAGCTAGACAGGCTGTCGATGTTAGAGAGAAAACATCAAAGGTTTTGGATAGAATGTCGAAGATTGAAGCATTAGGTGAAGAGGTATTGACAGATAAACAACAGGTATGTGGCTAGATATTTGGGTCAAAACTAAACATTATTAATGTCGTCCACATTATTAATTTGAAAAAAGTTGAGTCATGGCCATGTTGCCAAAACCTAAGATGACCAATATTTTGCGAGAATACCTTCCACTTGAAATTTGGATAAAGTTCAATGTTCAGATGGCCCAGAATGGAGGGTGTGACACTTTTCGACAAGATCTCAATCAGGGAACCAGAATCTTTTCAACAAAACTGGGGTTGGTTATTTTTGGCAATGCAAAAACGTACCCAAGCATTTAAAAAACAGAGAACCAAAACGAATGGGGGAATTTAGGATGCAAAATAGTATATTTTATTGTCCATATTACTGAAAATGTAAAGAGCGATCTAACTTTTTTGACAAAATGACGCTAGTTAAAAGCTGTGCTGTCCAGCTTGCAGAGTATGGTCTTTCTTCAAGCGACAAGACCTTGGGTGCATTAACAGCCTGACACCTCAGGTGAGGGTGTGCAGAAAATCCCTAAATGTGCTACGTGTGCCAGAATTTTTGGGATTTCAAGTGATTAAAGCTAGTTATTAGGTGTGCCCGTATTGGGTGCACCATTGCTCTGCATACTGGGGTGCTGTGATATTCCTTGATTAAGAAATGCAAGGACAGAGCACACAATATTAATATTGCCTCTAACATTTTTGTGATTGACACATGTGTGAATTATTTAGTTTGAAATCATAGTGTTCAATTTGTAATGCTGTGATGAACTAAACTAACATGATTTGTAACAAATTGTGTTTTTGCAATGTCACATTTTGCACAGGGTACCAATGCACATATTACACTGGCAGAAATGTGCTACACAGTTTATCCAAATATATTTCAAATGGAATGAGCCTCAAGCTTTATGAGGAAATTGTCTATTTGCTAAGAAAAATGAACTAAGCAAACATAGCAATAGCAGCTGAGGACCAGTTATTCAGACTTGATTAAACATCCCAGCATAAAATGCATTTATGGAAAAGGCCAATACTGGCCTTGTGGCCCAAATTTCTGTGAGTGTCATAATCTTGGATGCACTTTTGGTGCACTTTCCACCCTGATCTATTGCTCTCTCTCTCTCTCTCTCTCTCTCTCTCTCTCTCTCTCTCTCTCTCTCTCTCTCTCTCTCTCTCTCTCTCTCTCTGACCCAAGCATAAACGCAGCTGAAAAAATTGTGGAAGATTTTAGCCGCAACCTTTGGCAAAAGCATTTGAGTTGCAAGCAATGACAACCATGTATTCATGACTTTAGTATAATATACCTGATTTGATTTATATCATGGGTCAGGTGCAAATGAAGGAAATCACATGCAATTTTGATTTTTCTTTTTGCGTGGAAAAATTGCTGTGCAACAAAAATAATTTATGCATTATTGATTTGAACTAAAATTTAACTTTGTAATGTCAAGGATCATTTTTAAAAAAAAAATTGGCTTATCTTTTTAGCAATGAAATATTGTCTTATTGGAATGATTAAACTTAAATCTCGCAAAGCTTTCATTTGATGTTTCTAGCTTGTAGATCTAGATAGAAAGAAAAATAAGAATAGAGAAGCCATCAATGCCCTGAAGAAAACAAGGAATAGTAATGGTGGGTATTATCATAAACTCAAGTTTTGATTCATATTTTCTCCATTTTCATTTGGCAGTTTGCCATTCTATATTTTGCTTCAGTGATTTTTGTTTCGCTTTTTTGTATTGCTATCTTGTCTGAAATTTGCTAGATTGTAGCCAACAATTAGATACGAAATAACTTCTTGGCTTGATAAACTCCATTCAAACACAGTTTTAAGAAGACAAAATAGTGCACCAATGTTTGGTAACTGTTGATTTCATGTGAGCAGTTGTCTAAATGTTTCAGCAATTGATCTATTTGATCTAGCTAGTCAGCAACAAGTCATTATTTTGCTTTGAAACTTTTGTATTATAGTCAAAAGAATCAATGTTTAGTATCAAGTGGAATTTTAAAATATGAAAACTGAAACTGATTTGAAAGTGAGAGCTTATTACTTTATTCTAGAATCTAAATCCTGGCTTTGCATTGGAAATACATTCTTTAGATTTGAAGATGATCTGATAGCAAACACCCTCAAAGAAGGTTAGTGATCACACTGGTTTGTGAGTTTCTTTTTGAAATTTTATCAATGGCTCCCCTAGTTTACACACAAGATTCCTTGTATCAAGATTCCATAATATTGAGATGTCTGATAAGTTGTTATTCTTTTCAAATACCTTACAAATTGTAAAAATCAAATTATTCATCCTTCTATATTGAACTGTGTTTCCAGCACCAAAGGGTGAAAAAATGATAATAGCAAGTGCAATAGGACATTTTGCAACAATAAGGCAAAAAGTGGACCTTAAGTGGAGCAAATTCATGCATCAAATGTTATTACATATACTGTTGGCATTCAATGGTACATAATTGTGAAAATTTAGCATTCTTATGTTGTTATGTGCTTGCTTTAGTTATAAAGAATTTGTCACTGAGCAACAAATTATCTTAACTGTCTCATAAATTACACAGTCAAAAAGTCCATTTGCTGGAATTTCCCGTTGGCTTATTTTGATCCACAGCTGGGTAAATATATATTGCTTAACTAAGAGTTTTTGATCATCATTTTGATGTTTTATTCTCTAAAGAATGTCAGATAAACAACCATGTTTTAAAATATTTGCTTGTTTCAGAGCAATTTGTTATTTCTGTACTACCAAAAAATTATTTAACAAGAACCAAAAAACGTTTTTGCAGACCAAAAAGAGCTAGAAAAAGAGATCCAATCAATCAGGAATGGCATAACTGGAAAAGTTTCAGATCTGCACCAACTGGAAGGTATGGTTTTCTATGGCAAGATTTTCACAGGGATTTTGTGACAAATTAAAGCTTTCTATTTTAACGATTTGTGCAGCTTGCTTGAAGTGTGTTGCTCACAGAAATGCAAAAAACTTTTAAGTGAATCATGAATGAATAGAATATGCGTGACTGTCAGTTTTGATAGGCAAGACATTCTCGGTAATTTCATAGCTAAATTTCTGGTTAACATCTCATTTTGCCATTTTTACAGATTAGGAATTTCGTATCCAAATTCTAAATTCTTTAATTCTTTATTAAATTTCATATCTATATACTATATTTTGTCCTTTCTCAATGGAGGGCTAGATATTATTCATAGCTGCCAGTTTAGTGTAATATGTTTTATGATTTTGTCAGTTCTATGAATATATAAATATATTATAAATCAAGAAATGTTAACTTAACTGCAGGACAGAAAGATGTAAAAGGTTTCTCACTTGCAAGTTTGTCAGCAGAAGATTTAGCCTTTGTAAAACATGACGTTTAACTGGCCTTGCGACTTGTCTGTCTTGAGAAACAGACATCAAGAAATCTGTGAAACATGGCATCCCGGCTGCACTGTTGCTGCTCGCAATTTAGAGAAAAGCCTCATGGGATGGGATCTGCTACTAAAAGTTTGGGAGCATGCCACGTGTCCAAGCTCAGTCAAAATGATGCATCGTGTGTGACACGGAAGTGAAAGCATGAGGGCAGTTGTGCAATGTTAGACAACTATGTGGACGATATCTTTATATGTGACAAAGTGATTTAGTCAGTCGTTATTCCTATTTTATGAACCAAATAGATTTTGAATTATCTTTTTTAGAAAATGGTTACAGTAGAGACCCGCATAAAAAAACATGTTTTTTATAAGAACACTGAAATTTAACCTTTAAAACCCCATAATCAAGAACCCCCAAGAGGCTGAAATTTGGAAAGGTTCTTACGTATATATATATTTTATATATATAAGGGTTTTTAGAGTAAATCAGGTTATGATATGTATACAACATACGGTGTGTTGTATTCTAATTGGACAATCTAACAACACAAATTCATTTGATTGGTTGAAATTTAACATAAAAAAAGCTGGTTTAAGTGTGTCCCTTAGAGTTCTTGCGGTGGAAACATTGTTAATGTGTGCAAGGCCTGTCCGTATATAAGAACTTTGTTAAGAACCTTTTAGACTGGAATTTAGAATAGCAGCCTGTTAATTAAGAACCTATTCAGGCTGCCAGAAAAAACTTAAGTTCTTTCATGCAGGTTTCTACTGTATCTTAAAATTAAATTAAATTTTCTATCGCCATCTGCACTTTATCTAAAAGATTTTTGCTGTGAGGCATAACACAAGCACCCATTTTTATGCAGGTAAAGGTTAAAACAAAGATATCTTTATTCCATAGAAATTAAAGAAATGCTCTTCTCCCGCCGACTTTCTTGCATTTCTTCCCTATATTTATTAGCCCTCGCTCCCAATCCGCATTATCTGTAGTACAAGAAGGAAGTAAGACCTTCATCAAACCTAAAGTTTGATGCATCGCCACAGGGGCGTAACTTGGCCAATAGGTTTGGGGGGGGGGTGAAAAGGATTTCTGCCCTGCAAAACTGAGTGGTGCCCTGCAGACCTCGTAGCAACGGTTGTCTAAAGGTTACTAGTGAAAGCTTTACCAGTGTACACTGGTCTTTACCAAGGACAAACTTCTAAGCAACAAAAACAAACTTGAAACTTCATTGCCTATGAAATATCTATTTCTCTACGTGAGCGTATTTTTTTTTTCATTCATTTCATTTAATGTTGGTTCGCAAAATACAAGCTAATAAACAGCTAATGGGGGGGGGGACATGATGTAGACAGTGCAACGAAATTTAGCCCAGGGGGACTAAGAATCAAGCTTAGTGAGGTAGGAGGACCCACCATGGTTGGGTCCGGACAGTGACGAAAAATTTTGAATTATACCTTGTAAAAGGGCTAAAAAGCATCCTCAGACAAAAATTTAGCAAAATACTATTGTGCTAAAGAAATGATTGTTTATTGAAAATATTATTGTTTATTGGGAAAAATAGGGAGGGGGGAATATCATGCTAAAACTCTCAGTATTAAACGTTGGGGAAGAGAAAAACGTAACCTTTCGTTTCAGATTGCACATAGTTGTGAATGACAGAGGAAGATGTTGTTGATTTGGGGAATTTTTTTTCCTGAACAGAAATGTGCAGTTTCTTGTATCGAGAAGCCATGTTTACACATCCAAAATTAAAACATTGCCAATGATACAGAAAATGATTTACTGAATTAATGCAAATAAAAGAAAATATACCTAAAAAATTAGCAATTAGATGAAACAAAATTGGTATCTCAACGATTTATTTTGTTTTTAGTTCATGCACTGTTAAGAAGTAATATATAAAATGATAAAATTTTTTTTCTTGACCAAAGTGGGGCTTTCAGCTCCTATTCCCCCAGTGGCGCCTACGTACCTGTCATGAAAATAATTTTACAACTTAAATTATTTGCATGACTCAATCTTGCCCTCATAAACATATATCCATCATTGCATCCATTGGCTATGGCTTTCGGTAAGAAACGCTTTCGCCTTGCAAATAACGGAGCTTTTATTTACATACCTGTTCCGTTCTCTAAAATACAATGTCAGGAAGGGGGGTTCATAAAAAATACGATACTTCCATTTAAAAATTCCTAAACGGCCCTTTACGAACTTCAGAGGTGGCATTTCTGCGTGGCAATAAAGCTCGTCTTGGCGCCCTGCGAAATCTTTGATTGCCCTGCGAAATCGACTATTTTTTGGATTGGGGGGGTGTCCCCCCCCCCCCCCCCCCACACTCCCCCGGTATTTTCGCCCCTGCATCGCCAGGGAAATTATGCTATGATGCATTTTTTTTCAACCTGCTCACCTAGTGAATCGCTATTAAAGGAAATTTGACTAGTTGATATATGCTCGACTTTATCGGTATAAACAAATGAAGAACAATTATACGAAGTGGGTTAGCTACAGTTAGTAGTAAATAAGAAACACCGCAACGCGACGAGAATGAACAACAACAAACACACATAAATCAGTTATAGCTTTATGGCATACGGGGCTTCATGAGAGCAAAAGTAGAGTTGTTGATGTCTCTTTTTGCAAGAATAAATCTCTGTGCAAGCCCATCGGGGAACATAACTTTAGCGACTAAAAAAGCAAATGATGTAAGAAAGCAGAATGGAAATACAGAAATTAATTTTGGTGGACATTGGGATGGTTGTGAACTGGCTGGCAGTTCTCAAAACACACAAGGTTAAAATTGAGGTCGCAAATATTAATTTAAGAGCAATAATTAGGGGTCTTCTGGAAACCAATGATCTCAGAAAAGATATAGGAGAATGGTACATACAGCATTTACTCGTTGGAGACTAGAAAAAGTTAAGCAAGCCCATCATTCTGTTAAAGAAATTACCAAACAAGGGCTAGATTCCTGACGAAAGTAAAGAAATTAAAGCATGAAAATACAAAGAGCAAGCTCGAAAGTTTAAATACGCATGGATTGAGATTGGAAAGGAGATGTGTGAATGTACATATCCTAAAAAGGCGCAAAATAGAAATGAGTTACCCACGTAAAAACTTACAGGAATCATGACAAACCGCGCGGTCCCAAATGCGTTCACTATTTTGATAGACATAATAAAAGGCCAAGAACCAGGATAAGCAAGTTAAAGCGAGAAATTCATTGAACTTTTAATATTTCTCTTGAAGGGTTTTATCATGCAATGCACTCAAGTGCTGGGTAAAAGAACTGTTATATTTTGGCTTAAGGCTAGGGTGCGGGTTGAAGGTAAATGAAGAAAGTAATCTGAATTTGATATAGTTCATTCTGAGGTAGAACAGCCATATATGCTCCTTTGTTGAAATTGAAGTACTTTATCATACGTCTTCTGTCCAATATTCTTTTGCCAGTCATAAAATGTATCCATAAGAATTAAGAGTTTCTTTGGTTTCAGGTATGAAATAGCCCATCAATAGGATCTGAGTGACTCCTAGTTCAAAGGACAGAGAGATTTTAACGATATATCAATTTACAGAAGACAAATATTATATCGCCCGCTATAATGCAACTTCTTTAGGCTTACTGCAATGAAATATTCTGTTCATCAGTGGAATAGTGCTATCGAAATAGCAAGGGGGGCTCTTGCACGAAATGTTACTAAAACAATAACAAAAGGCTCATTTTTGGGATAAACAAGGGGACTCAATCCCCCCTGAGTCCTCTAGCACTGTGTCACTGCTGTTAATCATATAAAAGCTATAATAGACTATTATAGCTTTTATATACTATTAGTATTCAAGTCAATGTTAAATTGGTTTTGGACTAAAAATTCAGCCAAAAGATTCATCAAAAAGTTCATTGATGAGTTTTATCTGGTGTGAATGTTACAAATTTTGCAACAAACATAGGTTTAACTTAATGATCAAAATTTGTACAATCTTATGATTCAGCTGATAATCGGGGCAGTAAATCTGACACTTTCTTAGGCTTTTAGATCATTCATCATCAACTGAAAATATAAATTAGGAGGCGAAGGTGAGGGAAGGAGTCTGTCCCCTCCCCCCTTAGTTTGAAAACTCTCGAGATACATCGTAAAATTAACTTCTAGATACTTTTTGAACTGTCCTACACTGCAACTGCAAAACGGCACATTTCTGTGCAAGATTAAGGAATTACCAACAAGATTAAGGAGTTACCAACAAGAAACAACTGATATAAACAGCAGCATTGGAGATTATCGGCAGTTCCCAAAACTGTAAACAAAGACTAAAATGCAAGTCTAAAATTTAAGAGGCACCGTAGTGCTCGTAGTTAGGGCAAGTGCAAATCACAATCTCATAAAAAATACTTTGTATCAAGTTGTATATATTGCCAAAATTGTAGGGACCATGGCCTTCTGTCCCCAACAGCCTGGGGCTTTGACCTGTAGAGGAAAGGCTACTCGCTGGTTGTGACCCGTGTTACAATCTTTTTCTAAAATAGGGGATCAAATCTTTGTACTTATAAAAGGGAACCATAGTAAAGTGTTTTAAACAAAGAAATATATTTTGGGGTGAATGTGCATTTGTCGTCTTTGATGGTGCTGACGGAGGCCCTGGCATCCAAGCATCCTCACTCGAACAAGACCGACGCACCGTAAAAGTGCGCTTTACATGAGTTTACGGGAGTTGGGCTCTCCCAATTCGAGGTAAAAATGGCGGATGCTGTGGATGGGAGCAGCTTTACGACCAAGGACAAAAAGGATAATATATGGTGCGTAGCACTACTTTCATGAACTTAAAACAATTGCAGTACTTTAAAGACTTTTATAAATAACTCTAACATTAAATTTTTTATCTAGGACCCAAATTCTCAGTGAAGTAGCTGCTAAGGCGACACGAAAGTTACCTCAAAACAAACGGGTTTTAGTGTTAGGTAAGTATAATTGTTTTGTTATAACATCTGAAATGAAATTTTCTTTTTATTTACAAATGAAAAAGTTGAATTCAATTTGTGCTATAATAATTTGGATATTTTTTAAAACCCTGTTAAATATGAGAAAATGACGTAGTGCAACATTTTTCGATGAATCGGCCTAACTTTTTCTCAGGCGGCCTACGCCTGTTTTTTGCAAGTCCATTGTCCAATAATTTGATATAATACCAGCTGCGTTTTATTGCCTTTGATTGGTTTTGATCTTTTTTAGCACTGCTTGAGTTAAAATCTAATGGTATTTTCCAGTAAATTTCATCTCAACAAACTCCATGCATCGTAATTTTTATTTTTCCGGTTGTCTTTATTATGTATCTCACGGGTACAGTAACGTATTTGCAGTATTGTGCGAATGACGTGTATCATCATCAGGTTAATTATTTGAATACCTGTAGTCAATTCACACATATTTGTATAATGTCATAGGTATGAAACAGTGTTGATTGCATTAAATTAAGTGAATCTGGCAAGTTTAAAGTATGGAAGCACCAATACTCTACAAAATTATTTCAAGAATCTACCATTATGACACACATATACACAACATTTTTGCATAAACTAATCCCAGATCCGAATGAAGCAAATAGTTTTTGGATATTAATTTAATTTTTTATAAAAAAAAATAAGTATAGCTGATGATATTGTATAATAGGTATCTTACTCATTAATATGTTTGGTTTTTATTTTGTCATGATAGAAAAATCTTGAGATGTAAGCATAAAGCAATCTTTTGATTTTTTTAGAAAAATTCCTATTTGTATGAAATTATTTTTTCATCTAAAAGAAATTGATGAACTTTTGCACCTTGTTATTATTAAATTATATTTCTTGACAGGTGATGATGGTTCAGGGAAGACATCCTTGGTAACAAAGTTAAGGAACCCAGGAGAAGATGAGATAAAGAAAGGATCTGGATTAGAATTTGCTTATGTTGATGTGCATGATGAAGAACGAGATGGTTAGTGAGCCTAAGTGCTTCATACCTTGATTTTTAAGCAGGTTGCTCAATGTCTTAGATCAGATAATCAGTTTTGTTCATGGCTGTTTCAAAAGAGCTTAAATCAAAACTGTTTGTGTGAACAGCTTGATGTTCCATACCCCATCTCATGTTAGTTTTGTAGTTTCCAAAAGCCTTATTCGATTGAGTTTTATGACCCATCTTTAAGTTACAATAATTACCTCCTAGTGTAATTTGATAAGCTGTAGTATTTTATGAAAAGACCTTAAACTTGTTGGGAGACTTGCATACCAGTCACAATTTGGTAATATTTTAAAAAATATCTTTTTTATATAGCATTCCTCTCTGAAATATGCGATAGTTCTATTATCTATATAAAGGTCTTCGGGGATATGTTGCTTATTTCATAGTTTTGCAATTAGTATCAAGTATTATATCATAAAGTATTGAATTATGATGTTACACAGCAGTTAATTTCTACGATTTCATTTTATGTGAGGCAAAGATTATGCAGATGGTAATAATATGCAAACACCATGAAAATGGGCCTTTGACCAATGGTACATGAAGTTGCAACATTTAAAGCCTTTAAATATTTTTCAAATTTGTTTTCATGCTCTTAATTATTCTTTCCTTGCTAGAGTATGCAAGGCTCAACGTTTGGATATTGGATGGTGATGGTTACCACAAGGACTTATTGAAATATGTTATCACACCAGAAGGCATAAGAAACATTATTATTGTCATTGTTGTTGATATTTCAAAACCCTGGACTATAATAGACAGCTTGGAGCAATGGACACGCATTCTAAGAGAACACCTTCATACTCTAAAGTTGTCAGCTAAGGAATTAAATGAGATCGAAGAAACATGTAAGTTCTTTGTTTTAATTTTTATTGGCAAACAAATTTTAATCTTTAAACAAATATGACTTATGAAACAGCTATTGTATTCTAGCATTGATATTTCAAATTTTATCAGAGCAATTGGTTTTTTTTTCAATATACTAGCATAGATCACATAAATTGAGATCCAGATACACAAATTTTAACAGCTAGGCCGAGTATACATATCAATCTGCTCAGCTTTCCTAAAGTAAAACTGAGAAGCACAGTGTAATGAAATAATTCAGTTATTAATCATCTCCAAGCTTTGATGATAATGTTTGATGGATTGAGAAAGAAATAAAGATAACTTCATTGCTTTTTTTGTTTCAGTGGTAAATCAATTTAGAGAGTATGTGGAGCCAGAGGAAGGTGATGAAGAAGACAAAAGAGTACGCCCTCACTCCTCCACAACTACCACAACTAAAGAAGAAGATGTAATTCTTCCTCTGGGTGAAAATGTATTGTCAAACAATCTTGGTCTACCAATAATTGTGGTTGGAACAAAGGTAATGAGAAACTTTGAATTGATTGTTATATCACACTTTTGTGTTATATCACACTAATTCATGCTTACATATCAAAGAAAAATCAACCTTAATAATTTAACCAAATGTTTATGATTATAAGTGTTCATCTAACTTAAACATTTCTTGTTAACTCAGCCTTTTGGGTTAAATACTAGAAAACATTATCAGGGGTAGGCAATTGCAGAAAAAGGTGGTCTCCAGGTGGGAGACCAGTAGCTTTTTCTGCAGTCCCCCACATTTGACCTATGGTCTTGCAAAAGTGAATTTTGCATGGGAGATCAAATTATCCACCCCTGATTATGCCCCCTGGTTTTTTACCAATGTCTCAATGTTCTGCCTTTGATCACATTTCTCCATTTTAAACACTTGCTGTGTGGGAAATGTTTTGATCAATATGAAAGATTGCTTCTTTTTTCCTTTTTTAGAGTGACAGTATGGCAACTCTTGAAAAGGAGAATAATTATAATGACGAGCATTTTGATTTTATTCAAAAACATATAAGAAACTTTTGCTTGCGATGTATCCTTTATTTGTCAGTGCCAATTATTTGCTTAGTAATATATTTTATTGGTAAGGGGGTAAGGGTAAAATGATATCTCCATAAAACATCAGATAATCCAACACAGTGTCTTGCATGTTCTTTTCAAGATTTTTAAAGGTTATGATAATTTGGGTAATTCTAATAACTTATTGCTTGGTTTTGATAATAATGTAACTTTTACATTCAAACTTTTAGCTTTAATCATTATTTCTCTATTATTTTATATTTGATTTTTTTGAATTCTTATTTGATAGTAACAGATGGTAAAATGTCTGGACTTAAAGCTGATCCCAAGCTTTCCTGACCAGATGTATTGGCATGCAGAAAGCATAAACTATATATTTTAGTTTTGGCATCCAGAAAGCATAGACTTTATATTTTAGTTGTTTTCTTAACTGATTTCACTAACAGATGGAGCTGCTTTGTTCTATACCTCAGTCAAAGAAGGAAGAAATATATCCACCTTTTACAGATATCTAATTCATAGGATTTATGACTTCCCCTTTCGAATACTACCACAGGTTGTAGAAAAAGATGCTGTTTTCATGTGAGTTTGTGAACATTTTTGATTCCTTAACATTTTTAAAATAAAAATGGAAATGTAAGATGTAGGAGCATAGTAATAAAAATTACTTTTTATTAGTTTGCCTGTAATGCTTGACTCCATGTAGGCAGAGCTGTACAGGCTTTTTTGTGTAGAACAGGCGATTTCTATGCTGCATCCCTGTGTTTCGCACGTAATGTTTATTCAAATTATAAATCCAAGTTTAAAAGGCCTATTTACCTGTTTTTGCTATGCAACTTAACATGAAAATTGTAAACTTGTTTTAAGTTTAAAAATCCTATGGATTTTCTTACGGCATCCCTATAGTAGCAAATCTACTCAAAATCTCTTATTGCTATTTTCCTGCAGACCGATGGGTTGGGACAACGAAAACAAAATATCCATCCTAGATGAGCATATTAAATCGTTCAATCCATCAGAGTCTTTTGAAGCTCTAATATCGAAACCAATATTACGAAAGGTTTGTCGCCATTTTTTGCTAGAGGAGCACATTATTATTGTCGATCAATGTAATGGTTAATTAAATATGCTGGCTCCAAAATATTAATACGCGTTAGGCACTGAAAAGATAACAGGATTGAAGATAGGCTGTTGATATTTTAATCCACCCAACTATTAATTTATTTAGGGATGTAAGTGGCTTATGTGTTTATCTCTTCTCTTGAAAACTGCGTAGCCTTTCTAAAACGCTTCACTTGAATGCTGTCACCAATTAATAATTGTAAAACGTGTGTTGTTCTTCTTTCGAATCGCTAATCGATTTTCTAGGCTATCGGCAAAAAATTACTACACTAGACTTCTATATTCAGTTTGCTTCACTTAGAGTCAATACTAGAGCAAAATGATTTATGACCAGTAAGTAGGGCTGCCAAGAGGAGGGGGGGCAAGGAGGCACATTTCATCAGAGTCTCGAGTTATAGGGGGACTCATAAAGTAATGAATTTCTTTTTTAGAATGGAATGAATTAATAGGAAAAAATTACATATGAAAATAGTAAAACATCTCAAACAAATGAATGAATTTGAGCCCATTAGCTTTCGTAGGTTCATTCTTTCTGTCATGGTAACTGGTTATATGATTTGTTCTCTCAAAATTTATCTGTGTTAAAAGTTTTCCACGAACGCCATTCTCGTCTAGTTCCTTAACAATTAGTAATTTCCTTGATTTTTTCAACAGCCTGCTAACATGGATAAAGAAATAGTTGCTGAGGAAGAGCAAGCATTCTTGGCTGTTTTAGAGGTACCTGGCTGTTTTTTCCTTTTTGTCAATATTTATTATTAAGTACATTTACGTTTGAAAGCAGTATGTTATTTTTTTAAAACATGTATTGTATTGATCTTTAGACATACCTATATTAAATTTGTCCGTATAAGATGAAAATATTTCCCAATGGCAATCGCCCTGTGTTGTAATTGAGATAATATAATGTTTAATTGCATTCCAAGCTCTCTTTTGAAGTTCACTTTCAGCAAACTGGATACGAGCATGCGACAACAGGCTTCCTAATCAGCCTTTTTGTATCTTGTGATCCGAACCTTTAAAATGTATCTGTAATGAATTTGTATGCGCCAAAGATGTTCTCTAACATGCTTTCAGTTATAATGACCTTATTACCTTTGTGCCAACATCTAGCATGTGCACCCTTGCTTTACAGGGAAATTTAAGCAAAGCGATACAATCTCCATCTGGAATTGCAAGGCCGCAACAGGTTTGTACAATCTTAATGTCATATAGGATGACCTTGTGCTATTTTTGAACAAATATATTCAAGCCCTCCAAATGCACAAGCCTTGCTAATGAACAGTTGAAAAGCAGTACAGAAGATTATTATGTTCTAAGAGTAAAATCAATGCTGCTATTCAGATCATGAAAGTTTCTCTCTATCGGGGGAAGTGGTAAAGTTAATTTCAAGCAAGGAGGGAATTTTTGAACAACTGGTAATATTTTTTATCGAGGATTGTAGCTATGGAGTATGATTTGAATGAATCTACAATTTTAAATTTATCTCATAATGGCATTTATAAACCTCTCTGTCACAGACTTGAAAAAGTCCACTTTTTTCAACAATTAACTCTGAACTCTTCGTTTGAGACAAATATTGCAAAAAGGCATCATTTTGAATAATTACCAAAAATATTTGCTGAAGTTAATTTCGCCAAAAACTTATTATGATGATTTTGTTGATTTTCAAAAAGTTGATTTTGATGATGATACATCTTGTTCCAGGAGCACATGAGACCACGAATGCAGACCTCACCGGGTCAAAGACTCACCGACAAAAGAACTGGAATCCCTACAAAAGCAAAAGTTAGTGCCCTCTTTCCGGTTTTTATATATTGCGTAAAGTTCTTCACCGTCATATATTTTAGCTCGCAGCGCAGTACTATGCACTACGTATTCCTTTCTCACCCCTGGAATGACACTATGGTGACACCATCGTTCTTGTTGTCACAATTTACGAATATTTGACAAGATAGGTTAATATGGTGAACCTGGTAAATGACTCATATTACGAATGTATCTTTGCTTATATTTTGTATGTTAAACGAGCAAAAGAATTCAGGAGGTGTTATCCTTCTAATTTTCTTTCAAGTAGAAGGATTTCTTTCAAATATCAATTGTAACCATGGTTTGCAATGCCAATCTGCAAATGGCCGTACCGACCGAACATTTCCATCCTACCTCCAGGAAGCTTCTGTTCCAACCAATTGACTTGGGCCATCTTTTCATACTTTAGAGAAATTTTCAGAAAATTATCTTTACCCTTTCTCAAGTGTTAGCTTGACTTTTTTAAGGCGACACTAAGACCCTTTTAATAATTTTCGGAAAGATGGATGGAATGGTACTTGTGAAATGCCCGTCGCGCTCATGGCTTACAAACGTCTTTAACAAATGTCCTTTTTTCCTGTTTAGTTGGAAGGAGCAAAGGGAGCTGCACCTGGTGGCCCAACGGAAGGTGTGCTGGCGAACTTCTTCAACAGTCTGCTAAACAAGAAAACAGTTGCTGGTGCGAGCAAGCCTGCTGCAGGAAGCCCTGGGGAGCGAGCTGCCGTGAGAAGTGATGCTGCCGCTGAACTTGAAAGGTTAACGAAGAAAGCACAAAGCCAGAGTGTTAGACAGACACCTGGCAGTTCAACGTAATCAAACAGAACCGTATTTATAGTATAAAACTGTGTTTAGAGTCGAGAAAGAAACCTAGTGTCGCGTTTTCAATCAGTCGGTTGTAATGTCGGTAATATCAACTGTCGTTGTAAGTTCACAGTGTTGGCAGTTTTGTTTTTGTGCGTAGGAACCGCGTCAAGTGGTTTTTCATAAGTAGTCTTCTATAATGCCAACTATTATTGCATTTGACGGAAACACTTCATTGTATTAGCAGCTATTGATAAGATAGTTTATGGACGATCTCCCTGCCCCTCCCGTTTCTTAGGACAGTTCTCCTTTCCCCTTTGGAAAGAGAGAATTTAAATGACAAACCTTTCAATGTTTCCATAACAAACTTCTTAGCATTTACGAGTACAGCTCATGATTGCTTCTTGTCGGAGGTTACAGCAGATAAGACTTTCTTCTGTCCACAGCCTTCTCAAATTTATTTGATATATGTAAGTATTCCTTCGTTGAATATTGAGGGAGATTAATTTGCACCCCCAACTAGGAAATTGATGTTTAGCCTTTCTGAAATAATATGTTGCTAAACGAGGAATATATTAAATACTCGGAGTCATACCCATTTTTAGAACACTAAGCACTGTAATCGCTTCTTAATATGTCTTTCTGAAAACCCCCCTTATGTGATGAATACTGCAACTGCTACTCTTAAGAAATATGTGAAAACCACTTCGTAAAGCAAAGCACGTGGTTAGTTATTTTTGTTATAGCTAACTAGATTAGATATTTTTTTACTGCAATTTAAATCGTGTTGTTCGTGCCGATGTGGATCAGCATAATTACCTAGTATTTAAACAATGTTTTCTCTTAAGCCAATGAGACATTTATTCAGATTATTTAAAGGTTGATCGAAACTTTAAGGTCATGAAGTCACGTGTCGATGTGAGCATGAAGTTTCAATGGATGCCAAATATCATCTGCATTGTGAACTGGCCGACATTTTCTGTCTGCATTATAACTGATATGGCAAAGGCGATTTGATTACTGCTAAAATGTCAGATATTGTTATGCTATTTATTAAAAATCCACAAACTTACTTGTATCATCTTCAAACTTGATTCTTTTTTATTGCAGACCCTGAGCTATCGACTTCGTGTATCCTGTATCTCTAGCTGATGTATCACTTTTGATATTAAACCTAGGGCATAGAACGATAAGCGCTGTCAAATGTAGCATCAATGTCACGGGAATTTTCACGAACTCACTTTTTTCTTTTCTTTAAGTTATCATTTTCCTCGAAAATAGTTTGTATCACGTGTAAGCCAGTTTTCATTGTTTATCAGTCGTCTATTACATCTAATTATAACTGAAAATGAAGTGACGAGTAATTTTATTTGCAAGAACGTGGTCATAGTAAAAATGTTCTTGGAGACTGTAATTGGTACATCATCTTGTCTCTTGAAACCTCTGAAGGTCGGTCATCAGTGAATGGAAAAGCTTGAATTCAAAGTCAAGCAAAATAACCAGTCTCTTTATGTTATTGAATGCTTCTTTCGTTCTTGTTTTCCTTATATGATGAAGAAAATATTCTTCGGACAGGCTCAAAGGTTGTAACCAGTGTGATTGGATATCACATGAACGGCGTTTTGCAGTTTTGGCGTAAATAAGTAAAGCTTCGTTGTGATAGATAGACTTGTTTCATTCAATATTATGGCTTGTTGCTTGGATGTTCTTTAGTTTACAAAAAACGCTGTTTGCATTCAGCCACTCTATCAGCCTAGAAGTTGCTTGAGTTTTCAAGTCGGGAGGGGGTGGGGGTGGCGGACAATTTGCTATAGGGATAGGGATCCGTAATTCTGGATGGATGGTGTTGAGAACACCTAACTATTGTTACTAAAAAGTGGTTACAATAACAAAGATAACCCTTAAAATAACCTGTTCATTTGATAGTCAAAGGGGAATCCAATGACCTTTGCTTCAATTTGTTACTAGATTTTTCGTATAGACCGCTAGATCCTGCTTCAAGGGCCGCGATTCCAATTCAAAGATGGATCATAAAGATGCTTTGATGCATTTAAAAATGCTTGAACTTTCCTTGTTCTTTTCCTGACGAAGCATAAAGACCAAACCATAGATTACTTTCTTTAATTCGGGTTCTAAGAAAATTTAACCAAAGATACAAGACAAGGAAAACTTTCAGGAAGGCAAATAGGGCAACATTTCATTCAGAGGTTGAGGCGTTCTTTAGACTATAGTAACTCTAAAAGTTTAGTAACCTTTTATTAACAATATATTTTACTGAAAAGCATGGAATCCACCCTCTTTTTACTTGAATCCTGCAGGTTCTAACTTTAAAGGTCGTCGAAAGTCCATAAGGTGGTCAAAATTCTATAAGGTGGTCAAAATTCCATAAGGTGGTCAATCAAAATACTTCCCTTTCTTGACATGTGTTGAAGCAAAGTCTTTCAGAAACGAAGATCTTATTCTCACATCATAGATTTTATCGTGTAGAGTATGTAACCACAGTAATATAATAAAACGATCATTAATAATAGCTGGAGATAATATGAAGTTAAGCTTTAGATTACGCGCTAATCAAGCTCTCACACAGATTCACACGGTTTCATGCATTGCTTAGGATAAAATGCTTAAAAATATACAAGTAGATAAAATCATTAAATTTAGGAATTAACAGCAACGGAAACAATAGCATGAACAAATTCCTAATAGATAGCTTGCAGTCTGGTGGAATCTTCTTTGTTTTGCATGCGAAATATTTACAAAATCGTGTTGTTAGTATATTTTTCAATTGCATTGTAACTTTTTTCGAAAGAAAAATCGATTGTAAATGCAAAATGCTCTTGGATGACACAAACAATCTGATAGTAACTTCAAATGTCCTGGAAATTTACGAAGAAGAAGTTCTAATTTCTGCCATATCTAAAAAATCGCAAATTTGGAACTTGGCGGTTGACACAATACTGGCAGCTGAAAATATAATTAAAAACAAATTTAAAAGTAAAAAGGATGTAAAAGAAGGGTCCATCTTAAGTCGTAACGGCAATTTAGACGCTGCTTTGGCTCTCTAATTCATATCTAGTTTCAAGGTCTTTCCTCGAAGAAAATACATCTGATATTCTTTTGCGCAGCTTCTTTCTGATCTCTCGTTGCATAAAGATATTTGTCAATGGGATACTTAGCCCATAGAGGTTTACTATGATGAAGTCAACTGCTAGAAAGACTTCTGCCACGTGACCTTTTGTCATCAATAATACTGCAGTAACAATTTCTGGCAAAACGACAAGAAACAAAAACAAACATACGATTATCACCGATATCAAAATAACTTTTCGCTCATTTTGATGTTTCATATTTGTGTTTATAAACTGCGTTTTGAACTGCCTGCTTCGTTTGATAAGAGCATGAAATATGTAGCTATAAGCATACAATACGAAGCACAAGTACACACCATCTGCTATTGGGAAAAGGAATCTGAAATGAAGGTCCAGTATTGTGTTTGTTTCGAAGAATATGCGAAGTATGATAACGAAAATCGAAGATGACCATGAAAATATCAAAATGTAATGAACTCGTCGTTTCGTAAGCACCAGATTGTACTTCAATATGAATTTTATTCCAATAAGACGATCCACTGTTAACATAGTCAAAATACAATAGCCAGGCCATCGACAGCAAGTCATGATCAATATAATTATCTCCATGACGAAACTTCCACTTTTTTCACCCAATAATGCAAGGGTCCAGTAGGTAATGGCACCTGCCAATGCCACTAGCAAGGCAATGCTTAAATGAATGAGAATACGATTCTGGTGTGTTCTCTGCCTTCCAGATCTCTCGATTAGAAACAGTCCCCATGTTGCCAGTACAAAGGAGGATAAAGCTATACAGATACGAACAACTGGAACTACTACGGTGTCAAGCATATCTCACAAGTGACAACAGTCGTTTGACTGAAAATCAACGTGTCCACATTTCTTTCATCTATTCGAAGATTACATGAAGCATACTTCTTTTCCTTTGGGTCTCTTTAATTCAGTGTACCTATAGAACAGTAAAGCTTTTTGCAGCAGGACGGGCATATCAGTTGCCTCCCTTGGGTTTTTGGGCTCCTTTATGCGTCTTTCTCTGCCGCAGAAGTTATCTGATTGTTCATATGAATTAGAGAGACCAGCTATTTAGCATTAAAATTCTATTATAGCTGTTATAACACATTGAGACAAAGCAGATAATATCATGTGATGGTAAAGCTTTTGCATGAAGATTCCCACCTTTTGTTTTCAGCATTGACAACAAGTCTTGTTCTCATTTAAATAGCAGGCTGTAACTAGAAAAACTTCCGCAGCGTTCGTTTATAAAAAGTTTTTGAAGTGATACCGAACTTTGTACTATGAGACTAAGTGATATAACGACAATAACAAATTTAGAGCAAAACGTTTGTGAATGCAGGGGCATCGTGGCCGAGGGGACGGGGATTGCTAAGGATTTACCGATTTCTACCAAAGACGATTTGCTGCCGAATCTTCAAAGGCCAAAATTGGTTATGGGGATAAATATGCAATCCCTCTTGGCATCTTGAAACACTAATGCATTCTAAAGGAAAAATTAGGTCAACCCCATCTCCCTTGACTAAAAAAGTAGAAAATACGCATTTTCGAGTAACTATCCATCTACAATTCCAGGGCAAAAATAGTCGAGAATTTTAAAGAACATCTTTTTTAAAAATATTTTAAATTGACTTTTTCGAAGTGCTGAATATGGAAAGGCATAAAACACCATATCAAATTATCTATCTTATGACCTTTTCATGTGTTTAAACTTTTTAGGGACATTAAAATACATTCAGGAATAGGATTCTTGATTTTTTTTACAAATTCAAAAAACTGCATTTCAGGATCCGGAAACAAATTGTTAAATCCCGAAATATTTGTCAATATATGCAAAAAGCTTTTCAAAATCCAGAAATGTTCAGTTTATCACTAAAGCAATTTGCGACTATGGTTTGCCGCCAAAATTGCAAACCTCGGAATGAGACCGAGTAGTCAACCACTGAGGCCAAACGGCCTAAAGTCTCCTGTGTAAATTGTTGCAGGTTTCGGACATTACCGATCCCTGTCATATTAACATACAGGAAAGTATTGAAATGGAAAATGTTGCAAAAAGGCTAAGGATATACAAGAATCTACCAGTTGTGATATGTGAATGGCATCAACATGTGCTGCCACATATCCATCGAGGGATTGCATCCCGTCATCTTCCAGCCCATTGTATCAAAATGATACACTTTGACGCCCACCCAGATCTCACGTTTCCATTAACGAAGTCAGCTGATGACTGTTTCGAAAAAAGCATTCTTTATGACGAGCTTGAAATAGCAGATTGGATTCTGCCTTTATTTTATGAGGGGCATATGGACAAGTTTGTATGGATAAAACCAAGTTGGGCAGACCAAATACAGAACGGAAAATACATGATTAAAGTGGGGAAAGATAAGAACAACGGCTTTCTAAGGTCTAGATTTCACACCTCTATTTCATGTTGTTAGAGATGTTTTCCGTTTGATAAAAGTTATGAGTTTGGCGTCAGTTTGGAGCCATGAACAAGTTCTCTATGCTTTCCAGGGTGGGATAATGTAGCATTGGGAAATTAAAAACTGTTCGATAGTGGTAATTATTATCAATACCAATTATCCATAAATTATTTTTGAATGAATTTCACAGGCAAAAAAAGCCTAGAAAAACAGTACTAAGCTTGAACACTAGGTGCAAAATTGCAGTTTGGAAGGTGGAGTCATGCCGATTTTGCAAAAGCTCTTTTGTTTTACAGATAAGTGGAAGGGTGTGGCTCCCTGATCATCAGAGGTTATATTGAATGCATAAAAATCTTCAATGCAATGTCTAATGTATCAAGCAACAACATGTCCTAAACAATGGTTCAGCTTCTCTTTAAAGTTAAAGTTTAAAGTTGTTGCCTCACCCAGACAAAGCTTGCTTCTGGGCTTGAGTTTCTTTCCTCCATCCCTGAAACATCATCCAGTTGTTTATATTAAGAGTTTCTGGAAAAAACAATGATGTTGAGATAAGTAAAAAACCATCTGGTTTCTAATGTTGCCTTCTTTAGGTATGGGAGATATAAGCAGGCCTCTCTGGAAAAAAAACAAACAACACAACCTATAAAAAGTCCTTGTCAGTTTGGCTGCATGAGCTATTTAGCCCTTACAGAACTGTTGTTAATTTTTTTATATTTGAGCATTTACAAAGGCAAAAATACATTACCTTGTCAATTCTCTAAACATTATTGACCTTAAGAAAGCATTTTCGTGTGTATTACTCCCTTTAAATTTTGTATTACCACTCCTTAAAACAAGACAAAAGAGGAGCATAACTTCTTTGGAGTATGGCAATGTTTTGTTAGGTTTTGCCAGTCATATGTGGCTTTTTTGAGAATGCCTAGTTTTTATGTTGTGACTTGAAAAGAAATTGTTTCGTATTTGACAGCATGGTGTAAGATTTCTCACTTTAATTATTTGTAGCATTAATCACACTATATGTTATTCCTTTCGTGCAAACACATTTTGTATTCTGTTGCAAGTTTTAGCTGATAATACAATTAGTTTGTTAACATTTGATAAACACATAGATACATAAGACCTCTTTCTCTTTATTTACTAACACCCTGATATTTAGCAGTAAGTGGTACAAACATTGGAAAGCTAAACTTCACGGATTAAATGATAATGTTGGTTTGAAAAACTGTATGGGCAGGAAAAAGCACTTTGCAGATCTATTTTGCATGGGTGCAGGCTATAGCCCATGTCTCAGAGAAAAACCTGATATAAGGGTTGGGAGTACTTTTATCAAAAAGCAATACACTAGCCAAAATATCTTTTAGGCAATCTGAATGAGGTTGACATAGATTTTCACAAACTTTTCATGACCACCAAGATTTGACTTATTTGCAACACCAGATTAAAGCATACTAGAGTGAGAAGAAACTGCTTTTGCTATTTCCTTTTTTTTTGTAGTCATGTACCTTTTATTAAACTAATAATCAATCTTGTTTTTACATACCGTAGGCTCACAAATAAAGAAAGTGTAAACAATATTATGAAAATCAAGATTTTTATTATTAGATATTTCATGTATGCCTATGTCATAGTGGAAACATTTCTTTGCAGAGTAGATCTAAAAGATGAATATTTTATTGAAGAACTGTTGTATTCAAGAGCAGCGGACATTTCTGATGCAAATGATGTTTCAATACAAGTAAAAACTCTGTGCTGTGGCACTAAATGTGACAAATTGAGTCAAAATAAAGAAGAAGTCTGTGATTCACAGCTTTGTGAAAGTGCTAAAAGATTAAAAGAGGATTTCAGATGTAAAGATGTTGAAGATCTGATTGTTGGAAAATCAGAAAGTTTCATTTTGGATATTGATTTGGATTTTTTCTCAACCTACAATCCTTTCAAGTTACAACACTCTAAGGTATGATAGCCTCCAATATAGGGAAAATTGTTTCAAGATCCTGCCTCTATATTTTGGTCTTGGGAGAGCTGCCATGGCTGTAATGCTCCTGGTAAAATACCTACATGTTTTGATCTTATCATGCAAATGGCCTGGGCACAGCTTAAAGTATAACAGCCTGTATATGATGAAACCTGTCTTTGAATATCAGGTAGAACAATAGAAGCACAAAAAGCCATGCATTTGTTGTTCCTATATGCCATGTTTTTTTCTTTGTTTTCTAAGGATGACTTTGCAAGGCTAGCTGAAATATACCAATTCGAAGCACCAAATAGTCTATCAGAGGAGGTGAGTGTGTTCATATTTATCATATCATGATAGGTGCAAATCATATTTATCATATTTAAAAAGTCATCAAACTGTAGTGACATCAAAGATTGTTGTTCAAAACAAAGGAAGTTTGAGTCTGGTTATGCAGCTTAGCGTCTTCGTTGGGAGCATCTACCTTGCCAAAAAAGCATTAAACACAGGCTAAAGCATTTCAGCAGCTGGATCGACACAATATAGCATAGTGGATATTGGTTTCCACCATTGAATGTATAGATGCACAGATTTTGTTGAGACCAACATTTTTCGACAGTCATGTAGGAAGAGGCCGTTTTCTAAGTTTCTTAAGATGTTTTCATCCTAAAATTTTTGGGCAGGCACAGAGGGGAAAAAATATAGTTGGGCAGACAATGCCCCCCTCGTGCCCCCTTTGGCTTTGTGCCTGATCATATTTCTGTCTCTGATTGATGATAATATCATTGTTTCTTAGGACATAGGTGAAGCAATGAAGAATCGTCAGTATCAGCTTGAGAAATTACAGAACACAATTAAATACTTCATTCAGGATAAGCTAAAAGAACTGACAAAGCCAACTGAGTTTTTAAACTTGATTGACCAAGAAAAAAGAGTTGATGTATCAGAAATTGATTCTGAATATTACAGTCTCCTGTTGAAACTACACAAGAATGCTAATGGAACTGGAACTGAATTTGATTTAGAGCTGGTGTGTATTTGTCTGATAATTTCAAATTGTTAATGATGAAAATCATTAAACTTTAATTGGTCATATTATTCCTTGAATAAGCTCATACTTTCAAGGCATATGATGCTAATTGTATAAAAAATTGGTTGTAAGCATCAGTAAATTAACAAACTTGTTTGAATGAGGTTGAACAATTTTTGAGGCATCTAGCTTTGCTGCTGTTGAACTGTTTAGGAAATAGTTGCATTCACGGATAATCAAATCTAGTCAAAACCTAATATTACCTAAATTTAGAAAATCTAGTTGTTTTGATATTTTGCTAACAAGGCTTTAAGGCACTGTCCTCAATGGTGGCATGAAAGATGCTTGGGAAATTATCATATCTTTTTTAAATTTATACAAAAAATCCCAATTCATACCTCTTACAGCCAATCTAGATGTTCAATGATTCTTTTGCCTAAGTATAGTGGCTTATGAAAACTGGAACTATAAGCTGGAAGGAAATAATTTCATCCACACAACATTTATATTAAGTATGCATTTATTCAAAAAAGAGTTTAGCTAGCTGTCAAACTTATTCAGTCATTATTCATATTATATTTAGTTAATTGTTATTTTAATTGTTATCAATCTTTGCTATGTGGATAAAAAGGCAGATTACATGTTGTTACTCAGAGCTCCAGGCCATGAAGCAATCATCAGACAACCTTTCTGTGATTAGAGCTGTAATACGAAGATATTTATTTAGCATTCATGTAGTTAGGTAACAATGATCAAATAACTATTTTCAATATTTCCAGATCCATTTTGCTGGGATGTCATCTGAGCTGCCTCACCATCGAAGCACAAATGATGAAATCAATAACTCTTTAGAAGATGTAGAGCTATTTTTGAGATGTTTAGAAAAACCCATATTTGTAACCATTGCAAGGTATGGTGTGATTTACAATTTATATCATATTTTGATTCTGTGACTTTATGTTTCTTACTAGACAGACAGTGGAAGCTTGGGGATCTTTTTTCTTTTTGACAAATGTTTTAATCAATTATTTGCTAAATCTGTTGCTAGCAGTGCAATTTTCAAACAAAACTTTTTTAAATTTTTAGAAAATTATGTTGGCAATTGATTGCATTGCTTTTTCTGTGCCATGATGGTTTGAAATTTTAACTTCTAGGTCAGCTGAGGATGAATATACTCCAAAAGACCAGGTTGATTATATACAACAAAGGGTGATCCAGTTACTTAAAAAACTCTATGGTGATATTTCTATTGTTAAGGACTATGAAAATATAAACGAAAATACATAATTATGTAAATACTAGGAAAAATCTATATCGTCATTTGTAAAGTGCATTTTTTTAGTATCACAGTTCTTATTCCATTGATGTTTTTGGCTTAATATTAATTGGATTTCTAGAAGGCACAATTTGCTCAATTCTTAAGATTTGTTGGGCTACCTGAAGAACATGGCTTAAAAGCAAAATCTTAGATGAAAATGGTTCAATTATGTCTGTTTGGTGTGGGGAAGAGTCTTTCCCATTGTTTCCATCAATGCCAAAACTCACTTCTTGAGTTGTATTAAGTATTTCATTTTCAATTTCTATAAATCTTCTCTGTGGATGGTATGCATTTTTGTTTAGCAATCTCAGTATTTCTAAGCATGCACTGCTTAAGGATTTACAAACAATTTCCATGCTTTCATCGCTAGCATGTTTGGCCTCATATTGTAGGCATCGAGCAATGTATGCTTCAGAAAAACCGGCGCCAGGGATATATTTGAAAATACTTTTGTGCTCAATTTGGTGGGTGCCATATTCATCATAGAAGCACATTTTCAAAACCTTCAGCATCCTCAATACTGCAGAATAATACTGTTTGCCGATGGCTGGATGTGATGAGCAAAGAATAAGTTGACATGGTACCTCATCCAAATCTTTGTAGCTGTTGTCAGGGCAAAGCCAGCTATAGCGTTCTGTGCCTATAACTAATTCATCTGCATGTGACAGGACTCCTATTTTTGATGAAAAGTCTTCATATAATATTTCTTCAGTGCTTCCAATAGGCAGAATTCTAAAGTAGTTTGAAATCCTTGTGATCTCTTCATCTTGCATACATTGTAACACACTGAACTTTTTCTTGCAAAACGATTGTATATAATCTGGGATTTTGCAACTACACAAAATCAAATTAACACCTTTGCTGTCTAGTGCATCAAAAGCTCTATGAAAAACAGATAACCTACTTTTTAAAAAGGAATCGCTATTAATCCTGTTGAATTCTATTGAAATTTTGCCAAACTGGATGTTGTTGGTATCAAAAATGTCCTTCATCAACACAAATCTTCTCTGGACGCCTAATACAATATTTGGAGGCTTCTCGATAGGGTACTGTTTGATAACAAAACCACTAATGACTCTTGTATTTGCAATATCAATTCCATCAGCAGTTACACATATATCTTGAAAATTGTCTATCAAATTGTTCACATGCTTAGAAAAATCCGTTTGATGCTTTTTGTTATGGGAAATAAGCTCTATTGATTTTTCAACCAACAAATCAACAACTGATGGAGAAAACTTGCCATTCAATGTGGTTTTCAAAACATGCCTGCAGCTAATATAAAACTTTTCAGTCCTTTCTTTAATATGAAGATCATCATCAAGATGATGTTCGAAACTGTGTCTCTCCAAATCCCCCAAGATTTTTTCCTTCATAGAATTATTCAATTGTGCACAAGCAGATGCTACAGCTGAATTTATAGCAGTGAGCTTGGAAAAGTTGGTTGATAAATATGTGCTATTACTGATATTTTCTAGAAGAACTGACAAAAGAATTATCATTTCTTTGGATCCATCGCCTGTAATTCCAACATGTCTTTTTACTTGCTCACAAATTAACACCCCGATCGGATGAGCCATTGACAACGAATCTATAATGCAATACCCAGAGTTGGTGACTAAAATACTGCCAGAATCGCACCTCAATGCTACATCAATCCCATTTGGTCCATAAGTCGGGGAAAGTATTGATTTAAGAGTACGGAGGGTTTCCACAGCAACTCTCAATACGTCCGCCATTGCTTGTTTTTAGTTGTTCTGTCCACAGGGGGTTATGAAAGTCTCTGTAGATCTTAGATCTTGACACAGCGGAGGATAATGCCTCGTTATGTCTTAATGGCGTATCAATCCTGTGATCAAAATTGTTAGAAATTGTTTTTCTATCTTGAAGACCTGCCAAAACAGCTAGAAAGGTGCAGTTCGGATCAATGAAAGAGTAGAAACATGCATGAAAGGCGATTATGGTAAGAATAAAGTAGTTTTCTCAATCCGGTACCTTTCATTTACCTTAAAAAAGCGCTTTCAATTGGTAAAAACAACAAAGAGGGCAAGGAACTGTAACGTTTCCACCATCATCGAGCATCCTCAGAGGCTCATGACAAGCTACGTGTAAATCCTCTAAAGCCTTGTCTATTTTGATGGTGGTTCAAAGTTTTTAAGCTGTTCGAGGCAAAACTTGTGAAACAGAAATCGTTGGTCATCCACTACCTATCAACATCAGAGTGGGCGGCATCTATCTCCTTTCAATTTGCTTTGATTTTTTTCTCAAAAATTCAAGTGCGTTAGCAACTGATCCTTCAAACGTAGAACAACTCCACTGTTTTGGCAACCAAAAGAGTTTTTTTTATCAGGCTTTATCTGCTTGTATCAAGGTTAATTTTCAAGCTCAATTGTTTAGTTCTTCCATAAGCAAATATGCGAGATTTATAGGCATGCCCTATTCATAACAATAATAATATGTGAATATCCTCCCCACACTACTTTTACTGGTCATATTCCACACTAAAAAATAAATCAAAACTTTGTGCCATACATTTGGTTTTGCTTGGGATCTAGGGTTTATCTTATGTTTCTGGTGCATGCAGAGCATGGCATTGGTGTGCCTAAAATGCAGACATAGTAGGGCTGAGGATCACCCAAATGCTGGCATATCCGAATGGATGATTTTTGCCTACCCCCACCTGAAGTATGGGGATGTTGATACATCCAATGTATTGTTGAAATCTGCCAAACTCTGCAGATTGGTCACCAATTAGATCCTTCTAAAAGAATTTGGGTATTAATGGCTTAAACTTGTCTACACCAAGTTAACAGTTTAGGTACCAAAAAATCCACCCAACATGTCTTTCATATAGCTGCCTGCCTAAGAGTTAATATTCTAAGGTTACCTTTTAAACAAAACCTAAACGTTTCCTTTTAGGTTTAACTTTTAAAGGTTTAAAATTATGGAATCTGATTCCTTTTAGTATAAGACAATAGTTATAGCTAAAGCTCATCTATTTTAGTTATGAAATTGTAACCTCAAAATATATTTGTTCCCAGCAATAAAGTAATATGATATTTAACTATCAATGAACCATGATTATTATCAAATTAACATTGTATACTGGTTTCAGAAATTCATATTTTCGAACTTCAAATTTCCCTCTGATAAATAACCATCAAAATCATTCCATAGCATATCAATTTTGCATGCTTTTAGAAACCATTGGAAAAAGTTTAAAGGACATTAGATGAGATGATTTTTTGTTGCCTCCACACCCCATCAAAATCATTACCTTCTGACTAGAGATGAATTCCTTTTGGGCAATTTTAACTTGCACTTGACAACAATGAATCAAAGTATTGTATATGTACCATTATCATAAATTTTTCAGAGTGCCTATTTCAATTGATAATTAGTATGTATTGTAAATGAGCATTGGATTTCATTTTTTGTTTAATTGATTTAATTCATATTTGCTATCTTTAACCAAAATTCAGTAAGGTATTCTTGAAACAATGTCCTGAAACCTGTCTGCAGATGGATTTACAACCTTTGTACAGCCAGGTCTTTGTAATAGTTCTAAAGGGGATAAATAGGATTGAACCAATACTCCATGTTATTAAAATATTCCCCTTTGTTTCAAGTTGGCTTTCTTGGCTTAGCCAAGTGATTGAATGAATCGATATCCTTTATTGTCTGTCTGCTGTCTGTGTTTAAATGGTCCTTCTTTTAATTTGCATTCATGAAAAAGCACTAGGAATATGACTTAGTTATGATTTGTTCAATACTGTGTAGCTGGTATATGCATAGTTTATAGCAGTTTTGAATCATAATGTTGTTCTTCCCTATTGCGTAAATAAACATTTAAAAGTTGTTCATTGAGGCTCAGCTTGCATGGATGATACTGCATCATCCTTATCACCATCATATTTGGTTTAATGTCTGCTTTAAATGCTTGCCTACATCAGACAGGGTTAAGTGTGAATCCCAGGCTGACTTATCTTTGGCTAGGTCTTTGCCGACCCTTCTTTCTCGTCAATCATTTCGTATCACTTTGGCCCGTGTCTTCTTTAGCCTACCTCTACCAACTGTACCTTTTACCACAATTGCTCTGCATGTACTAAACCAAGCATTCTCATATACACTCTCAATGTGAACAAGCCAGCAAAAGTCTTCTATTCTGCACACATGTCCTAACCTTCTAAATTTAACTACCCTTATGTTCATCATATCTAATTCTGGCTTTTAACCCATTGAAACTAACTAAATCTTTTTTCAGATCATGTGCAAAACAGAGTCAAATTTTTTGATTCAGTTTTATATCTGGAAAAATGCAGAGACTGTCATCTGTTGTCAAAGAGAAAGTGGAAGGTATCTTCTATTGATCAGTTAAACTGCTTAAAGATCTTTAAACTTTCATGATTTTTATTAAACATGTCTTTTATGCTTTAGGATAATTTTAGATTTATCTGGCCATTTCATTAGGCAGCAACACTTTGAGTTAACAATTTTTGAAGTAGTAAAATATAATAAATGATAGGTTAACAGGATTTGGGAAAGTTTACTGAGAGATGATGTGAGCGAATGACACAACCAGTGACTTTGTATATTGTTTGCTCACCAAACTGAGCTACCCAGTCACATTTTCAAATCCAAGTCTAAAGCTATCGAACTCACAAACATTGCCCCTCTCTTGTCCAAGTGTGCAGGTGAGCCATTGCAGCATCCATTGCGATATGCACCAAACCTGCTGTAAGGAAGGACTTCCAACACCAGGGGGCATTACAGCTACCAAAACTAGAAAGGCTAGAGAGAAATGAATGATCCCCTGCACACTAATTAATCATAAATGTTTCATGTCATAAATCATGGCTTCATCATGCTACACATATTATTTCAGCATATGTTGTCAGTGGCGTCCAAGAGGAAAGAAAGATAGAATTACTGGACAATTTGTCTGTTGCAGTAGAGAAGGTGAATTACATACTATTAAACAAGATGTTCATAAAGAAATTGAGATACCAAAGAAAACAAATATTAATGCGTTATTTCTGATAAGATTAGATGCTTAATGCTATGTTTGGAAGCTTATTTAGAGCTTCTTTATACCAACTTAAGCTTGTTTTCTAACTATAAAGGTATGACATTCAAGTATATCAAAAGCAGAATTTTCTGTTGTGCATAAATTGAAAGACATAATGTGAATTACACTTTGCTGTAGTCAAAATTTATCAAAAATTATCCAGTAGCAAGGTACTTTGTATTTTTTAGATAAATAATATTATTTTCATTGTACAGGTTCAAAGTAAATTTGAAAATCCGATTCATAACAAAGTTGTAAAAGAAGGGAAAGAAGTTGAAAACTTATGTTCTTGTCTGGAAGATATTTTCCAACATGGACTTAGAGAAAAAGGGTTAGTTAACAATGGTTTTGTTAACAGTGAAAAGTTTTAGATGCTCACATTAAAGGCATTTGACACAGGTAAAAGTGGCTTACAGCCACTCAACCACAAGCAGTTGATCAATCAAAATGTGCACAGAGAAAAACACTTGAACAAGATTTCAACAAATTCCACCTTTCTGCAAACCAGTGAAATCCTAGAGCAGTGCGCAGTGGTTTCACATGAGCAGTTTCCAATTCCTTTCTTGTGCGTGTGCTCTGATTAATTTGGCCTAAGTTTTTCGGATTTGTTGTACTTATGCATGTCAAATGCCTTTAAGTTGTCATAAAGATTTTTGGTAGAAGGTGAATTGTCACATTTTTCAGTTAATATTATAATAAAAAAGTAATAACATCAAAGATTTATCCAATGGCTAGGCTGCAGCAGGGAGGGGACTTTTTATGAGATAGGGTCCTTTGATTTCCATGCAAACTCAGTGAAAGAAATTGATAGTTGATGGTAGGGATATGTTTAACCCAGAAAAAGACTTTTGTGTGGCCAAAGATTTAAACGTATCAAACATAGCATTTACCGAAGAGTCAACCATATAGTTGTCTATTTGATACATTTGTCACAGAAACTTTGCTAACAAACAGGGGCAGACACTTGATCAAACATTGGGGGGGGGGCAAGCCTATTGTTTTAATAAGATGACATCACATTTCCCATTGTTTTAGAACAAAAGACCATTGTCCTCCAAAGTATTGGGGGGGCGGTCGCCCCCCCTTGCCCCCCCAAGTGTCCGCCACTGCTAACAAGGGATCCTATATCAATCATTTCTTTTCCAAGTCCATTGACAACATGTTTGTCACACCATTCTAATAAGTTCACATCAAGCAGTTCAAAAAGATGTATCCTAGGATTTAAAAAGGGCATGATTCTTGAAAGGGCATAGTGCCAAGACATTTCCCATTCCCCTTTTGGGTGGCTAGTATTTCTGCTGGACTTTTCACACATTCTTTATTTGTATTTCAAAAATCCCATTTGCATTAATAACAAGACTTAGTAAGCGACAGTATGATTATAAATTCCCAGTCATTGATGCTAAGATGGACTTCATCCCACCATAGATTTCAAAGTTCCACAAAGGCCTCAGAAAATTTATCATTCTGGGCAGTAATACAGAAAATTTCTATGAAAGAGGACATCCAGTCAATTTACAGGTTTGATCATTTTTTATGGAGATAATTAGATGGCAACCATCACTACACTCTTTTTTACCTGAAACAATCTTATTAGAACATTTGCCTCAAAATTGATCAAATACTAAAAGAATAATGAACAAACTTAGAGCTAGGTACTATGAAATGTATAAGACTGTAAGAACATTGTTGTTAAGGATACATCTTCTATAAAGGGGTGTACCTCTTGCTAATGTTATTGATAAACAATACCCACACTTTTCCCTTCAATGTTTTGTAAAATTGATAACAGCCATTCTTCAGCCAATTTTCCTGATTGTTATATAGAGAGTAGTATAGCTGTCTCAATGTCATAGATCATATTATTTTGCGCATGATAATTAAGTGTTTATGTTTCCAAAGGCTTTCAATAGTCCAAACTGATGTAAATCGCTGTAGAGCATGGATTCGCATGAAGCTTAAGGATCATACCATTGGCAGCTACATTGGATTGCTAACTGAGAATTCTAAGTTATTGAAGTATGTGTTGTTAGTATTCTCTTTGTTTTAAAGCCATCAGATGACAAGCCCCCACCCTCGAATAAGCCCATCCCTTACATGCAACTTTTATGTTTGAATGAGACCCAATAGAGTTTCAATCTAGATCAAAATGAAAATACAGTTTCTTAACCTATCATTGATATCAGCAAAGATTGAAAGAATTAGAGAAACGAGGCATTTACAAGGAGACCGCAAAAGGCAATAGACATATCACTATAATGGACTGAAACATCTTTTTGTAAGAAACATCTTGATTTGATTTGGTTTGATATAAAAAAAAATTTATTTAGTAGAGTTGCAAATGGGATTAACTTGTGAATTATGAAAAAGCTACAAAACAGGCTATTTGATGGCAACTTTGAGTTGATTTTTATAAGCCCCCCACGTAAAAGCCCCCTGCAAATAATCCTCCCTGCCTAAATTGATAAGCCCCTGGATGCAAACTCTAGGGTTCACAGTATTTATGATTGTGTACCAATTCACACTTGGTATTGGCAATTATTTCTTATAGTTGTTTTTTCTGACTGAGAAAGTTTTTTGCTAGCAACGAGTTCCAATCTTTCTCTTACTCTTATTGCTGCTGTTTCAAGACAAACAGAAAGACTTTTAGTGATGCTAATATTTTTTGAGTTGATGCTCATTGCTAAAGCCCAATTAATTTTTGTCAGTAGATGATTTCATATACCCGTTTCTCAAACAAGCCCAACTTGATCCTACAAATTCCAAAGTCATCATCATTATCATGCTTTCTGATTCTATTCACTAAGCTTCTTCCAGTTACTAACCTCAGCAACCTCTAGTAGTACAAGCATTTTGATAGTAGAATAATCTTTTTCGTTGACAGAGAACACTATAATACAAATGCGTTCTTGCGGGATGCAGTTAAAACTGAGTCTGTAAGAACATTGTTACAGTATGTGATTGCCAGTCTCGATTTCTACATGTAAGTAATACTTCGTTGCAAATTTTTGACAAATTTCGGATTTTACTGCCATTCTTTTGTTTACTTTTATTACATCTGTTTAAAAAGTGAAAAGATTTTGTGTTACAAATTTGTATTTAGACGGGAAACATAAGACATGGTAATGTAGGTTTTCGTCCCAGTGTAAGCTTTTGCCCAAAACAACGCAAAGTCAACCTTGTCAAAACTTTAGTACATAGGGCACTGATGATCCGCTCTAAAACTGAACACGCAGAGTTGGACAAACTTAAAACGATCTTGCTGGAAAACAGCTATCCAAGCTGTTATTCCTTTTTACACTAGGGAAAAGATCGCAAGTTTTTCAGTTGTCCAAAAGTTCGGTCCACAAAAGTGTCCAGTTTATCCTAGACTACTTTGGTCTGGTAACCTTGGCGATTTGAAAATTAGGTTAAACAGTACTATGAAAGCCCTTCCATCCATTCAAAAGGATTGCGTTCTTTCCGCCCAAAAGAGTTCTTTTGTTTATGAATTTATGTGCCAGTGTGATACACAGCCTCCTCGACCGTGTAGGTCTAACAAAACCGTAAAAACTAGTGACTCTGCCATCGGACAACACCTTTTAGACAATCCAGATTGTGCAAAACTCTGTAATGACGACATGTTTCAGATAACTGGCAGAGTCAGGTCGTCTTTCCATCAAGCAGTTTTTGCATCGATCTACATAGTAACGAAAAAGCCATCATTGTGTAGACAGAAGGAGTTCGTTTTCTCTTTTGGACGCTATTGGTAATTTATCTAAAAGCACGCAGCACTGACTGGACAACTATGCGGGTCATGTGCTATCGTTTTTCTGATTGGCCTATTTCAATCCACAACTGGGTGTATATTTTCCATCGTGTTCTTTCGGACCCTTTCTGACGTTTTGTACCATGAGGGGTGTCAGACGAAAAAGCTTTCAGTTGTGAAACTTTTTTCAAAGCCATTTTAAGGTAATGTAGGTATTAAACAATAGTATTTGATTTGATTTATTGATACCTAATCTTTTTTATCAAGTTGACTTGCGGAGTGTAAAAAGATTTTCGTAACATGATAGATTTTATTTATTATGGTAAGATTGATTTGTCAATTGAAGTTTTGCATTTGCAATGGCTTTCATTGCTTTGTCTTCGATTTCTCATCGAACTGCTTCCTCACACAAGTATGATACTTTACTGGAGATTTTATTGCAAAATTTAAAATTAAAAACATAGATCATCCATGTTTGCTTCCATTCTATTCCTTATTCTAAGTCTCACATTTGTACCTGCTTGTTCTTGGGTGCTATTTGTTGTGTTCCTGATTATCAAAATGTTCTTTTGCAAACAGAAGCATCGAGTCCAGCGACCGATATGCAGACCGTAAGCCATCGCTAGATCGCAGTTATTCATCAGGTTGGTATTGCTTTTATTCCTTTATTAACAACGGGTATTTTTGCACTCACAACAGCCAATGGAAAATGACTGATTCAGATCAGCTGATTTTTGAAAGGGGCCTTTCTGACCACCGACTTTTGAGCATTTAGAGTCTGTTTCTGTTTCATTATATCTAGTTTCTATAGCTAAGTAAAGCAAGTGAATCTGTAATTGGAATAGCTTACAACCGAAGTAATGCTTCCGATTTACATTTTCTTTGAGTCTCAAGCATGTCTTTCTAATAACTTATAATTGATGGATATTGATCATAATCTTTTGTAATTGCTTATAAATAGAAACGTGAAGCTGCTCTATAACTTTCTTTTTCAAAACCCATTTTAAGCCACCCTTGCGTTGGGAATCATAGCGAAAACAGTTCATGTCTCTTCGTTTAGTCCCAAAAAAACACAAACTTAACTTTAAACAATCCCTGAATTGTGTTTCTTCGTCCAGACCGTAGTTTTCTCTGTTGTTTCTGATGTCATGTAGATATGTTTGATAATCTTTGCAAAGAGATATAATCGTTATAAAAATGTACACTTTTTGTAGCATCGCCAGATATTGATGTCCGTCAAGAGGCTTTTCAATCTGGCGAAATAATCAAAAGCAGAAGATCAAGCAAGAGGAAAGCTCGAGCGCCCATCGTGAACATTGCACCAATGAAAGAATTTGACACAATGTCACACGCGTCATCGGACCGATCATCGGATTATTCTTCCAGATCTTCATCCGTTATATCCCCTCTTTCGCCACGCTGTGAATCTGCAGGTTTTGCTGTTAAAAAAGCTGATACAGGAGTAGATGTGAAATTCCTAGAAGGCCACTTGCTGAAGGCGGAAGCGAAGTTGAATGCTACTGACAGTGCTGGACTTGGTATTCGAGCTGAGTGTGCTTTCGATAGAAGTAGATCCGTCAACAGCTCATTAAGTGTCGATGGGTTGGGCAGGCGTGGTGAATTCAAGGCCAGATCAAATTCATCTGGATCATCTCGATCTCGCAGCTCGCTTGAATCTCAACGAGATTCCACTTTCGACTCTTCTCTATCACAAGAAATTGCATCTTCATACAAAGGCAAGTCAGACGAATCATTCAAGTGGCCCGGTGTCGCTGCAGAAGGCAAAATAAATGGAGCCGAAGATTACACAAAACTGCAAGCTGATACTTCATCAACTCCCCGAAAATATGTTTTAACAGAACAGCAAAAGGGGGAGCTTGTAGAAATGATGAGATCACTAAGGTTTAACAGTAATAGGCCATTGACAACTGAAAAAGTACTTGAAATGATTCCTGTTCAAAATAACATGTCGAGAGAGGAGATAAAAAATTACATTGATGAGTGTCTGCGAGATTATTTTTCTATGGGAATCATAACAACGATGCAGAAGTCTCCGTTAAAGAAACCGATTAAAACTGAAACAAATATAGAAGTGGCTGTTGACCCCAGGGTTGATGGCACATGCAAGGAGAGTAACAAGGATAAGATTCCAAACAACAAGCTTGATTTAGATGAAATAAACAAGACCAAGAGCCAGTCGCTGGATAACTTTTTAAGTGAAGGAAGAGCCACAGTACCGCTTTGGAGCAGCATGAACACAGAAATATCCAAACATAAACACGGGAAATCATCTGACTTAGAAAAGGAAGCTTATTTTAACGACCGTGAACCTGTTGTTCAGAACAAAATTGAACGGGACTCAATTAGTAAGTTCGACGACGGTGTTGATAGAGAAGACAACTTTCCCAAGGATAAAATTGAAACATCGGTAAACACAGATTCTTTTCAGGCTGCTAGTCAGCTTTTTGAGGGCAACTCGGTTAAAAATAACGTCAAATCTGATGCCTTAATCAGGTGTCTGTCCAGTGATACTGAAATTCCTGTTGATAAAAGCAACCCTCGTATAGATTATTCCGATATCGACGAGGTAAAGAAAAGAGGTACTGCAGGAAATGAGTTGCACAGGGTTGACCATGTATCAGCAGAAGATGTGCTTATTGATATAAATTCTACTTCTGGTTTGCCAGTAACACAAGAGTTGGAGAATGCCAGAACACCTGTTCTTTTGGAAAAGAAGTCTTTTGCTAGTGAGACTAGTGCATTCGAAAAGCCATCTAGAACAGTAGATAGAACAAAACCAAGTGTTGTCAATGAAGTAGCAATAAACGATGCTTTGATTGATGATCTAGACGATAGCATTGGTTTAGTTAATGGCAATGATAATCCTTTTTTTGAGAAGGGAAACGAGTATGCGGAGAAATCTTTTGAGCCAGATTTGTCGATCGATGCTGATGAGCCAAATTTTGTTCCTGGTATTCATGATGACCCCCTTGCACATACATTTTCACAAGCAAAGCCAATAACACGATCGCGAAAGGCAAACACCATAGGCAACTCTAACAATCGCCAATCAACACCGAAATCTGCCAAAGGGCCAACAAGTTTGGATCGGGAAACTCCAGGAAAATTGAAAATAAAAGTGCCATCATCGACTGAGGCTAGTGATCTTCTGTATGGCTTTCGTGTGAAATCGCCTACCTTCGATTCGACGAAATCATCAATTGATACAAGTCAAGGGTTCTTGTTTGATAATGATGATTACATCACGGATTCAGATGCTGATACTTTTACGACTGGCGATAACAGTGAAAGGGATAGGATCCGTAGTCTGCTGGCCGACCTGGGCGTTAACGACGATATCATTGGAATGAAAGAAGACCATTTTGCAACTCCAGATGTAAGTGATATTTTTATGACGTAATATTTATTCTTATTGAGTTATTTCTGTATCACATTTTGCCACTGAACTAGCGAGCCATTATGATGTTATTTGCTAATGCTTTTTCCAGTTGCAATTAATAAAATTTGCAGTAATTTGAATTTGATAAAAAGCCATAATGGTTCATTATGCTAAGATTTTATGGGTCTTTTCAGCGTCAATTATTGCAGAAAGAAGCTCCACTTTAACTAATATCTTCCGTTGTTGAGTTGCTTCAAGAACGTTTTAGGACATTTTGACCAGCTTGACGCGTCAAAATTTAATCTTTTTTCAACAATTTTGATTGCTTGTTCTCCAATTTTAGTATCATAGCAAAATTTTCAACTTCATTTGTTAAAAGAATCACATAAATCACTTTTTTATCTTGTATCAAGTCATGAGCGATTGTTGGTTGTTGATTCCAGACAAATATGGCAAACAATTTTATGAGAAATTTTTCAATGTTTTCAAATTATAGGCCGTTCATTTAATTATTGAATCGAAAAACCCTATTGGAAAGTTTTCTGTGCCTACGCTGACCGTAGATAATCATAAAGTTATTCATAATCCTAAAGAAAGTTGACGGAACCTTTTCATGATACATTTGCAATAGGTTTATTTCCTAACCTCAAGATGATTGCAAAGGAAAGTTTTCTAATTTAAAGGTAAATGTATAAGAATGTTTGAGAACCCCCACACATACAATATATATCCTAATCTCTGCCAGTGGAAACTTCCGAGGGGCATATCACTCCATGAGAAATATTTTTGTATCACAGTTTCCAAGCAGCGTGCGCGATTCTTTAGATCAATAGAGTTTTTATTGAATGTTTCGGAAATTGTTCTCGAAAACAAAAGGATTTTTGCCAAAGGTATACGAGAAGTTCATGGAGTTTTCATGGAGCGATACGTCCCTCGTGTCATCCGGAAATCAAAGGAAAAGATACACGGAAATAACTCGGATATTTTACTCTTTGCCGACTTTCTTTCAACTACTCTGCAGTTCAGTTTATAGACAAACAAGATACGTGACCGCTGTCCCAAAATCAAAATAACCATAGGCATAGCATTCGGAAACTTTGAAAATTTCCATTCTCTTCCATTAAATTGTTTAAATACTTTATTGTCTTTTTTGTAAAGGTTTCTTCTTTAATGAGTACACCGTCTTATCTACCTTGCCCTGTGTATTCTCTTCGAGATTGCGTGACTTATTAATTTTCAAATGACGTGACGTGATGTGCACCGATCAATGCAACAATATTTAACACGCTTTTTGTGGTGTAATCGCAAAATGCCCGACCTTGATCCCCACCTTTTACAAGAAGGCTCAACCCGGGTTAGACCCGACTAAGTTGCTTCTAACCCGGGCTAGTTGTATGCTGGCGCGTGTTCCAAAACAAAACAACAAGACAATACAACAAAACGACGCTACAAAGAACCGGGCTTCGCCTAGATCGGTGGTTAGGCATTTCGGCCAAAAATTGGTTTAAAACGGGTCGGAGAAGGTTGATTTAGGCCGGGTCGAACCTAGAAACAATTGTAGAGTATGAAAAGTCCCGTTTCCCTATCCAAACCTCTATTTGTAATCGATTTACTTCATTCTTATTCCAATTTCACTAATTGGATGTTGTTTGAATGATGTCGTCAATTCAAACTATTGAGATAATTAAATTGAATTCGCTATCATAATATGCCGTTGAACAATTATAATCACCTATCTGCAGAGTCTATTAAAAACTGATTCTCCCTCCTGCTGAGGAGACGCTTAGTTTGAAAACCTTGAAAACATTTAAGATGGGGGTGCTGGGATACGCTTTCACGTCCTCGCTCCACATCCACCATTCCTGGGTTCTAACTTCACTCTGTTCTTTGGTTGTACATATTTCTTTGTACGCTAAAGCCGTTCTAAAAAATCACCCTTCTGTTTAAAAATCGATGGCTATCGTTGTTTTATGTTTCTTTGCGTTGTTTATCAGCTAGAGCCTAAATTAGATAGATATGTGATGATAAGATAGGCGACTGTGTGATTCTCTCAGTCCAAGGAGCCCCTTATCTGTTTTTTCAAGTCAAGTCTTGCTATTTTGAAATACAAACGATATATAGTCGTTTTGTATTTTGTTATATGAATATATGTATTAATTTATTGAAATTTTGAATGGAAGCAGAGAGAAAAGTGACTAAATTCTTTTTTGAATTATATTGCGTGACTTTCCTCCTCGGGCTCCTATTGTTTTCCATCCTGATGTTTTTCTCTTTGTTTTAGTTCCGCTCTGTTACACTCTGTTGACCTGCTTTAGTTTTTATGATTTTGTGGGTTTGACTGTAGATAAATTGGAAATTGAAGTTAAAATTTATATTTTTATATTAGTCATTCATGGGATTCACTAATGACGAAGAGCTGGAAAATGCTATCGAAACCTGCAAAGAGAGGATCAAGTCACTGCCTCCTGATTCTGAAGAGAGAAAACATTTGGTCATAAAGCTTGTGCAACTGAGGCTAAAGAAACACGAACTCAAGGTTTGTTTACGTCTCTGGCTTTTATTTTATGTGCTTTACCAAGAAGCAGCAGACATCGAAGCTGAGGGATCGTTCAGTTCATCTCAGATCAGCAATTTCATTCTCAATATCATGCATCGTCTCTCCAAGGTACTTTCCCAGGAGCCACTGTTAGTGGCACTGACGGTATAGTGTTCCAAGACTTTTGGCAGGCATTGTACATACATACATACATACATACATATATACATGGGCGTTACCGTCATTTTCCAGGGACCAAAATCTAAAAACAACCCCCCCCCCCACAATCTTCCAATCATTGTTGCTTAAATCCGTCCATGGATATAGTGCTATTCTATACTCCCCCTCTATACTCCGAGCCCTTGTAAAAGGAAATACGGTATGGTATGGTATGGTATGGTATGGTATGGTATGGTATGGTATGGTATGGTATGGTATGGTATGGTATGGTATGGTATGGTATGGTATGGTATGGTATGGTATGGTATGGTATTAGTCATATTCTAGATGCGAATTGTTATGATTTTTCTGGTACCTTTCAGGAGGCACCTTCAGAAAATCCTATGCACGTAAAGAAGATCCTAGGCCATCACTTTGCGAAGCAAGGCAAATCGCCCGGGAACTACTTCTGCGACTCGTGTGGAGCCACAATATGGGCTCTTTTACATACGCTGTATAAGTGTCAAGGTTTGTATTTATTTACCATGGTTGGCTTGCCGACCTGCTTTTTCTTCTGATTTATCATGCAGCTAGATTGTGTTTCCAATTACTGAAGCCTCGTTTATTACTTTCATTGACGTATTTTTCTTTAAAAAATCCCAGGTATATTTATTGTTTTTTAAGAATAGTGCCACGGGCTTGGGGCAGAAACGCCCTTGTCCTACACCCCTTTTCTACCCTTCGAAATTAAAAATATCCCTTTACATCGTCATTTTTATTATGATAAATTTTCAGTGCTTATAAATGGTGGGTGACTGCAATGAGAGAAATGAGAAGATTCTTTTGTTTTTAAAAATGTTTCTGCCTGAAAACTGCAAGACTGCGAGATTTTTTCTGTGTAGCTTTTTCAATTTTCGAAACATTTTTCAATAAGACCTTGACCATGAGAAGTTGTTTTTGGAATCGGAACAATTTTTTATAGTCTGAGATGTGGTTTTCGCTTGGTTTCTCAGAAGAATCTAATCTTTATTATCTCTATTATGGTATATCTCTGTTTATAGAAAGGTATCTAATAGTTAGATAGTGTCTGTAGTTCAATCTTTCTTTGCCTTAATTTCATGGCCCACTCCAATTACGGCTGGCTATGTGTGTACTTTTCTTACTGATAGAGTATCATGAAAACTGTTATTAAAATTATTTTCCAATTTCTGTCCTTAATTTTTAGCTAATTTTAATCCTAATATGGAAAAATGGAAAAGCCTTGTCAAAAATCTAAGTCAAGCGTTCAAATGGGGGCTTTCGTCCTCTCCCTGTTGTCTTTGCAACTCTGATGTAATTTGTTATGGTGTTTGCTCATGTCATATAATTTCCACGATCATATTGATATTGATAATGTCAATACATTTTGTTTTAGATTGTTCCTTTCACTGCCACCGAAAATGCTTAAAATCAGTAGACAAGCCATGCGTTAGCAGCAAGGTAATTGAAAAATAAACATTAATATGTTTGTCAATATTTGTTTTGACATGTCAAACCTATTACGTTACTTCCTGTCTTCTCGTCCCAGACCCCGGTATCACTTTTGGTCTCCAAAATTGAGTTTTAAAGTTGAAATTTTGGTGTCTTACAGGTATCTTTTGAAAATTTAACCTAGATTTTCGCAATCAGCGCAATCAAATTGCGTAAAATGGCCAATAAAAAATTTCGTCTCATATGACCTTTAATATGTTTGTCAATATTTGTTTTGCACATTCACCTGGTCAATGTATTGGCAAAACTCTATGATAGGATAGTGGATCAACCTTCGTTTGACCATCGCCAGTACAAACACAATGATAATTCGAAGACCCTGTTTACACGAGAACTGGCCAACAAGATCTGATCCCAGATCCCGATCGATATTCTCATACAGTAAACTCCCGATAACTCGAACCTTCAAGGGACGAATGAAGTGATTCGGGATAGCGAAAGTACGAGTTATGGGGAATTTTTGTATGGTACTGTATAAGTTGATGGGTACAAGCATTGGGCAAGGAGAATGCAATATCAGTTCGACTTTGCGAATGTTCTAGTTAACGGGGGGGGGGGGGGGGGGGGGGGGGGGGGGGGGGGGGGGGTGGATCGAGTTATCGGAAGTTTACTGTACTTTTTATCTGGTCCCAGGCGTTTGCGTGGGATTAGATCCAAGCCATTTGCGTTTACGCGGGATCGGACTTATATGAGATCCACGATTTACACGCATGTGTTTTTTAAAAATTGGCGGTCACCAGACAAATACCAATATAGACAGATCTGACTTCGAGCAGATTCAAACTTTTACACTGGGTCCAGTCCAGGACGCGGATCCATACAGGATCGCCTCTGACGGTATCCCCAAATTGTTCGAATAGCGAATCCAAAATATTTCGAATTCCACACTTCTCATGTAGAGACTATGCCCATTCTTACTTCTTTGGATCCGGATCTAATCCACTCTCGTGTAAACGGGGCCCAATAAGGCATTTTTAATACGTTTGGCTATACAACACATGCTCACCTGATGATAAAGTGCCTACATGTAAAAGGTTTAGTAGATTTGAAGTAACAACTGTAACAGTCTACTAATGTAAAGCCATGTCGTTCATAGAACGTAGCCTGTTTGAGGGCAGGCTTTTAGACATTGCCTGTGTGAGGGCAGGTTGGAAAAAATGTTTGGGGAAAAGATTCACCTTAATCCATTCCAAGTCATGCTGTTGTTTTAATATGGAGCTCTAAGCCATTCAGATCTAGGCTCAGGGGCATAGCTACTGGGGGTTGTGACATCCCCTACTGTTTCTAAACAGTGGTGAAATTCAGGCATTGGAATTTTTTTTTTTAATTTCTTAATATACAATTTAAGAGCTGATATGGGTCACTTAAATATAGATAATCATTTTATTTTAATATATATTAATTGAGATAAAATATATTACATTGACTATTTTATGTTTTTCGTTGAAATTCTTATTAACTTTTCGGAAAATTTATAGAAAACGGGACAATTCGGACAAAAATTCTTTGACATCCCCATAACTAGATTCTTCATCGACGTTCAAGTTTCTCATTTTGATTACGCATATGCCTCCGCAACACAGGTCTCTGGATCCGTTTACATAACAGATATAACTCCAGAATGTGGCTTAGCGACGCAGCAATACAGATGCGCTGATTGCCGGCGTAGATTGATATTTCGTAAGTTTCCACCATGATCCTATTTCCTTTTTTTAATACACCAATTCGACTTGCGGCCTCTTTTTGGAAATTTTATCCAAACTTAATTTTACGACTTTTTTAAGCTCAGATTTGGTTTTATCGCCATAATCTTAGGCCGCGTACCATTTTTCGTATTGTTGGTGCTTGTATTTTAGTTTTTACGGAGAAATTAAGCTTGAAAACTTGTAAAGGATTTGACCGCAAAAATCGTTCCGGGGGAAACTTTACCCCCCTAGTCGCCTATCACGGTCAAATCCCTTATAGAATTTTTACCTAATATGTCGTCATAAAATCAATATCGTGAGCAACACCATAATGAAAACTTCCAAGTAGACTAAAATAATTGCTCTTGATCCGAATATGAGGTTAAACATTTTGTACAAAAGAATTTGAAGAATTTTTCAAAATGAGGCCGCAAGTCAAATTGGTGTATTACCAGACGTGTTTCTATTTGAGCTGACTTTTTAGAGGTTTAGGCTTTGAATAGCTGGACAAGATGCCATTGTAAAGCCCCTCTTTCCATTTAACCTGTTTTTTCCTCTGCTTAATCATCGTGCAGTTTCTCCTTGCTGTTTCATATTTATGCTCTGCTTTCTACAATGTTTGCCAAAAATCTTTGAACATTGTAGTCAAATTGCAAGGTCAAATTCAGCCATCTCCTCTACCTCACAAAACAATAGCGGTTTACTATAAAACGGGTAAAGGAATTAGGGAGTTACTTGTATGATATTTGTCTAAACTTTCAACATCGTTCTTGAGGGAAGAAACGGAAGTAGTAATTTTGTATACGAAAAGAACTGAACGATGTAAAATTCACTGCAATTCCAAGTACTTTTGGCAGGCACTGTAGGTTGTCTATCTCCAGTCCTACTAGTATTCCCCTTTCTTTCTCAATCAGTTTTTCTTTACAATAATCTTTCATCTTCAACAGGTGATGGTTGCTTCCAAGCTCGTCTTTGTGATTACACTGGTCAGTTTTACTGCTCAAATTGTCATTGGAATGAAACGCAAGTTATTCCTGCGAGAGTCATACATAACTGGGATTTTGTTCCTCGAAAGGTTTTTTTATTATTTTCTTAAATTTACTTCTATATTTTCTCCAAGATTTATTCCAATACCTCTTGATATTCATGACAAGTAAAAATGAAGTGCTTGATTTCCTAAAATCAGATTTCTGATGTTGTCTTTTTGTAACACTGCAACTGCCCTTTTACTTGGCAAGTGGCCACTCCATCAAACATTCCTTGAGGAATATTTTCTGTATGGCTTTGTATAATGTTTGAAGGGATCAGAAACCTTCATTTCGTTACCCGGCGTGCTCTACATTTTTCATCCAAATATTTGACATATTGCTTCCGATTTTGTATTATTTCCCGAGTGAGAGAATATATTGAGAGAAAGGTGCGACAGGAGCCGGCTCAAATTTTCAAATCTAAGCCAAAAGCAAGGCCAACCACACAACCCTACCAAGTGCACTAGTGAACCATCGCCGCATACATTACAATGCACACCGGACCTTCTATGACGGAGGAATCCTCGCACCAGGGAGATGGGCACTGTAACCGCTACGACTGGATATGTTTGAGTGAAATAATTGAGATTGGCTTCTACTTTTCTGTTGTTCAAAATGTATCGTATGATTTGTCTTCCATCGGCGACGAAAACATCCAAACCGTTTAAGTTAGCAATTTGATATTCATCAATGTGTCCTTTTTAACAGATCTCCAGACAGTCAAAGCATCTCTTGAATTTGCTGTCATTTAAACCGATAATTTGCCTGAAGAAAATGAACCCTGCACTTTTCAATTTTGTTGAGGATTTACGTGATGTTCGGGTGAGTGTGTTTGTCAAAACGAGACATTAAGTTTCCGTATTTATGGTCTATAAAACACACTATCTTTATGTATTTATTAGCACTGACTAAAATAGTATTTCAATATCGTAATAAGTTGTGTATAAACAACTTAGGACTTGCGTCAATTCTAATTTTGTCAATATTCGTTAATCGAATAAAAAATTTCATTAAAAAAAGTTCTCAAGATCCGTCAATGGAGAAAACAATTCAAATTTTGTTTTAATTTATATTTACACTTAAATATGTGGTTAAAATTTTGAAAAATGGCCTTTTGAAAACACACAGTATTGGGATTTTGTTAGCACTGGAGGTCGTTTAAAAGGTTTTTTATTATCAATCACAAACTTTTCGGTTGTTAAGATTTCCTGAGCCATTTTCTACGGAATATCTAGATAGACACAGGTTCTTGTAAAGTTTAAAAATTGTCTATTTTTGACTATTCATTGTTTCGTTCTCAAAAGTGTCTCTTGAAGTTTTTTTTTGAAAATCGTTAAGTCTTGAGGCCTGTGATTAATCGACTTTGATATATTGATAAACCGATTATTTTGGCAAAGCAATTTTACAGTCTTTCTCTGTTTGTAGAAACCTAAGCCACATTCAAGTTTATAAAGGAATTTTGTGAATGTTAATGTGATGCAATTTTCTCCCACCAGGCCCTTCGAGAGCAAACATTAAGCATGAAAAAATATTTAGTTTCCTGTCGCATAGCTGTTGAGGAAAGGCTATTGCTTATGGTAAGGTATTTTGCTTTCTATGCTTATGTTTTGAAGTAATCAAATAATAAAAATTAATTTAACCAATAGGTGCAGTTTAAGTAGTTTCTCAATTACGGTTTTATTGAAAGAAATAGTTAAAAAATACTTCTCATATTCACAATTAATCATCCTCTTCAGTTTGGACTTTCAGTATTCGAACTTTCAAAATGTAATGGCAAATACTTGGATTTAGATATATAAGTATGTTTTGCTTGGTTGCTTTCCTAACTTTAAGTCTGGCTCCTTTGCATAGGCAAGGCTAACTATTTAGAGGAGTAGGAGAAAAATTCAATGGCATAGCATATAAAATATTTGAATGGCTTAGTAGTACCTGATTAAACGTAGACTTAGGATACCTCATTTGCCAGCGTTTCTTCCTTTACCCATAATTCAAAAATTTCCCATGATAGCATTCTTGTATTGTAATCTTTCCAGATGCTCTCACGATCAGATATATTATCTCTAAAAGCAAATTTTGAAAAATTACATGTTTCTCTAAGTCGTCATCGCAAGATGCAACTTCTTAAAGAATTCACATCTTTTTCTTCTTTAAAAGCAGCACCTAATCCAGGAAAATTTATCAAAAAGAAGGGATCTTGTGCCCCCAACTCTACACTCCTGCTTGATCTTTCATAGCAGAAATTTTTTTGGGCAACAAAACGTCTTTACTTCCAAAACATATCCACTTAACACTGTCCCTTTTCAGTTTTGATGCTTTCAAGATGTTGATATTACATAGATAATTTTCTTTGAAATGTATTCTTAGCTTGTTTTCATACGGGTTGCTTTTCTGCCTTTATCTTAATTCTTGTTATAAGTTTTAATTTTTTCGCAGAGTCGATTCTAAAAGATTTGAAATTAGGGTTTTTTCTTCGATACGGTAGGCAGTGGCTGTTTTTCAAAGGATACCTTTTGTCCGGCTTTGCATTATCAGCTACATAAGCAACACCTGTGCTTCAATTCCTTCAAACAGTCGCTGTACAGTACACTGAATTTTAGCCTTTTTTATACTGCATCCCCTCTCCCCCTCCGAATCAAGTTGTTTTGTGCAAAATAAAGAGGTTCGGTATGGTCAGATGGATTCATTCCAGATATGTATAATATTTAACTCTACAGCCAACATTATTTAGGGGCATGGAGTACGGTGCCGGCTTTTTTACCGGAAACAGTTGTTTTTTTCAAAATAACACTTTAGCAAGATGCCAATGAAGCAATTTTTAAATTGAGTTACGTTCTGTCAATAACGAAACTGACCTAGTTGATTTTATATCTGTAGCTTAAGGATCGCCAGCATTTTGTCGAAAATTCCGATGTGTACACGATGCAAGATCTTATGAGCATTGAGAGTGGAAAATTATTGGAAGAATTATCAAGACTAACGGCTACGTTTGGAAAACATATTAAATTCGATTGTCTGGTAAGTCTTGGAAAAGCTCTGTCTATTTCCCCCTGCAATCCAGTTCAATGTAAAGGGGCTGTTATGTCGGAGGGACCCTTTACAAAATTGATTAGTACTAAATAGTAAGACTCTTTCGGAGTGGCCAGCAAATTATTACTTATGGAACCAGTTGACGTTGAACCATTTCTCTATCATGGGACAATTCCTTCCCAGAAATGATTCTTATTTACCGCCAATTTTGAAACTTTCGAGATATTGGTTTTTAACTGAATCAATTGCTGATGATACCATCTTTATACATCTAACTTTCCTTAATTTTTGTGTATTTCCTCAGTAAAAATCTCTGATTTTAAGGCTGTTTCAAGCAATTTCGCTAAGATACGTAAAAATTAAAGTCAAAGATATTCGCCACATTTTATTTCTAACATTCTCTTTCTCATTTGTCAGATTTGCCAGGGACGAGGTTTCATCTGTGAGATTTGCCCGTCGACTGATGTGATATTCCCCTTCGATTTCAATTCGCTATCCTGTCCAGAATGTATGTCTCTATTTCACAGGTAAGAAATTTTTCGCTATAGCTGGTTTAAAGATCATTTCTGCAGTGATTGACCAAGTATAGAAGTCAGGTAGAAAATTCAGATTCTAGAACAACATATATCAAGCACCGTTTTCGTGTTTTATCGCTCAGGAATGTTTGCGGAACCAAAACCAATTGGCCTTACCACTTGCTATATCTCTGAAATTCGAACAATCATTGACAAAATCACACTAGGATCTTTCAACACTTGCTCGTTTGAGTGAAATCTTAGCACTTACTTAAAATCAATTCAAAATACCACCCAATCCTTAATTCCAAACAGCTATAAACCTTTTAGAGAAGCAGCCCATTTACTATAAAAGTTTTCCCAGATTATCTCAAATTATATTTATGAAATAGTGGTCTAACTTGAATGAATAACTACCGTTATGATTATAAAACTTGATTGAGATATTATGGTGTATGAAACACTAAAGAACTGCCACTATATGAAATGGGCTTTGCATTTATGAAACAGAAGGAAACATCCAATTTGCTACCAACCAAACAGTGGTGGACACCTAGGGGACGAGGGTGGGCGGTGCAACAC